GGCTCTTATTTTTGCTTAGATGGATAATATTATCATGTTGTGAAAACGTGCAGTGTTCTGCTCTTAGGAATATATCCTGACGCACTGAATAGAGGGAGTTGTGTTGTATTATATTCTACACAGTTTCCCAAGTGTAGCCTAATGTACATTAGAAAACATGTAGCGTCTCCATTTTAACATGTGGTCGTTGATTGAACGTTGTCCTTAGTACTGAACTGTAAACATAAAAGTTAAGAAAAGCTGCATGTATTGTCTGTCATATGTACATAGATTTTAGACATGTCAACAAACCTCACTTAAAAGCGTGTTCTTCCCTTTATTTAGCAATCATCAAAACAGCACCCAAACGAAAGCCTTGTGGAGTTTAATGCAGCAACACAACCCCACTAAATGTCTACATACAAATGTGGGATGCTGTTCAATGGGATAACATTTCCAGGATACAATGTGGGGCTACACGTGACAAAAGTGTTACAAGCCCAAATTTAACACCACTGATAGGCAAAGTGGGACACTCCATATTAAACACCCCCCCCCCCCCCCGACGTGCCAATAATGACGACACAAGGGATACTGTGGGATGTTAAAGATGGACTGTTTCCCACTTCCTACATTGGATGGCATACTGTTTAGAGCGCTCAGCTTGCTGTCAGTCATTTTATTGAGTCCTCTGCAAGTCTATAAAATGACAACTGCTTTGTCGGAATTACAACGGTGGCTATTCCATAGATAAGCTGAAATTCCAACCAATGGCTCAAGTCTGCCAATGGATGTAAGTGCTCTCCCTGTGCTCACTTCAATTTGGAGACACTTTTGTCATTTGGGAATTCTCCTTTGGTGAAATTCCACTTGAAAAATATAAACCTCCAACAAAGCCGCTGCTTTCCTTCTCACAGCTCTAGTGTTGAAACCGACCATCCTAACAATGTCAACACTTGGCAAGGCATACAAAACACAACGCCACTAAATTGCAGAAAATTCATGTTTTGTTTCAGTGTGTCTACATAAACATCTATACCCTATATTCTTGGTTCTTTCGGTAAAGTCACGTAGAAGGGAAACAATAAAATAATAAAAATATAAAACAATCAAATTCTCATGACGTTTCGACTGCAAACACAAGCAATCATCATCAGGATGGAGCAGAGCTTCGCAGACTCCACTCCTCACATCCTGCCACTTGGCACGCACGGCCGTTTTGTCAGTGAGAATTTTATTGTTTTATATTTTTATTCTTGTATTGTTTCCCTTCTACGTGACTTTACCGAAAGAACCAAGAATATGAATCCCTGCAGTCACGAAAGCTTTAAATCATCTATACCCTGTCACGGAAAACATGTTTACCTATTTACTACGCCGCTCGCTGGCTCGCTGTTACATTTTGTTCGTGAGCTGTACAAAAGAAAACACTGCTTAACATTCATTTCACGCCAAGTCTGTTGACGACGAGCCTGCTTTACTCAAAATGTAAATGCAAACTTGAACTCTGTTGCTATGGTCGACTAATGCGTTGGACTGTGCTGAAGACGAGACTCCATTGCATGCTACCTAATAAATAAAAAAAACCTCTTGGCACTCATCGTTTGCTATGCACGTGTCTTCCTTGTTAAAACCCCGGCACAGGGTAATAAACGCGAGTATCAGGGGGCAATCCATTCAGTACGTACGCATGTAGGGGGGAGTTAACCCAAATGCGTACGCTTGGTTATGGGGGGGTCTACTGACAATGTAGGTACGCATAGGAAACGGGGGGGGGGGGGGGGGGGGGGGGGGTGAAGCCTCGATAATAATTTGTCTATATTGGCCTTCAAATTAGTTATAGTCCGGCGGTGGACTATCTGTTTGCTTAAACACGTTAATATTATTTATCCTTGATCGTTTCTGCGTGGATTAAATATCGGCCGTTCTATAAGATTCGGGGGGGGGGGGGGGTATGTCAAGCGAACGTACGCACGTGGGGGGGGGGGGGGGGGGGGTAAAAAGTACGCGTGCGTACAGGGAGGGGTCAAGTTGTGACAGATCTTTGTGTACCTACTAAATGTATGACTCCCAGGCGGGGTGTTAAAACACGAGGACACTTTTAAAGACAACGCGTGGACTTCAAACACACGCTCCGAAACGATTACCGTCATCATCATCAACACTGCTTTACAACAGAAAAAAAACATATCTGTGGCCCTTCTTCAAAGCATCCAGACTTGAATTCATCTGTTGCCACATTATCTGAAATTCATCCCATTATTTACAGAATGAAGATGCCCTCTTTACCATGATCTCGAGTAGCCGCTCATACTACCACAACTCCCATATAGTGTATGACATTGTTCACCTCACCACACTTAACATCGCGAAATAAATCATGGTTATCACAATCAGTCCAGATAATGGTCATAGGTAGGGTTTCTTTTCAGAAAGGAGAATCAAACGGCCTTGTTCAGGGAATTTTCTTATTTGCAATTAGGTCCGCCAAGAGCACAGATAAGAGGAGTTCCTCCAAAGTGATAGACCCACACCTTACAATGTATACTGTTACTGCTTTACACCCTTTGGAAACGGTGATGCAAACATATGAATAGTTTTTAATTCTATACAGTATACGAGCAGATTTCCATGAGTAGACACTCAAGAGCAAACATGCCAATTCAAATGTCACAAAAATGAAAACCATTCAAATTATATATAATTTGATACGTATTTTTATTATTTTTTTGTTCCTGAGTAGTAAATGTTATTTCCTAATTGCTTATGCCTCAAAAGTACAGAAAATGGCTATTATTCCCCACAAACTTTGCTTTTGTGACCAGGACAGTGATATTTTGAAATGTACCTATTTTCCAGAAAATTCCAAATAGATTCAGTGCTGAGTAAACTTGGAGTAACTTCTAGAACATTCCAGTAATATAAATAGTATAAATACAGGGGCATTAAGCCCACCAGTTCAGTTTAGTTTCAGCTAGCGAAGTGGATACATATCTGTATTTTTCTGAGATGGCATCAAGAGGCTGAAAGCATTCGGCAGACGCATTTTGCTTTGTCTGCGGCCAATTTATCAAGACAAGAGCGAAAAAGTACTCTGTGGAAGCATCTGCTAAGATGTGTGTGAGGCCTACGAGGCATATTTCGGCATGCCTGTCGGGGGATCAAGACAACCCCTAGGCACCCCGTTTCACTTGTGAGTAATGCAAAAAAAACTGGAAGGTAAGATGGACAATTGTTGCTTGGAATTTTATGTTATAAAATTTGTTTGAAAAAATTTAATTCTACAAGTTTTTAATTTAAAAATGTTTTACAATTTTCAATGTTATTAAAAAAACGTCATATATGAAAAATGTTGCGATAATCTCTTACACATTAGTCATGGGTGAAATAAATGTATTTTTGTAGGATGGTACAGAGGGGAAAAGAGAGCCATGAAGTTCGCTCTCCCAAGAATTTGGCGGGAACCCACTGACCACTGAAGCAACTGTTACTTCTGTTACGGACTGGCAAGAATGCACCAGCTATCACCTTCCTTCATCCATCGCCCCGGTGCCACGCTGCCATGAGCTCCCTGTACCCACTCCTCCGGAGAGAGAAGCCGTCTTTAGAAGAGAGCAGCAAGTCAGAGAGCGAGAGAGACGTAGATCCAGTTGACAATTTCAGAGGTGGAGCTGAGGAGAGAAACCCATACTACCCTAAACAAAAAAACCTCAACTACTTGATCAGAGATCTTTTCTAATGCCGATTTTTTTGACGTCTACGCTCAAGCAGTGGAACTTGTTGGATAAAAGTGTGCAAGTCGCGGATCAGAGGAAGCGTCACCAACCTTTTTGCAGCTTCTTCACCCGTCAAGATGGGCTCTGCTTCTACCACAATGTAACCAGTCGGAATCGCCTGTAACCAGTGGCACCTTTTCATTGACGGCTAATCCAAGAAGCTCACTAGTACAGAGAAAGTGGCTTGGAACAGCTCTGTCGCAGTGGTTCGTGGCTTCCTGAGCAATCACAAGGTCGAAAACTATGTGGAGCTGGTTGAGACTCTGGTGAAGAACTACGGCACAATGGGCGGTAGGATGTCCCTCAAAGTCCATATCCTTGATGCTCATCTTGATAAATTCAAGAATAACATGGGAGCGTACTCAGAGGAGCAAGGCGAGCGCTTCCACCAGGATATACTGGACTCTGAACGGCGCTTCTAAGGACGAGAACATGATGGGAGACTACATTTGGGGGCTGATTCGTGAAAGTGATTTACAGTATAATCGTAAATCTCGAAAAATGACTCACTTCTAAATCTTTCGTAGTCATTAAGGTATTACTTTAGTATAAATACATGTAAATTTTGATTCATGGTTTTTTTCGGACTTTATGTGAACGACAAGACACAAATTCGCCCTTTTTCTCATTGCAAATAGGTACATTTCAAAATATCACTGTCCTGGTCACAAAAGCAAAGTTTGTGGGGAATAATAGCCATTTTCTATACTTTTTAGGCATAAGCAATTACGACATAATACTTACTGCCCAGGAACAAAAGATGTGTTACATAGTGTCATCGGTGCACGATTTCACGATGTGGAGGGTCAACGAGCAACATCCATTTTGTGGGAACACAAGACGGCCATATTTAAGTAATGTTCATTGTTTTCAGAGACGGTTCACGTTAAAGTGAAAACCTTGGGCGTTAAGGTGGCTTTCTTTCACAGACGAGTCAAATTTCAGCTGTGGTAAATAATTAATGGACGGGTACCTGCTTCTGGTCTTAAAGTCTGGCAAAATCGCCCGATGAAGCTGAATGTACTGCCAGCGAAACGTCTTGCTCAAATTGTAAATGTTGTGGATTTACTATCCAACACACCGGTGGGGCGAAGTAGTAACTAATTAGCACGTTTTGTTTACGTGCCAAACCTTACGAATTGGCTGTATCTTGTGGTGGCGGGCTAACGACACATTTATACTTACGCGATCTAACCCAGATTTTTGTTTAATTGGTCGCGAAAGCCTACGCGTCAAACTCATCAATGGATGCATCAGCATTTTTCATAGATGTAAAGTCACAGCAAAACACGTTTTCCAAAAAACCAAAACCGTGGAGTGTGCCATTAAAAACGTTACACAAGGCACTCTGTACAGACATGTGGCAACAATGGATGCTTGAATATATATAGCCGACAAATGCACAAACTCTTGGGTTTTTCCATTGGAGTCATTATTAAGAGATCAAAAGGCAACACACAGGCTAGCAGAAGCTAACACCGTTATAAATCAAATACAGATGCACGCACAACTGCGAATGATATCCGATGCAGGTCAGGCTAATTAGCAGACTCGCTTCAGTCAGGAACTGTCCATGGATATATATAGCATGGACATCTGGAGCCAGACAATGTCTTCTAAGAATAGGTTGCCACCAAGAGCAACACTGTACTGCACCGTAGGGGAAAATGCTAATGGACACGAAGCCAATAGTCTGATTAAATGTACTTCCACGACAAGCAAGGCAATTGAAGGTCATGTGCTTATTCTGTCATTGAGTCAGCAATCAATGCATCCATAAATGATTTAAACGTACAGCAGCTTTCTTTAAAAAATGTGTATTAAGGCCCAAATACCTTCATGAAGTAAACCTATTTCTAATTAGGCTTATTGAAAAGGCAAATATTTTTTTGAAGTAACTGCCACCATATATATGTGCTATGTTGAGACTGACACCCACCAGGCCAAAATGTGGAATTTCCACCTCTGGTTTAGGCCACCAATGGAGTCGAAAACATCCAGTGGCTTGAGGGAGATAGTTTGAATAAAAAATGTTGTAAATAGGGGACGAGTAAACATAGAGCATACATTTTTTTCAAAAATGTAGCAAAGCTGTAATGTGATTCGAGTGCCAACTCACAATTTGAAGGCCATGAGTTCAAATCCTGGTCAGGGTAAAGTTAGTATCGCTATGTTGCAAGTGAACAATTATGCTTTGCAGACAATGGCTCGCACCATGGATATGGCTTACAGCGGCAATTCAGATAAGCGCTGCCCAATGTTTGAGCAAGGAGACATTTAATTTACATATTTTACAGAGTTGCTGCTTGAAACTGTGTAGGCTACATTTCCCTCAAATAAAATATTCTTAAAATCTCCACTCTACACACTCAATTGTTTATTTCATCCACATTTTGTCTATGGCTCATTGGGCCACTATTTGGATCCAATCCTTAATCTGAGCATCAAGCATCACTTGCCTATGGCCGAATCACCCAGAATTAACTTGATCTTGGCAGATCTCAAATGCTAAGCAGGTTGGAGCCTGGATAGTGCGTGGATGAGAGACCAATGCGTTATAGGTGGCAGGGCTGTGTAGTGAGCAGCAGAGGGTAGTGCGAAAAAACCCAAATGTTGTACTGCATTTCTATGCTCCTAGATAGACTGTCCCCACCTTCACTGACCTTCAAGGCCCAGTGGTGAAGTATGGTCACATAATGGTGTGGGGAGGCTCCTGTCCAGCAGTGGTTTAAGATCTATACATGTGCATCTATTGCAATAACGATTTTACGAGGCTGGGTTTGCCGGCGAACACAGTAAATCGTGTACTAAGAGGTGTTAATAACGAGGAGTTTGGCACCGGTGTTGTGGCATTGTTTATAGAACCAACTGAAAATTCTGAATGGAAGGATGCCCACTGTAGCCTGGACTCCCTCTCCTGCCTTCTTTGGTTGCTTAGTTTTTATGAGTGTACATGTAACTGACAACAGATCATGTGGCACAAAGGTGAGCAATGACAACACTTCTGTTAACACACATTCATACAAATATACGTAATTCAGGTCTAAAGTAATAAACTCACTTACACACATGTGCATGATATAAAAATGCATATACATAATACTACAATCACACATTTGTAAAAGTTCAAGTGTTTACCTGCTCACTTTGAGTTATGGTGCAGTAGTCATTTATGTTGGCAGTACCCATAAGAAGCCAGTGGTGGAAATTACATATTGCCATGGTGAAGAACAGTCTAACTCGTGGCTAACTATGTACATATTATTCACGCTGACAGGAACTATAAATACAAATGCGTACATAGACACTGGGTGGCACTTTGGTGAGGGTACACACTTTGGTTCGGGCACTCTACTCACACAATTCACAGACTTTGAGTCAACATCCTGATTAAGGGGTTGACTCAGCCCAACATCCCTCCGTAGTTCAACAGCAGGCTTCTTGTGGTGAAATAGGGGGCCCCTAAAATGGAAACGGGACATTTCCACTGCTGGCTCGCAGGGACGCCAATGGGGATCAACAGTATCCCGTGTTGCACCTCCGATTAGCACGGTTGGCTACGTACGGTGCGAAAGAAGTTCAACAAACGTACGTACGTACATGTCCCAATGAAGCAACAGACACATCTTGGCCATTACTTCTGCGCAAATGCCGTGCAGTAATCCTCAAATGATAGGCCTCCGCTCTAGTGATCTTATAACAATGGATGAAGTTGGGTATGCTTAGCAATGTGGTAATTCCCACACAGTAAATCGTTGCCAAGGTCAACAAATAGCTAAAGCTAGAATTTGGTAAATCTCAGAAGGCAGCCTGGCAATCAAACCCGATATTTTTTCGACGCTTGATTAAGCACCCCGAAATTAACATAAGATTAACCCAATGCTCCATCTTATTTCAGGAAATAAACATGGACACTGTTAAAGGCACAGCCCCATGTTCAAATTGGACGCCAGTGATGTGTGCTCAAGATGGACTTCAACTGAGAGTGCCACAGAGAGAATGGCCACTGGTCCAGTGTTAGCGAGTGACTTTTTGAAAACCATTTACAAATTATTTGAGGCTTTAGAAGCAATGTAACACTCCATACTCGTTATAAACCTTTTGATCGCAGGTTTTGTAGTGTGATAAATACAGGATCCTAGAAAAGATACTTCGTTCGTTGTCAGTTTCCCGCGAATCATTTTCAAATAAAATACATTGACATTAAAATGATACTGTGCTGTATCTATCACAGTAATCTGACTACCCAGTGAAACAGGGCTCCTGGTAAATACTTTTTGTAATTTTCATAATTTAAAGATAAGAATTTTCCATTTATAAAGCACTGCAATACTGGTTTCTCAATCATATTTACAAACACCGCTGCAGCACAAAGATTAAAAAGGGGCAAATCAAACAAAAGTAATTAATGCAACCGAGAAAATAACTGGCAGAGAAATACAAGCCCATCGATCCGCACGCACAACTTGCACAATCCGCAGAGGAGCGAGAGCCCATGACTGTTATAAAGTGACAATAAAACCAAAAGATTACATTCATGTTGAGTGGAGATTCGTAACATCGATTAGAGTGACGTGTCCCTCGCAACCCCATTACACTCCAAAACTGCATGGGTGATGAAAATATTGTCAGCAAGGGTTGGGAAACGATTCTATTGCAGACATTGTAATCGTTCACAAATCTGCATTTCCTGAATCTAAAATATTCCCAAGTTCCTTCTATAGTCTAAATTACTTTTAATTCTTCATAATTAATTTCCAGTTCATCCCATTAATTCACCCTATGTCATGGTACCGATTAAAATATATATATTTGTTCGGGTTGTTGCAATACATAGGATAGTTCCTATGGGGAGACTGGTCTCTACCATGGAGATGTAGAATTTCCATCACTTTCCCAGCACTACCAGTGATGAGATGTGTGCATAGAGACACTATAAATGTATCTTGTAATATGTAACTACTCTGTGCATTGATACCTGTCAAATCAAATCTTCTCCTTTTACAGCATCTAAAACCCAGCAGCAGTTATTTACATTTAAAAAGTGCATAAATGGTTAACCAAAAAAGGCAGCACAGAACAATTGGCGGCTGTAGCAATATTCATATTTCTATATATTAAAACTATTATATTCAAATGGTTAAAATTACTTATTTTTACTTTACAATCCCCCGATATCAGAACTTATAATTTCAGTATCTAAGTCAAAGTGCTCGACTTCAAATCAGAAGGTCACGAGTTCAAATCCGAGCCAGGCGTTGCTTCAGCTCATTATCCTGAAGCGATTGATAAAAGTGAGCAACACTTTTGTGAGGTCAACAGTGGTTGTGCCACGGTAATAATGTCGCTTTCCGTGGGAATGTGGATTTTCCACCAGGCTACAACCACCAACTGAGATAGAGAACCAGTTTTTCTATTAATTTCAGCCGATGGACACTTTGACGTGCCATACAGCCCACACAACTATAGTCCTCATAGAAGACCACCCAAACAAATGCAACAAACATCCAACAGCATTGTGGACTTGAACGGCAAACGTGCCGACCCTGGCAGGGCACTTCAGCCGAGCAGTGCCTCGCCAAGCAGCCGGGCGCCATTGATGCCGCGGTAGGAGACACGGCCCGGCCGCACCATGACGCCACAGCCCGGCCGGCAGCTGAAATAGCGGTGGCCGCCCACGGCACCGTCGTGCTTTCCGCGTGGCGCCCTCAGTTCCAGGCCCAACCATGTGCCCGCCGCAAAGCCCACCTCGCCCACAAAGCGCACTGTGCCCATCTCGCCCGTGCCCGCCACCAACACCTGCATGCCATCCCGGAGGCGGGGAGCGCCGCATCTGCCACCACCGCCGCCCTTCTCCACGTTGACCCTGTCGCTGCCGCCCGGGACCGCCGCAGCCGGGGATGATGTCGCCGGGGAGGCTGCGTCGTTTGCGGCTGATAATGCAGCGGTGTGGCTCAAGCTTCGACACAAGGAGCCTGGTTTGCCACGACTGATTAACGTGAGCACAAGAAGGTAAATGGATTAAAAAAATGAAGCAGCAGGTCAATTCAGATAGCAGACACAGTGAGAGAAATGTCAAAGGAAGAGAAATGGAACGTGAAAGGAACAAAGAGTGACGGGAATAGAAGTGCATGGGAAGGGAAGAGTATGAAGAACATGCAACAAATTAAACATTCAAATGTTTACGACCGATTCCAGTTCGGTGACATTTTGATTACAGTGCTTCATAGACGTTTGTAATTCTTTGGTTTTTTTCGGTGATGGCGACCGCTTGTGTTGCGATCGAAACGTCGTGGGTTTTTTGTTTTGAATCTCCGTGACTTTACCGAAAGAACCAAAGAATATGAATTCCTGAAGTCACGAAAGTTTTAAGTCAAAGTTTTGACGTTTGTAAGCTTGAAAATGCAACCAAATCCCCATCAGGGATTAGCTGAAAAAAAAAACATATTTCTTCCATCAACTGAGCTCATCATCCCTCCAAGCTCAATAAAATGGAGACTGGTTATGCAATCGTAATGTTCAATTATCATCAGTCTCAGGGTCGGAATGTACAAGGTAATATATCCATTGCTTACTATAGCAGGAAGACAATTTGACTTAAGACCATTTTTTTAGTCCATTTATTTATTATGGTCGTCCAGTATTTAAAAAAAAAATCATTACCATTCATAAAGATTACAGGATGCAGCGTTTGACACCTCAGTAAATAAGGTACTTATGCTGTATTTCCGACACACTCATCCACTAATAGGAGATAATTACGAGGCTACTACTGCAGAACGAACCTGCTCATGGGTGTCCGACCCAGAGGCTTCCTTGGCGGTTTTCCAGTGTTGGGAATACTCAGGCTCCGCTGGAAGGCTGCGCAACCAACCACACAACGGACACTCCATAATTCACGAGTGGCGATTTGGCCATCCGTAACAAGCACATCCTACATTATCACATGACAATATGTGGAGGTAAAAAAAAAAGCAGCCACAACAGCAAACTGTTACTATTCATAATAAAGGTTTTTGGGTTAGATCGCATTTATTTATAAATGTGTCGTAACCCTCCACCACCCGACACAGCCAATCAGCAAAAAAAGTGTCACGTTGACAAAAGACAAATAATTCACTACTTTAGCCCACCGGTGTGTTGAAGAGTGAATCCACATTTACATGCTGGATGTGAATTACCCGATGATGCTGGATGTATTTACCAGCGAAACGTCGTACTGAAACTGTAAATGTGGATTCACTCTTCAACACACCGGTGGGCTAAAGTAGTGAATTATTTGTCTTTTGTCAACGTGACACTTTTTTTGCTGATTGGCCGTGTCGGGTGGTGGAGGGTTACGACACATTTATAAATAAACGCGATCTAACCCAAAAACCTTTATTATGAATAATATTGGTCGCGAAAGCCTACGTGTTAAACTGTTAATCTATCATTGCAACGGTCCACACAGAAAGGGGAACTTCCACTCAGCTTTGAGTGGCACCAATTAACTCTCCAAAGTGTCCACTATAGTCGTCAAAGGAGACATGGCCGACTCTTCGGGGGGGGGGGGGGGGGTAGGGGAGGGGGGCTGAGAAGGAATTGCCAGCGTGCATCACTTCTCTTGCCGTGCCAACATCTGAGAATAATGAAGGTTAGTTTTAATCGGCTACAGTGGTCAACGTTCGCTCAAGTTGACAATTTCTCTCGAATGGCCTTTCAGACACATTCTGCTCAAGACTTCATCAACGCGAAGGGGTCGTGCTGTAAATATATGGGCTCAAAATTGAAAGGTTTATGGAGTTCCAGTCCTGGTCAGCAGTCACCTTGGCCCTGTGGGGTTAATAATGTACCACTTTGGGGAAAGACAACAGCCACCCTTTGCAAATACAATCACCCCTTCATAGGAATGTTGAATTCATTCCACCAACTCAGAGGCATTTAGACTGACAGTTTATGTTCGTTAAACCGACTTGTGTGCAAGTCTGATATGTGCAATACTAACCGGGAAACAATACTCCTGATAACAAAAAAAACAACGCAGCCTGACTACAACATTGTTAAAAGCTTCCTGTATGCTTGGAGCTCACGTGTAGTTAATTAGCATGAAAACTATATATGTATACAGTTCATTCGGTTTGAAAATACTAAGAGCTCACAAGAGATAAAGGTTTTCTGAAAGTAAATTAGCTAAATTTTGATTTAAAGCTTTCGTGACTGCAGGGATTCATATTCTTGGTTCTTTCGGTAAAGTCACGTAGAAGGGAAACAATAAAATAAACAATAAAATAAAATATGCTTTATATTTTTATTATTTTGTTTCCCTTCTACGTGACTTTAACGAAAGAACCAAGAATATAAATGAGCTAAGTAAAGGTTCTTTTCATGCAGAGATAAGAATGTTATAATGTGTCATCCCTGCATTGAAAAACAAAACAAGATATGACTATTCCACTTGGAATATGCTAATCAAAAGTCACAAGGCTTATGCAAATGTAATTATTCTCTCTTGGGCTTAACAATGTAGGTTTGTGAATAGACTTCTAATTTGCATCAATCGGTGCCATATTCGTGAAGTCTAAACCAACTAATTTATAACAAAAACATCATAACATATTTCAACACTTTTTAGTGATTCAACATCAAGGCCAAGGCCGCTGATACCACACACTCACCATCAGATCCTTTCTGCTGCTAAATCCTGAAATATGCGTAGCTGCTACCCAACATCCATGGTCTGCTCTTAAAAATATCCACCCATCTGCCAAAAACCTGACCTCTGGGTGCCACTCCAATGCCTGACTCTCTCTCTCTACACCTGTCCTCCTTCATCTTGCACGCATGCACAACCCATTGCCACCTCATCACCCTGATTTACATAGACAGCACTTTGCTGCCACATCGAAATTGTACACTTCCTAGTTGCATACTCTTTCCTTCAATGCAATGCCTAGTTTCTTCTGCATGTGCTTGCATTTAAAGACTAGAATCTTAATTTCTAAGTGCGAGTGAACAACTGTCCCGACATATACTATCACAACTGAAACTAAAACCTACAGAATAACCCAATATGACCCCCATGTTTCACTGTCAGACCTCACTACTCAGTTGATTCCCAGAAGCCAGTTTTGGAGGTCCTGAACAAACATTTTACTTTGTTTAATGGCCCAGTCGCTATATCAACCAGCCAAAAGGTCACCTTGGCAGACAGAAGTAGTCAATGCCTCCAGGCTTGGTTGTTTTTGCAATAACAACCAACACTCAAAGTGAGGCGTAAATACGAATGATTCCACAATGTGCCCACCCTCTCACTCTACAGATATTGAATTGGCAGTGTTAATTTTGCTGGAAATAAACGTCACGTATTTTTTTCGCAAGACTAAATCGATATTTTCATCTCCAGACTGCCGCTTGTTAATTGTATTTTAGGATTCTTCCTTTGTTGTAGGAAAGGTTTACAATAACCTATGGCAGATAAAAAATACATCAACAACAACGCTGTCTTAAATTTATCTTTCACAGGGCGGTCCACCGGTGAAGTACTCCATTTACGATCGAAAAGTTGCAAGTCCAACTTATGGTCATGATCAACGCAGCTCATCATCCTCTAGAATTATTAAAATAAGTATCCCTTTTAGGAGAATCCAAGAGTAGTTACCCAATAGGATACACTGTTCCCTACTTTGGATTGTGGAAATTTCACCATCAGCTCATGGCCACAAAAGAAAATGTGACACTTAATTTCTTGTTTAAGCATGAACTAAATTTGATAAATAAAACCCTGATTTATTAACTATTACTCAGCTATGATGGATTGTGATCACAGGCATAGTTCCATCAGCATGAAACAGAAACATAAATTACATCTGAAATAACTCTGAAACTTTAAATAGAATGACATCAAGATTGCAATTCACACGCAGCTTAAATCACTGAGCATAGGCTGCAAGTCACTCACAAAACCCATCTTCATATTCGGAATAATTTTGTGTGGCACTCTGGATGGGTTTTTATATTTTGGTAAATGAACATCATGTTCAGAGGTTGGCTTATAGTGGAGTTTCGTGGAATATTAACATACATAAATGATTTTATTCCCAGTGCCAAATAGATAATGTAAATTCTAATACAAAAACATCCACAGTGTCTCATGATCAAGCAAGCAGAGTGCAGCATTTATTTTTGATGGTAGCCTTCAAGCCAGAGATGTAAATCTCACATTCCTAGTGGATGAGCAATAATCTCCACAGTAGATTTTAACGACCCAGAAGGGATAGCAGGTGGAGTGAACCCCAGCCAGGATTAAAACGTGTGGGCTTTCATTTGCGAGTCAGGCGCTCTAATCATCGCGCAACTAAGCCAGATGAGCAGAAGCCTGCTTGTGCAAAGTGCCACTTCCCAGCATACAGAACACAGCCACATTTAGACACCATTGTCATCCAGTTGCTGCCACCAGCATTCACACAGCATCCACAATCAGATTCACAAACACTTCCCAAACCACCTAAATTGCGAGCTATTTGCATTTAAGAAAAGACTGCGACACAAACCCTACCCTTTAAAAAAACACATTAAAAAAGTTTTATTAAAAATTTCTATATACTCCCGTCAGGGTTACTCAATAGGCGCAACATGGACCAGCACCCCCAGTTCTTTGTGATGTGCCCCCCCTCCCCTTCTCTCGCACCCTCATTGTGTGGCTGCGGCCGGCACGCTAACCCGCTCGCTCGATCACTCGCGTATAAAAGAAGGCCGAAACTCTGCCTTTCATTTACACAAAATACTCTTCTATTCAAGGCTTGCCTTTTTGTCTAGATCAATAGTGGCTGAAGCCTTCTGAATATGAAATGATGTGGCTTCCCACATCATTGAAATTGAAAGTTTTCTTCGGTGCAAGGCTGTGAGTTTTATGTAACTGTCTTGATTTGTAATAAGTTCTGCTACGATAGTCCAAACCTGTACATTCACAGTTGTCCTTTTACATGGGAAATGTAATATTTTAAAAAGAATGTCTGCCTTGGAAACAAGCGAGGGTTGGGTAGAGAATATTTCGGACGATTAAGTGGAAGTACTGTACACGTAAAATGCCCACTACATATTTTTTTGTGTTCTATCATGGGACCTTATTTGCCAGAATCAACGTATGAAAAATACGAATAGTTTATAACCTTTCTGGAAATAAAACAGGTGTTAAGATGTTAAAACAGATGTTGAGATGTTCAAACATCTTTTGCAAGGAAACAAGTCTGCATTAACCACATGTACTTGTGGTGAAAATGCAAACAAACATGCTCTGATAATTCTAGATTTAAAGCTTTCGTGACTGCAAGGATCCATACTCTTTGGTTCTATTCGGTAAAGTCACGTGACTTTACCGAATAGAACCCAAGCGTATGCTCTGATAATATAGTCTTTGAAACTGACTGTCTCTGGTGTAACTCAATAAGTTTAAAAGATAATGCATAATATTTTCAGAGCATGTTTGTCTGCATGTTCACCAAAAGTATGTGTGGTTAATGCAGACATTACCGATATATAAAAGGGAAATTTGTGAATATGTCTGTTCGAAATGTTTAGCATACTTCCCGACATGCAACAAACTTAAAATTTGGAATATGGGTAGTTTCCAGACTGTACACCATGCAAACAGCATAAAGATGGACTTTTGTATAGTTTTTTTTTGGGGGGGGGGGACGCAATAATGGATATATTTTGCATGGCAAGTGAGCCGTGACGTCAAATCTGTGATGTCACCCGCATGCGGAAGCGTTACGCAGTGTGCCTGCTGATGTCACACATCCCCGCCCAACCCTCCGCGAGTAAAGTGCCATACAAATGTGTTGCAGGTCTAAGGCGTTCTTCGCGCAGCATTGGTTTATTATTTGAGTCGTTTACTGCCGTACGCACCTTGAAAGTTGTGTGTGTCTGCAGGAAGCGTGTGTATGTGTACCTATGGATGCGCGTGTGTGTGTGTGTGTGGGGGGAGCGGTAGTGTAGTGGTTAGCACGCTGCGCTATTAACCCGGCGACCCGATTTCGATTCCCGCTCACGGCCACCACCGGTGACGATTTTTTGAACCGGTCCTGGGCCTCCCCTAGATAGACTCAGCCTCAAATGAGTAACTGGTGTGGTGTGTGAACATCGCCACTGGGGAGACAAAGGGTGTGGTGAATCCAAGTCCCGGGCAAAGCCGAGTAGTAAAGCTAGTTCCTTACAAAAGGCATCTACAGTATTTGGTGATTTAACATCTTAACACCTCCTGTTTTATTGCTAGAAATGGTAAAACTCATTCTTAGTTTTTATACTTTTTCTGTACTGTTCAACAGAATGCGAAATCCCCATTCATTTGCTCGTGAGCAACATTACGTGTGTGTGCCAATGTCAGAGACAAAGGATTTGCAGGCTGACTGCTGCAATGCCCTTGAGCAATATTGTGGCCAAGGTGGAGTCCTTCGTCTCCAATTGTAAAGGTGTAATGACCATGACCTTGGCTGCATCACGACACGGGTGCTCGGTGCCTGGTGACTGGCGCACGCTGTTGCACGCGCTTGGGTTACTTATGACCTGCAATGGCAGCAGGACAGTGCTCCTGCAGCTGGAGGCAAGGATTGAGAGGTGAATTATCACATTTCTACGTACCAAAAAAAAACTGATTTCATATGCCACGTTGCCATTTAGTGATTATTACTTTGATAATATAATGTAATACATTATAATAAGTTGCGGCCCTTTGTGAATCCATTGACAGATGAAGGCCTCCCCATGCCGTGTCCATCATGGGACTGTGTGACCATGCTTCACCATGCTGGTCAGTGTCGTTTAGTGGGGGGGGGGGGGGAGAAGACAAGTTCAGATATTATCTGTACCCAGATTGATAGCGCAGTACACAAACCAGCATGCCACCATAACCCTGAGCAAAATCAAATACATCAAACAATGATTCTTGATAGACATCTTCCATTAATTCTCACAGCGATATCAATCCTCGTCCATGCAGCAGTCAATACAGGCTCCTGTGAAAAGAAAACTGCCCATTCGTCTCTCATACCTCGGTCACGAATTACAGATTACAGGACAAGGTGCTGCACGCAAATTCAAATACCCCTCCAAGCGCTGCACACCGCAGACGAACACGACACAAACTTCAACCGTACATCGCACATCATGACGTAGCGGGATGACAGCACTCCAACCTTGTGGGGGCGGGGTGCAGGGGCAAGTGAAGGATTCCAGTGTGGCTGTGGGTTAGTAACGATTCCTAATGAGTCTATACGGATACATCACTGTGCAGCTTGTGCTGGCGAGTAACAGTATGTAAATGAGTCAAAGTCAAAGGAGGAGGGCCTGGCGCCTACTCTGACGCTTCTGCAATTCGCAAGCATGGTGTTCATGAATCCGATGTATGACGTGGTTGTGCTCCAGTGAGAGACAATATCCATCCAAACAGCCGTGTGTCCCTGAGTCACAAGATGATGCATATAAACATATATATGCACCAAACATCAAACTCAAAGTGAGACCCAGTGGCATATCGTCTATGTTTATGTGTACAAAAAAAACCAGATGCTTGTTTATGAGCTTGCTTTTTCCCTTTAAGGCAGTATCTTTCCAAGCATGAGAAGCTCCACTGTGTTGGAGACAGCAGTCTGCAGTGAGATGGGGGGGGTGGAAGATTTGACAGAGGTGGTTTATTTTTTATCATTGGGAGGGATCTCCAGAGGCAAGCAATATTGTTTATCCAATTAAAATTAAACGCATTGAGGATGACTAACACGCAAAAAAACTCCCTTGGAAAAGTTTCCTCTGATTAAGTGATGTTTTCCTTTGTAAAATTAAATTATTATCAACACGCTCGGGTCGGTATAGGGGTTTGAATACCAAAGGAAGAAGCAGGTTCTCGTGCAAAGCAAGATAGTGGCAGAAGCATATATTTGGTGTAAGCAAAGCTCTACGAAATGCAATAGCTTATATTAAAAAAACGCAATAAATATTAAGCAAAGTTGACACTTTTGACAAGAGAATCAGATCACAAACAGAAGATTTTGATTTTAAATCCTGTCGAGGGATGTCCTCAGCTCATTATCAGTGCTGGGTTGATATTCATTTTGTGGGAAGTTAACAGTGGTGGTCAGTCTATTTTACAGGACAGACTGGCCACCACCATGAATGTCTAATTCCCACCAATGACTGAGGGCTGCTGAGGACTACCCCATGCTCATTTGAGTAGGGAAGCACTAAATGTATTTTCGGGTACCCAAGGCATCCATCGACTCTCAAACATTTCATTTGATATCCCTGGGGTCTTATAAAGGGGCATCCTTCAAAAACGCAGCACAATAGATCCCCTTGCAAGGCGTCTGTGTCAAGGTTTTCCCTGGAATGATAATGAAGAAAACCAAACAAACCCACTGCAGATCCTGTGCTGCAGTGAATGCCATTCTGATTAGCTGCTCCGTAAAGCATTTGCTGCATGTTCAAAGGGACCTATTGGAGCTCACTGGATGAAGGGACTTTGAGCCGTTGTTATACATGGCCCAAAAAAAAACCTTGCACCTTGAAAACAGAGAGACATACCGGACAAAGGATGAGACGCCTTTCCTGTGGGCAAGTCCAGTAGCGACTCCATAGACACCGTCAGCCTGAAATAGGGGGCACAAAGTCAGCGCAAAGTGTCTAGACAGATTTAGCATAGCAATTCCAGCGTTGGCCAGACATGCAACTGGGTGTGCCAGGAAAGTCCCAGACAGGCAACGAGGAATCGCTCAATAAGTCCTTCGCAGCCTCAAAAGTCTCATAGAGGAATCTGAGAATTCCCAGACACATCCATGATATAGCACCATTTAGAAAACCAGACACGATAACAGAGTGGAGGCCAAGTGAGACTTTTCACTTCAACTCCCCCAGATGTTTGCAGTAGCACATAGTAAATGATTGAGAGAGGTTATGTTCAAGAGGTGGCCTAACTCATAAGACCATACATACTTGGATGTGTCACAGTAGTTTTCACATTGTGCTATGAACCCAGTGACCTGAGTTCGATCCCAGCCACAGCTGGCGACCGGGATCAGAACCTGTTCCGAGCCCTTTGAAAAATGACACATGGGTGTCTGGTGCAGTGTGCACAAACTGATGATGCACATCTGGAATCCTGTGCTCTTGATCGGACTTGGTGTGGATTGGTGGATCAGGAAGGGGGGGAGGGGGGTTGAGGAATATCAACAGCTGCAGAAACAGCAGCTTCATCATTAGCCCCATCATCGTCGTCATCATCATCGATCTCATTTATCATCACTGTCATTATTATCCATTACTATCCTACATATTTGGCTGAAAAACATCTTTATGTATTAAGGATGGAAAGGCTTGGGCAATTGTTGATGCTGGCTCACCACCTGGCTGCCTTCCAACCTGTCGGTGGTTTCTCAGCAATTCTGTGATGCAATTTGCATGAACGAAATTGTATAAAACTAAACGCAACATTATTATAACACCTGAATTCATAAAACGTGTGAAAACAGCTTCTGCATGAAATAGGCCCTTAGAAGTATAAAAAACAGCCATTATAATAATTATACCCGCTCCTACTGGACATCTGTGAAAGGGAGAGCTGTATAAGCTCATCAGATTCCTCCAGTATAAACAAAGATTCTGAAATATTCTGATTATGAGAAATCATTAGTGAGTAACGTGCGTGTCGACCCTTAAAAACCGCTATTGTTAAACATGCAGGAAGATTACACACATCCTGCTTGAAATGTGGAGTGATATTAGCTTGAAATTCGCTGGTTCGCCATTTTTAAGACAAGCAGATAAAAAAAAATCCTGAGTGCCAGGCTTGGAAGATTTTTAACATTCAGGAAATGGCTATGGGCAGGGGGGGGAGTCACGTGGGGTAGGCGCTGTTCCCCCATCCATGCGTATTAATTAAATTGATATTGAATTCCTGCATTGCTACGTTCTCTTGAATACTGGGCAAAGTAATGGTGTTCTAGTCTATCTAGTCGGAGAATGTCGGTGACCACCGTTTAAATAAACTAAATATTGGGGGTGAGACAAGGTGGTTACATTTACAATGCCTTTCTGGTTTGCACTACAATTGCACCATTTGTCGGGAAATCAATCCAATGGCTCACAAACACACTCCACTGCAGCCCACCTACCACCTCTCAACCACCTCTTGGACGAATCCATCATTCCAGACATTTCATGTCAGTAGCAATAGACCTAATACGGGGGAAAAAAGGATGGAACCACTGAAATGCAGGCAGTCTTGCATTGCAGCCTTGGCCCATTTGTATTCTGCGCAGTGGGACGCCCTGCTCTGCATGCTGCCTTGGAGCCCCTGCATGTGGGCTGACATGCCCTAGGGAGGGCCTGTGCGCACCGCTCAAATGCATGTCTAGCGGACGTGCAATGACTCACTGGAGTGTGGGTGTTCTCCTTCCTCGCTCGATCAAGGGGGAAACACTCTCCTCCCCCACCACCCTGGTCTCACTCTGGGTCAAAGCAGTGAAAATAATACCACCATTTGGCTAGGTCGCTCTGAAGTTTGTGTCAGAGCACTGAGCCAGCACCATTTAGAGCCTAGGTTGAACTCTGGGTTTCAACCACCCGTCCTAGCGAGTTGATGGTCTCTGCCAGGTGACAAAGGATCGCACAAAATGTTTGTTTTTGACTTAATTCAGCGAATCTTAAGTTACGTAAGTAAAAAATAAAATAACAAAAATCACGACGTTTCGGCCACAACACAAGCGGCCTTCATCAGGTGAAGGGACGAGACTGTCTGGAGGACAGCGCTGATAGGAATACTGTGAATAACCCAGTTTAGCCAGACAAATATAGAAATCCATATGTTGAGGTAAACAATTGAAAATTTATGGACAACAGTAAAAGTCAACAATGTCACTTCCAGGTTATTCCCTAAATGTGAAAGGTCAAGTCTGAGTGTCTTCATGCTTAAACGAACAAGGAGCAGTGCCTACCTGCACTGCCAGTTAGGAGCCAAGGATGAAAATTCCACTTTCCTATATCAAAATCAGTGTCTTTATAGGACAACTACCATTGAATTCCCACAACATCAGTAGTCATTGTATTACTCCTAAAAAGAATGATGGGCTGAGTCAACCTCTGGCCAGGAATTTAACGTGTGATCTCCCTCTTAATAGTTGCGTACTCTAACCACCTTGCAACTGCAATGGGAAATACGTCGCGCTGTTTATAATTGCACACATGCCAATATTACAAGAGAAAATAAATATATTAAACACTTCGTAGGTAAAAAAATAGTATGATGGATCAAAAACTGAGTTGAAAAAAGTTTAATCTAATTCGTTTTGGGATATGCTATTTAATGACAAAGGCAATTTTTCTCTACTAAAATGTCCAATTTTTTTATTATATCAGTCAGTGCATCTGACAAAATGCAGATATTGTACCACCAATGCTGTTTTTTTAACACTATTTGTACTGTGGGAAAATACTAAATATCGGTTCGAACACCAAACAAGGGTTGCTAAAATCACCACACATTCATACACAAACAAGACACAGATCACCAGTTGAACCTTCTAGACCAGAGGAACAAGTGTTCTGAGCCAGTGCCTAATAAAGCCTCATTCACACATGGCATGGTGGAGTGGTCAGCACCATTCTTGACCAACTTATTCTTTTCAGTGCTCATGCTATTGACCACATTGCACCAGATCATTGTTGAAAGCCAAGTTGACCTTGGGGACAACAGAAAAGGTGTATATGCCATTTGCAACTGACTTTGTGTCATGGCTCGGAACTGAACCTAAGTTTCTGGAATTATAATCCAGTACACACAAGACAATCCATCACCACTCACTCCCACCCCCTCAACCATACACCCACGGAAGCAAATGCACACAGTTATGTGCAGTGGCACACACACGTATGCCTTCATCCTCATGACACCTTTCAAACTGGACCTGAGATATTTCAGAACTGTGACCTAAATTTGGAAGTGGAATGAGTCAACAACGATGTGGGGACAATGGGTAGGCCAACCTTGAGGCACCGAGAAATTGAAAGATTAAACAAGCAAGAAAACAACCTCAGGGAATTATGGGTTGTTACACATTAACACTTTACTAGCTCATTGGTACAGTAGAATATATTAGTTAAATCACTGTAAACATAATGCATGAATGAACAAATCATAAGGGTTGCTTAACATTTTATAACATTATAAACGCACCTTCTGCCTGCCTTCTGCCTTGATTTGTTCTTCCAATCACATGGCAATTTGTTAATAACAGCAAAGTTGCAAATTACATGCTGTAAGTGCCCGGGTGACTCGGGATTCAGAGCAATGAGCCAGCATGCTGGGATCTCTGTAATTTTCAAGTGTAGCATGTTCATGGTCTCAGCCACACACCAATGACTGCATAAACGTATACATCACATTTAATTTAGTTTTTCACTTATCTTAGGTTAAGCCAGCATCTGAAACATACGTATTTTAATTTAAAGCTTTCGTGACTGCAGGGATTCATATTCTTGGTTCTTTTGGTAAAGTCACGTAGAAGGGAAACAATAAAATAATAAAAATATAAAGCAATAAAATTCTCACGACATTTCGACTGCAACACAAGCAATCATCATCAGGTGTGAAAACCACAGCACATTTTCTTGCTGTGGTTTTCACACCTGATGATGATTGCTTGTGTTGCAGTCGAAACGTCGTGAGAATTGTATTATTTTATATTTGTATTATTTAATGTTTCCCTACTACGTGACTTTACCGAAAAAACCAAGAATATACATATTTTAGTTTGATTCACATGCGATGAACAATCTCTATAGGGGATTAAATGCGTGACCCGTGTGTTACAGAACACTCAGCATATTCTGAACTATTAGGATCCCATAAAGATTTAGAGCTCATGCTAGAGCTCGTAGCATATGCGTGTAATCAAGATCACTGGAGGCAGGGTGGATGGCTGATGCGGAGATAATTATGTGCTGTAAGATGGATAAACATGCGGGGCTGCGAGATGGCCTGGTGATGTTAGAAAACAAATGGATCCATGACCAATCTGTGTGAACCTTTGAGTGATATTCCCTCGTATATAAGGGGATAACACCTGCCCATATGCAAACACAACAAAGGAATGGTTCAACATCCCAATGCAAGATTCGTATAATAAGTGTTTTGAATATTCAGTGAGCCTTTCCTGAGCAAGGGACAAGACATGTCGATCCCCCATGTGGGAACAGGTGGCCTTAGTGTCAGGATGGACAGGGCCAACAAGCCGAGAGCATCTAAGGGTAGTGCTTGTGTCAGCTGTACAGGGTGGTAAATACCAAAGTTAATTATGTTGCGCTACGTACAATATTCACCAGCTGCGCATCACATTAATAAAAATATTGGATTTAATAGGGAAAATTGCAGGTTTAGGCTAAAATGGTGTGGCAGGGGGTCCTGAGTCAGCAGTGGATTGACAAAAGGGCCATACATGTACATGTGTAGTGACATAGAATTGGTCACTTAGCAGCATAACGCTGGTTGCTGGCAGGGGTGGGGATCTGCATCTTATAGCAACCCTGACTGGCAGAAGGCCATATGATAGACCAGAGAAGGATCTAGGGGAAAGGTTACGGAAGGGGCACATCGGGAACCTGCTAGAAGGTTCCAGAAGGGGGGCGTGACCGGGGCAGAGCCAGGCCACTCGGACAGTATAAGAGGGGCCCCAGGAGGGGACCTCGGGGCTGTCGTTTGGAGTGGGATCCCCGTCGTTACTGCTGAAGATCGTCGCCATCATCGCTGTCGTCTCGCCGCCATTGTCGCTGTCGTCATCACTTGATAGACGTAGTTGGCTGTCTTAATTCAGCGCCGTCAGTGTCAAGACGGCTAGCGTTGTGTGTAGGCTAGTTAACCAGTGTAAAGTTGCGTATAAGCGAGAGACAGAGGAGTGTGTAACAGTGTAGGGTGTGTATTGTACAAAGTGTGCTCGGTGTAAATAAAATAACTGCCTCCAAGAACTTACGTCTCCAAGTCAGTCACTACACATGTATTTATATATGCTGTTTACATGAGTATTATTTAAATATCAGGGCTAGATTTAATAAAGCAGTTTTCCTCTTAGCATGCCTATGTATAGTGGAGAAGGGCCCCAACACTGGCAACCCCCTGGCACTAGTGTGTTGGTAAGAATGCCCGATCCACTCGTGGCATATGACCGTGCCCATCCACTGACCTAAAACATTGTACGAGATGCACGTGACTTCTCCCTGACCAGGGCTTGTCAGGTCCTCTTTGTAAAGTGTATTCCTGTGGAAGAACTGAAGCTCTTGTCAGATGTCAGGCCTATCGCACTTGACATGGCACGTGGCCCACAACTGCCCAGCTTGCCTACCATTTTTATGTGACCACCGCGAGGCCTCGACTCTTGGTACTCCCGGGCTGTCAAATACCTTGAGATGCAAGCCTACTTCTTCCCTCCTTCTGGGAGCCAGGCATGAGGACACCCCTTGGTGGGTATCAGCTGGTGGTTTAACGGTTGCGCCGCACCCAATTGCACTCGCCCCCCCCCCCATGTGGGGTCATGTGCTTAATGGCATCATAAGGCATGGGAGCAAGTGCGGAGCTGAATTTTTATGCTGCACAGGGTGATCACAGGTTAAGAAAGCCTGAACATATTCGTAATCAATAGACTCTGGAATGTATTAAAAAAACGTATTTCATTGTTGGAATAAGAAACATTTCTGAGAAATTGGGTTACCAAGGGAGCAGTAGTAATGCAGGTGTATGTCAGGAGTGAATTATGCCCTGGGGAAGTATGGTTTTGTTGTCTTCACATCTCTCTGGCGTCAAGGCATGTTACAGTGCAGGAGTGGAACATGTTGATAATGAGCACGAACCTATTCCTGCAGCCTTCACCTTGTCCTTAAGTTTTTCTAAGTGCCTTGTCAAGGACCTAATGCATATTCCTGCTCATCAGTGCCACGGTGAATAGACCATTAAACTGGCCTCTCATGCCTGAATAATCCAGCTTGCTATATCAAAACATTGCATATCACAGTCCTTATTAATGTCATTTAAAATTATTACAACGGCACAATTAGCAACTTAAAGTCCTTCAATGTTTCATGAATTTTCAGGCAATCCAATGTTGTGACAAGACACGAAGACCTATTATTGCATTGGGAAATTATCAAAAATGAAACAACAAAAAAATTTTGCCAAACAGGCCTGTAAAAATCAAGTTGATCTTTTTCAAAGGAACTACAAAGCAACAGACTCGAGATACCCTACATCATACCCACCTGAGCATTGAACTAATTTTGACCCAAAATTGTAGCAAGAAAGCTAGGCCACGGTTCATAAATGTTGAGCACGTAGGGTCACACAGCCACTCGTAATCCAAGTGTGGTCTTGTGGGTTAGGCAGAATGTTGAGTATAATCATCTTCTCTCAAACCTTTCTCCACACGTTGCTGCGGGCATCTTGATGAGTCTTCGATTCAGGCATCTTCAAGAGTCGACCGCTGGACAATTTCCGTTACTTATGAGGCTAGTGGGCCACTCTGTTGTTTGGCAGAATGGATGGGGCACAAGCCTCGTGAAACACAAAAAAACAATCCAGTGAAATACGCATTATTAGAAAACAGCCTCTTCTGAAGGTCACTTCAATTGATTGTCACGACACACCATATGGTGGTTCTTCATGCAGTATGAAAAGTATATTGTCCATTTCACGAGCAGCGTTTGTCTCATTTGTAGTCATGTTGTATTTTATAAGTACATTTTTATGTTTCTCATTTGCATTACCTCTCTCGCATGTTTTGACTTGTATCATTCATCTCACTTCATGTGTTTGTAGTGTCACATTTTTGCTGTCCGTCTCATCTATATTTCCTATCTCCTTTCTCCTGTTTGTCTCATTTGTATTGCGCGTCTTGTTTCCACTGTGCCTCTTGTTTGTCTTGTTTACAATAACTGCCTCGTGTGATTCCTCTCGTGTCTATCACCCGTCTTGTTTGCATTGTGTCTTGTTCATCCCACGAGCATAAACATAACATTCACAAATAATTAATTTGCAGAACTCGTGAATAGTCTGCAGCAGGGCATCACTGGAGGACGTTGCAGCTTCAAGTCTCGCTGCCTACCAAAATGCGGCACCGGATGGGCAGTGGACCGTACCTCTGGACGCGTGACGGGGGTGCAAATACTCCGTGCTTGGCCGGGCACTGGAAGTAGCGCACACCTGCTACGGAGCCATCATTGCGGCCGCTTGGCTGCTCCAGCTCGATGCCGTACCAGTGTCCTGTGGGTGCACGCACACGGTCATGTATGTATTTATGTCGAACTTCTTTCGCACCACACGTAGCCAACCGTGATAATCAGAAACACATCAGTGGTGAATAAACAGTAAAGACACCGTGAAAAAAGGCCAGCGAGTAGGTCCAGTTTCTTTGTGACTATGGTAAGAGAGCTCTATTAACAACAACTTTCTGGGTGGCGCTGTCGTTCGATTCCTGGTCAGAGGTTGACTCAGCTCATAATTTATTCGAGACAAATAAAAATGAATGCAACTTTGCGTAAACTCAACATTGAACCATGGATAGACTGGCCCACAATATAGGAAGATAGAATATATATAAGTGCTCAACCAGGATCACCAACTTATCTGCATGCTAGCTGCGGATAGAGTATGGACTACAAATAGGGAAACTGAATGGACTGGATATTCTTGGGTCTTTCGGTAACGTCACACAACCTGCCTCAGCAGCTTTCCCGCTATTTATTTTTCTCCTGATGACGATTGCTTGTGTTGCGATCGAAACGTCGTAATTTTCGTTCTTTTTTTTGTTATTTTCTTTCAACCTATCTACATGACTTTACCGAAAGACCCAAGAATATTATTTCCTCCAGTCACGAAAGCTTTAAGTTATGAATGGACTGGCTTGTAAGAAGATAAATATTTATCAATATGTGCACCGTTGACCTTCGACAAAGTGGAATTAATTTGATCCAATTCCAGAGGGATGATGAATTGAGTTTAACTCCACCGTGATTTGAACTCATGACCAGATTTCAGCATGCTTACAAAAAATGCTACGAGGCAATACACTGTTTACAGTCTTCAAAAACAAACCACAAGCGAGGCAGTAATTCTTTAAATTTCATCTCACTCTGCGTTAAACAATTAAATTCGATGGATAGCACAGTGCAGCCCAGAAACGTTGGATTATAAATGTTTAGCTTAGCATTACGGCACATTTGTTCAATTTGGAAATGTCACACTGTAGAGACTCCTACCAGATCATGGTATGTATCTTTAGGGAACGCAGACTGACAAGGGTGTTTGAACACTTACCCACAAGCTTATCCAAGTCTCATTCCTAAATATTTAATCTGATTTGACCAATTAAAACACCCTTGTTAAGCCTGGGTCAATGTTGGCTTTAAAGTGGTCTGTGTTTGCTGTGTTTACTGCTGAATTTACAGCTCTCGGCATGATCTATGACAGCTGCCATTGCACCCATGCTTTATAGTAGGGAAACATACTTCCACCCACAAATGCAACAAGTGTACACGCTAATGTGCAAAGCAAAAACCAATGTGGTTGTGTTTAACACGTAGGCTTTCACGACCAATATCATCCATAATACAGGTTTTTTTGCGTTAGATCGCGTAAATATATAAATGTGCCGTTAAACCCGCCACCACCCGACACAGCCAATTATTAAGGTTTGTCACATAAACAGAACATGCCAATTTGTTACTAGTACAACATACCGGTGTGTTGGAGAGCCAAGCTACAACATTTACAATCTGAGTATGATGCTTCGCCAGTAATTACAACTTGCTTCATCAGGCGACAGACAGATTTGTGGAGAAGTCCACCTGTTTCATTTCTTTAATTAATGGCGTAGATGTTATTACAATACTTGTGCGCTTATCTTGCGCAAAGTAATTACAACTAGCTTCATCGCCTGATGAAGCTAGTTGTAATTACCCCCCCCCCCCCCCCCCCCCCAAACACCTGTATTATGAGTGGTTGTATTTTGGACAGATTGGCTAGCACCATAAGAATCTAGACTTTCCACTACTGGCTTAGGAGCACCAATGAATTTAAGCAACACCCCATTTGTTACTTCAGCACTGAGACACTTTCAATTTAACTTTGAATATGCTCTCGTCGAAAGGAACACAGCCAAGAGGATGTCCACTACAGAATTGAAGCAATGACTCAGCTCGGGCGCCGAAGCGATATTAATTTTTGCATTGTGAGACAGTGCGAGATGGTGGGTGGGAAGCTTGGGGGGGGGGGGAGAAACCTTCATCAAGCTGTGGATAGATCACGGCTAATGATGGTACTTTAGCAAAACGAATCAAATGTAAGTGTTTCACCACGAAGAATAAGCCCGCAGAAGTGTTCACCTCTTCTTTACCAACCCAAGACAGCGGTGTAAACCCCACATTCAGTCCTACCATACGTGCAAGATACCCGGAATCCCACGTGCAGTGTTTTATAACGCTCAGAATATCAATATTGTAAAGAATACTGCGGCCGTCAAATATACTGCAATACTAACCCCAGCACATGCCTTAATGCCATTCAACTCTCACTGCCTGAGGTGACCTTTGAATAAAGGATGTATAATTAAACACTAAGCAATATTTTAAAGTGTTTCTTGAAAATTAGATTTTTCATTTTGAAATTCTAATCATTTTCTAATGAAGACCCAGCTCAAACATTCATTTCATTTTTTTTACCTGCCGTATGATAAAATACAGTAAATATATCATCTTGGCCATAACCAAATATATGTTTTACACAAGGTGACAGCAGAAAAAGGCTTGCATCTTATCAGATATCCAATAGTTATTGCAGTCGTTTTTTACGTCAAAGTATCACACTCCTTAGAGTAAACATTGATTTAAATGCAGTCAACGAATGACAATAATAAGCAAATGTTAAAACAAAATCAAGAAACCACAGTGTCCTGTCAATCAAACGAAATTCACATGGAAGTATTAAAAATGTTACATTCCACAGGGAATTCTGGGGAAATATTTCCAGATGTGGTGCCGTCCTCAGGCACTCCTTGTTACAATATTCAACCTCACACAGCTTTAGAGTGGAATACAATTTGATAATACTAAACATAAACATCCATCTCTTCACTGCCATCCTTCATGGCATAGTCATCATCATCAGTTATTGCCTGATCACTGTTGGCTGCAGGCCTTCCAATGCTGCGACCATCGCTCATAGTCCTTTGCTGCCACTCTTGAGACTTGAATGCATGCTACGACACAACGTGCTACTGCACACACATTGTCTCATCATAATAAGCCACGATCCAATCTTGATTTGAAGCTTTCGTGACTGCAGGAATCCACACTCTTTGGTTCTTTCGGTAAAGTTACCTGACTTTACCGAAATAACCAAAGAGTAAGCCACGATCCATCCACTGCTGGTCTCCCTAAGTGGTCACCATTTTTCATATTCTTAGTTCTTTCGGTAAAGTCACGTTGAAGGGAAACAACAAAATAATAAAATATATATAAAACAATAAAAATTCTCACGACGTTTCGACCATAACACAAACGGTCGTCTTCAGGTGTGTTGGTTTGCATAAATGTATTTTTAAACAGTGCATTTATTTATTTATTTAAAAAACGTTAGCGCCACGCGCAGCGATTTGGCAGTTTATTTAGGACTAGTCCATCTATATTCTGAAAAGAGTAGGGGGGAGACGAAATTTTTTTTTTATATAATGTATGCTGTCTGAAAGCCACTGTAAGCGTGAACAATCAATTAAGACCTGAAATGGTTTATCAAATCTTTCCAATGATTGCTAAGATAGAATCCATCTTCTCGGTTGAAATTGTCTCTGTGCTTGTATATGTGGATAGCCTCATGAACGAATCTCTCATGGTAGCCAGATGGCTTACAAAGAACCTCTGTCTTGGAAAAGTCAATGGCATGTGAGCCTACTGAATTATAACAATGATCTGCCACGGCCGAGGTGTTGGTCCTACCATGTTTAAGGTCTGCTTTGTGTTCACGAATGCGGTCCGAGACGTGGCGTTTGGTTTCTCAAATGTAACTACTACCACAGAGGCAACTTAGTTTGTAGACACCAGGGTATTGTATGTCCGGAATCACATCTTTTACAGACGGAACCAGATCACGGATTTTATGTAATGTGTTGAAACGGACCATTTATCAATCGTGCGATGCAACAATCAGTCTAGTGCCTGCACATGAGGTGATTGCATCACTCCATCTCCGTGGTAGACGTACTCTCGGGTGTGTACCCTCCTTTGGCTGCCACTGTCATTAGTCTCGACCACCAGTCATCATCTTAACAATCAATGTGATGTCTCGAACTTGCGCATGTTCTCTAAATAATGTGTTCCTCATTCCTGTCGGTAAATATAATTACAAGAATACAACTCTCAATATATAGTTTAGCCGTTGTTATTTCTCTATAAGCCACAGCGAGTTATAATACACTGTTTAAAAAAAAAACATTCATCTTTATGGACGTTGGTATGTTACCATTAATCTTAAGTTCAGTTTTCCAAAAGCACTCCAATGTTCTCTAATTGCACCTCCTATTAGCACGGTTGGCTATGTATGGTGCGGAAGAAGTTCAACATACATACAATCAGCCGGTTTTTGTCATCATTTTGATCCAGGTTTACGTTGGTATGCATACTAAAATATGTTTTGCAGCTGTGTTTCTCCAACAGACATATTCAATTGTTGAGCAAACTTGTACATATTTATTTTTCTACCCACTGTGAGCTTTATTTATTACTTTTTTCATAGGAGTTCCTGTAAAGTCAAGCTGTGTTCATAATTACTCCATTATCAGCAAGTGACTATGTCATTGGCAAGCACTGGTCAATAACAACGCCTAATAAGGCCCAAGACTCAACTCCCCATCCTCTCTTCTCGCCTGCACAGCCCAAGAACAAAATGTTTAAAAATACTAAACGGATAATTGTTTAACCGCCATAAAGTTGAATAAATAATTATCACATCTTTACACGAAACATTTCCCCCGTGTCATAATGTATGAGTGATGTAACAGATTGTGACATTATTTTAAAACTGTGTTGTGTGGGGACCGCTGCAATCGATTTCTAGAATGACATCATTAACAATACATTTCTGTTTGATGATGTCAACATTTATATTCTTGTCTAAGCAGTCTGTAGGGGATGGTCCTTTTGTAAAATGGTGAACATTTTGTCAATTTAGTTAATCACGGTAAACACTCCATAATAGGAAAAAAATATATATACGTATATAATACAGAAATAAACAGCAAGATTTGTAATAAACAACGATACCAATTATATATATACAAAATGTAAATGATGAAGTCACCCACTAGGGCAGGGGTCGGCAAGCTGTGGCTCCGGAGCCAGTTGACCAGGGAAGTCCTATTCACCATGGAAGTCGTCCGGTTCTCTATGGGAGTCCAGTTTACCAAAATAATACGGTAAAAAAAGCCTCAATATTTCAAGAGCCACAATGTATGTGAATACGAGACCGTGCTCCTTGATAAATAATGTTCACGAAGCAGTCCTTAAAAAGCCACACACGGCTCCGGAGCCGCAGGTTGACGACCCCTGGGCCTAGGCAACGGGGGCATCACTCACCAGGCGCGAAATGCGTCGTGCCTTGAAAGCGCAGCACACCTGCCCTCTGCCCCGACACCAGCAAGCGCTCTCCCAGCTCCAACTCGGCAGCCCCATCTGACGTGCCGCCACTCCCCGACGAAGGTAGCCGCTTTCGGACCCCTGTTTCCAGCACCAACATCGGCAGGTTACACAATCTGTAAGGTGTGATATAGCCCATATTTAACACTGTCGTATAATTTGCACAAATCGTAAACAATCGATTGTTGCATGTAGGATTCTATGCATGAACCTTGAGGGTAAGAATCAACAGTCATGAGAAATGAAGCAAAAATGGTTCCATAGATAGAATTCAAGCATCTTTACAATGGGGAATTGTCAGTGCGTAATTTAGTCGCGATCCCTGGAATGGCCACTAGTGGCAGTAGAGTTTAATTTGCAAGGTGATAAACCCATCGAGTCTTCTCTGCAAGGATGACCTGAGCCAATAATTAAACAAGCAGTATAAAACATTACGGTATATCGTCGGGAAGAATCCTGATTGATCCACTGTTTCAAAAAAACGCCAGAAAAGAAGAACATATGCGAAGCCAGGGATGAGAAGGAAAAGAAACGACCAAATAAACATGACCACTAAAACCGCACCGAGTTCTTACGGCCCTGACCTCACCAATCCACCCAGACCACACTGACCACCCCCATTGATCATGGGATTTGCATACCAAATCCAGCAGGGAACTCCTATCTCAAATATGCATACACTGTGTAATTACTCTATTCCATCCAGTTCCCCACGCTGCCACTGCACAACTGCCCACCCACTATTCCTCGTCCCAGCCTCTGGCTTCTACATCCCTTTGCCTCTACTCCCCTCTGCCCCTCCATCTCTCTTTTAATTTGCATGAATTTGGTTGCATCTATCAGTGTTGGATGGAATTGGCAGAATTTGACATATCATGCTCACCTTTAATACAGATATACACCCAAATTTTGTAAACAAATTACAATAATACACTTTGAGGATCGGTGCTATACAACATCATAAGCCCAACCTGTACAACTTAAATGTTTTACAGGTTGCCCTGAAACTATTGCATGGCTTTAAAAGCCACAGCATTGTGCATCAGTGATGTGCGCCAAAATATTTTCCCCTTCTGTATGGCGCAACATTCATTAAGATGGCAGCATTGTTCTGTGCATGAAGCAAAATTGAATAAGGGCAAACATCAGTCACGGCAAAAATGCCTTTACAGAGGCATAAGGTTATGTGTGCCTATTAATATACATTCATGAATTCTGCATTAGTTATTTGAAGAAACACATACCCAAAGATATGAACCATGGATAAACACAATGACAGTCCATAAGAGGTTTTTTTTTTGGTTATATTGCGTAAATATATAAATGTGTCATTAAACCTGCCACCACCCGACACAGCCAATAAGTTAGGTTTGTCACGTTAGCAGAACGCGTCAAATCGTATCTAGTACAGCACACCGGTGAGTTGGAGAGGAAAGTCATAACATTAACAATTTGAGCACAACGTTTCGTCAGTAATTACAACCAGCTTCATCAGGCCACAGCCATATTTGTGGAGAATTCTGCCTGCTTCGTTCCTTAAATAGAGGCGTAGATATGATGACAACACATGTGTGCGCTTCTTGCGCGAAGTGGGGGGGGGGCGGGTTAATGAATGTATATTAATATGGTGTCAAATCAACGTGCATTATGCATGCGCATTATGGGAGCCCATTGTTCTTGTACTTCCTGTCGATTGTGTGTCCCAAAATATTCATTACTTGAGCCACTCAATAAAGAATTTATATCTTGTAATAGCATTGTATGTATCAGAAAATCGTGTGCATTAACATTGCTATCCTGTCTGCACATGCAGAATTGTAGTACAGCAAGGCCTCGTTTAATGCGTTGACGGGCACGTTCCGTATTGTGTGAAAAACGTCCCCAAATGGAAGAACCGCGTTTATGACGATAAGTCTTGTGTTGTGAACACGCGGCATTACATCATGGGACCTCCTTTGCCAGTACCAAATATATGAGAATAGTTTTTCCCCTTTTTTCTGGCAACAAAACAGGTGTTAAGATATATATTCTTGGTTCTTTCGGAAAAGTCACGTAGAAGGGAAACAATAAAATAATAAAAATATAAAACAATACAATTCTCACGACGTTTCGACTGCAACACAAGCAATCATCATGTGTTGCAGTCGAAACGTCATGTGTTGCAGTCGAAACGTCGTGAGAATTTTATTGTTTTATATTTTTATTATTGTATTGTTTCCCTTCTACGTGACTTTACCGAAAGAACCAAGAATATGAATCCCTGCAGTCACGAAAGCTTTAAATCAGAAATATAATATTATGTAATTTTTATAAGTCATTACTTGAGCCACTAAATAAAGAATTTATATCATTGAATAGCATTGTACGTATCAGAAAAACGTGTGCATTAACATTGCACGGATAATTATGCATATAGAAGCAGATAAAACGGACACCTAAAAATGCTAATGCAACATTTCAAACTCGAGTTAACTCATGCGTGACCTATACCAGTGGTGAGTTATCCATCTTGTAATTACACACTCCGTGAGCTTACAACCAAATATATCTCACATTTTCCAGTTAATGCATTTTTACTTCACAATAAAAACTGCACCTTAACTGCACATTAACCAGCATTTGAAAAATTGTGTTTTTTCTCTCTCATTTAATGGTAACGGTCGACTGAACTGGGTATAACAAGCACATCTATAGTTAAATCGTCTCCCTGCTCAAATGGGCACTGGGACAATACTCATCTTTGTTGACAGTCCTAGCCGGTGGTAAAAAAAAAATCACATTCCCATGGCAGGGGCCAGTCCACCTATGGAACACACTCTTTACATTCTAGCAATGTTGTACTCGCTCTATGGCAGGCTGAATTGTCTCCGTATCAAAGTTTGAATTCTCAACTTTCAGATTTCAAGTGCTCTTAGTCAAAACGCAACCTGGCTCAATGCAGACAGGTACAGTATTTAAACCCTTGCAATAACTGTCATCCCATATTGATTACTGTCAACCAAAAGAGACAATGACAGTGTGCACTGTGTTCTAATATAAAAACAAATGTCATACAGTATTTCGATATGGAACACCTGCGTGAATTCTGAGATGACTGACCTCCAACGTGTGGATTGTCATATGGCTTACCGCCGTTTCCTCCCATGTAAAAATACGAGCAGAAAAGCCTTAAATATCACATTCTAGAACAGGACCATCTATAGAATGAAGCGAGCTTCCCAGGGTGAATATTTAATATCAAAAAATAAAAAGCAATAAAAAATGGTTTCTAATTTCCTGGTACTATTCAAATTAAAAGGCCATTTAAACCATGAAGAATGTATACTTCTTCCGTGACAATGCATATATTTGCACAACACTTCAGTATTACATTTTTGTGCAGAGTTCATTCATTTATTATGTTGAAGAAAAAAAAGAACCTTCAACAATATTTCTCTGGATCATCAAAAAAATCTATATTTTTTTATATTGCTGTTGAAAGGCTATAGTTTATCCCATGACATGGAAGCATTTTTACATTTGTACAGCCCATCAGTCCTCAGCTGTCAATAAAAAGGGTACGAATTTGTTAGAAATCCGCAGTAGTTGTTTTCGAAAGACTGGCCTCCAACATGGAAATGTGGAATTGTGACGACTGGCTCAAGACCACCAAGTGAGAGTATTACTGCTCAATGCTCATTTGAACAAGGAGTCACTTGGTCTTTGTGTTGATTATAGTTCATTAACTGACTAATGTATAGATTAACCTTCTCTATATAGAGTAATGGGATCAGTATAGAATCAGATATACGCTACTGGAATCCATGTAATACTGGAATCGGTATAATCAGTACATACATTTACCTCTCCCGGATAGCTTCACTGACAATCAAGATAATTTTTCCCAGTAAGGCCCTGCTTTTTGGATGTTTGAGTAGTTCCTGAATGAATTGTTCACATGTAGCCAGAAATTGAGGTGCTCTGAGAAACCCAAAGCATACAAAGGTATAAGATGAAAAATATTAATCCAGATAGGTCGGTAGCCCAATTGCTCTGCTCCCATCTACTGAAATACAACAAAGCTCACCATATAGCTTACAGATATTTACATCCACTTGTAACGTATTTGGATGTAATAAGAAAATGTATCAAATATAAAAAATAAAATTATGAACTCTAGATTTGAAGCTTTCGTGACTGCAAGGATTCATACTTTTTGGTTTTTTCGGTAAAGTCATGTAGGTAAAAAATAAATAAAATACAATAAATGAAAACTAAATTAAATCACGACGTTTCGGGCGCAACACAAGCGTCCTTCTTCAGGTGGGGACAACGTAGCGAAAGCACAAACGCTTAAGTGTGTCTCAGAGATGGCTGTGACGAGGGATTATATAGTCGCGCTGCATGGAGAGAAATTATGAACTTCAATTTATATTTCTTATCATATGAAGTATATTTTTAAGTAAGAACATTTAAAATGATTATCTCTGATAGCAAATCCAACATGCTCAAGCGCAGCTCAAGTACAGCGACTGTTTCTGTGACAATACCACCACGGAAGTGGAGCGATGAGTTTAGCTCATGTACAGGAGTGAGATGGATTGTGGCATCGCAGAGCTGTTAGCAATGACGATGGCACAGAGAGGCCTTCATACAGCAGCGAATATATAACTACTGATGATGACAGAAGACTACATGGTTTTAATAGCATCAGAATGAAAGGCTCATCTTTCTTTAATTGGCTGGATTGTCAGCTTCTCATCACGTGTAAAAACCCAACATGAGGCACATGGCAAGTCATGACAGAGACTATTTTAAATTAACAATTCTTCATATGAAATATTTGTATCTCAGAGTCTATCTTCACACTTGAATGAAAGTGTTAATTTAATTCATAACCATTACTGCTTTGGAGTAATGACAGTCATTGCCAAATCTCATTTTAAACTAATGTACCATTCATTTTCATTTCCCAAAAGGAAATGAGATATCATTATTGTGTAATTCACCAACCCAAGCAATCAAAGGAGTACCTGCATTTACTTATACAGCTGCCATTAATATATTTTAAATTGCACTTGGTCTGTACGAGATTTGGTCTAAGATATACACAAATATAAAAATGTGTACACAATAAAACCTTCCAAAGGCAGATTTTCCGGGAATATTTGTCAAACTGCATATACTTCCAATAACACATGTCAACACTATCTAATCTGATTAACACTTAAAACTTACGAATAGGTAACTCCATGTCTATGATTTACGAACCACATCATTGCAGTTTAATCTTAGTGTTGTGTAGTACAACCACGCGGAGATGAGGAATACTAAAGGGGCTGTTGCCGTTTATTAAAACACTCTCACACTCGGCATCCTCCACTCACACCAGTGGAGGTGCACTATCTCGGTCCTTCACCCGGACACTAAATACTATTTGGACCCTACCCTCGGCTATCCCTTTAGCTCTCACTCGTCTGCCTGGAGCAGGGGATCAGCCAACACTGCTCCGCAACGAGGAGAGAGACCCTCTTCCAGCCGGTCCTTACCCTGGCTCCCCACGACGACCCTGCCCCCTTTTTCCGAAAGCCCCTTAGGTAACCCGTGACCTTACGTCAACCTGGAGGAAAATCCACACGACCACGGAGAGAGAGACATGCAAACTCCAAATATACAGGAATCAGTTGGGATCGAACCCACGACCTCATATATTAGGCGAGGTAGTTAAAATCTTGCCACCATGGCACTCATGAAAGGATGAAGGGATTTTTATAACGGACTTGAAGAGAACAGATTAACATAATTCCACGCAACAAATAAGTACGCAGCTTTGCAACTGCTAGTGCACAAATGCACATAAACTCTAGTAATGACAATTGTCAGGGATAGCATCTTGCACATCCTCGCTTGGACAAAGCAAGCGGATTGACTGCAGAATACCACATCCTATTACGTGCAGCGTAAATACCGTGCCAACAGATTTCCGGTTTGAGATTTTTAGGCATTCACATTTTTCTTTTTCTTTAGGCCCCCGTCCATCTGCTTAGCAGCGACGGTGGGTCTGAATGTAGTCCCGCCCATTACTGTTTGTCGTTTACAAATATCACGGCTTCGTTTTCTGCCAATCCCCGCAGTTATACGTCTTCTCACACTTGATCAATCCAACGCGGCGGTATTTTGTCTGCCTCAACATATTGATCCTTTTTTTTAGGTGTGCATTACCACATGTGGTATTCTGTCAGGATCCATTTTGAAGATAAGTCAAAACCACTGCAGTCTTCTCGCGTCGGTATTGTGTAACATTGCTTTTCTTTCCCTAGACATTTTCTTAAATCTGATTTTTTTAAGCCTTGAAATTCCCAAAATGTAATTAATGGTTTTGAACATTGATGAACGTTAAGCAGTAGCCAATACTCATGCAGGTATCACATTACACGCATCATGGCCCAGAAGTCATCATCATCATTATAGGCTATCCCTCGCAAATAGGATGATTTTGTTCCATAGAAAAGATGGATTATCTGTGGGTCCAAAGATAGCTGAAGAGACCAATCTGGGATTGACAGATCCTGCCGCAGTTCAGGCACATGTGTCCAGAAAGAGTGGGTGGGTGGAACTGCATTAGTAAGTCGGGCTGCAGCGTGCTGTTTCTGCCATTCCAGTTTTTCCTCTTCCTGTTTCCGCTTTTGAGTTTCATAATGTTAGGAGCCTTGAAATACAACTCTTGTTTCCAGCTGAAGTGATCCTGGGCAATAGTCTCCCATGAGTTGGTGTCAATGGTGCACTTCTTCATGTTTAATTATCCGACTTTAACACTACCAATGCTGGGTAGAGCTGTGGTTAGAGCAGCACTCGACTGAATCGAAAAGGTCAAATCCCACTCTGGAGGTCATGCTTGGAGTGTAACACACGCAATGACATCTGAAATAATGAACAAATCAACCTCTAAAACAGTGAAGCACAGGCACCATCACACCCAGTGGGGTTTTGAGACTGTGATGGCAGACGTGAAATGTATAGCAGCAGGGTACCGTGCTGGATGCGTGATTCTGCTGGCTTTGTCCGGGGGGGCTGAGCTCCTGCATTGCGCGATGGCTTGAGTGGCAATGTAACTGACGCCCTTCTCCTGGTCAAGTGGGGGGAACTGGAACCGGATGAGGATGAGCCAGAGCCTGAAGGCACAGAGCAGGTTTTTACTCACATCTATTGTGCATTTACTCACATCTATCTCATTCTTCAGCTCCCAAAAACATCCTCAACGACGAACTTACATTTTATCGCTGCAAGCGTGACCACTAAGTATCGTTGAAGAATTGAACACTTACCATACGTTATCGACCTCTTTCGTAAGTTGGGAAGTTTTTTAAAACCATGGTGACATGGAGGCGTGTGTCAGTGAAGTGATCACAGCAATGCTGCTTCTCCCACTACCGCAATCGGTTCTGTCCCCATCTCTGCTTATTTACGCATCTCCTACCTCTCCACATATCCCGTGCCTCTCACTCCACATATCTCGAGCCTCACATCGCACACAACTCCCATTAGCAGTGATGATATAACTAGTTGCTTCACTTTTGACAGCAATGTTCAAACACAAAGTTTTCATTCAACACCTTCATTCCAATTACAATTGTCACGACACCATTGCATTTGCTCTGACGTTGCAGCGAGCACCCAAAGGTCAGAAATCAAGAGAAATACCAAAGTCCCAGACAGTTGATATTCAATGCTGGGTATTGTCTGCGGAACACTTTTTGTAAATAGCATAAGGAAGTGAGGGCAATATGCAGAAGCTTCAATGGCACAGGCTGCAATTACTTTTTAACCTTGACCTTTGGTCAAGGCAAATGGTCATGTTGATTTTGATGACACAGCGAGTGCATTTCTATGAATGGGTGAAAATTTAATAAAATGACTGTGCTGGGAAGATGCAGTTTTAAGACATGGGTTTGAAAATCCCAAAATCAATCAATAATAATATTAAAAAGTCAATGTCGACATCAAAAGCAGTTATGGATATTAATAATAAATAGATTTAATAATGTCTATTAAAAAGAGCATTAATAAAAAAGAAAGGGCTGCATTTTATTGTTTCCTTTATCTAAAAATAATCAGATACACTATCAAGGCAGCACTGAGGAGTATAGGTTCCAATAGTCCTTTACCTAGGAAAGCCAAACCAAAGCAACCCTTGATCTTTGAGAAAAAAAACCTTCATTGGGATGTTTGACCAATTAATATTTTTAATGAGTATGGAGGAAACTACAGTAGGGTACTCAGAGAAAAATCTGTATGCAGGAGAGGAACATATTCAAACCTCCACGTAATGGATGCGGAATGCATTGCTGGACTGCCATATCCTGGCTATTTCATAGTTCAGAAAATGTAGTGTCATGCACATGATGCCCTTTGCATGATCCACTAATCCTGCTGGTTTGAAGTCTTGTCACCCACACTCTTGCTAGGTTAATACATCACAGATAATACAAACAAAAAAATCCACAATTTTTCACAAGCCTCATCAGTCAAGGTGTGTCCCTGCTAAAATAAAAGTGTGGAGCAGCCTTCAGGTCCAAAATATGTTCTGGACCAGCAGTGAAATTTCTATATTTCTATCGTAGAAAACAGTCTGTCTATAAAAAGTACACTCTAGGTCTTTCCCACTAGGTTTACTAATTTTATCCACAATGGCGTGATGATGTATTGAGTCGATCCTTGACTGAGATTTGAACTCAAGGTCTTTTGACATGGGTAAAGCGTTTTAAAACAAGTACAACAGGCAGTGGGTGTAAAAACGTTCTTCACAATCACGGACCGGTGCATGACAAAAGACCGTATTGCAATAATATTTAAAAACGTGGCAGAAAAAGAACGATCACAATTAATAAAACACAAAAGGCCCTTCTCTGCCAACCGCGTAAGCATTGCCTGGGCTTAATAGAGTGGAGGGTAATCAACGCGTTTAGGTAGAGTCTGACAAACACTGCATTATTTATTGCACAAGTGAATAATTAAAAGCACTGGTATTTTATCAGACGGCATGCCAAGGTGAAGTGACAAAATGGAGGAGACAATTAAACTGGTCTCTCTTCCTCAATCGGTGCAGCATGGAATAGTTGCGCACCAGTACCACTCAATCCAAGCCGATTCTTAGCCACGCGGCACAGGGTCGCCGTGAATGTTAAAAGGGAAACAGTACACAAGTAACAATTATCGTTATTGAAACATATTTTTTTTAATTCAATATCAATAGTGCGACTCATTAAAACAATATATGGTGCTTTTAAAGTGTATTCCTGCTTCACTCTCACAATACTACCCATCTATTTTTAGAAAGGCTTTGTGGTTTTGTGGCTACAGCTGTAGCTATTTTATGTTCTACCATGTCCTGCCACACAGCAGTCCACCCTAATGAATTACATATTCAGTTTTCACCTTGATAAAAGCACTTGAGTAATAACAAGTATTCTTTATTATTATGTTTCTATCTACGTGGCTTATTGATTTAAAGCTTTCGTGACTGCAGTAATTCATAATCTTAGCTCTTTCGGTAAAGTCACGTTGAAGGGAAACAATAAAATAATATATATAAATAATAAAATATTCATAAAACTTTAGTAACTGCAGGAATTCATATTCTTTGGTTCTCTCGGTAAAGCCACGTATTCTTAGCTCTTTCGGTAAAGTCACGTTAAAGGGAAACAATAAAATAATAAAATATATATAAAACAATATTGTTACTGAGTCACAAATCATTTCGTCCCAATTGCAGGGTTCAAGAAATTTAGACTCACATTAATGTATTCATCCCACAGCGAATGAAGTACCTGATTTGGTTCAGTAATGACATGAAGGCCTTATTTCCCAGTGGTGCACGCTTTCTTTGGAAATCGCTGCTGCATACTAATTGCTCTGCATCACTCGGTTGTGGCTGAGTGATACAATACAAAACTATCCAATATGGATGTACATGCAGTCTCAATAAACAGCTGTACCCCCAAGACCAAGTACAAGAGAGGGAAAGTGGAAAAGTTGTGTCGTATGCTTATAACGATATGGGGCAATCATGAAGCAGTCTGGAGTCAACCGTGGAAAATAAATTGTATCATGGTAGGATGATCAACTGTGGTATCCAACAGAGTAGCACTTCATCAAACTTGATGAATTTACAGACTGGGTGGGACCCTGACTAGGACGTCAACTCAAAAAGATTTTGGGGGAGGTGGGGTATTCGAACGTACACTGCTATGCCAGTCTTCATAGATGCTAGCTAACAGCACTTGCCCCAAAAGTATGGTAAGGCTATACGGGGGATATTTGTCTCTGGTGTCGATGGCTTGTGTAAGATGCAAGAATGATGGTGGGTGTCATTTTTGTGAAATGGTGACAATAGATCGCAATTCCTTGATGAACTCGAAGCATGACGCAGTTTGTTACACAAATTCTCTGACAGCAATGTTTGGACAGCCAATTGGATCTGGCATAGTCAGTCACACTGTGTCATTGTACCTCTGTGGCAGGGGCCTTACTTTAATTGGATGAGTGCAGTCATCTGCCTTCCTACACACCCGTATATACCTGGATGCTGTTGACCAACATAATAGCGTTTTGAGATACTTTAAGACGATTTACACTGATATAAGGTCAGGTTATGTGCTATCCATTGGACCAAGCAGGATTTTCAGAATGCTATATGTATTGTTACATTTCCCAGCAATCATTTTTTTTAAAACATACTATATATGCAGTATGGATAAAGTCGCAGAGTGAATGATAAATCAATCAAGAAGCCTTCCACAGAATAAAGATTGACAGAACATGTTTGGGTAAGACCCCAAGAAAATAAACGTTAAAATCGAGTCACTGTCAACGTGCATACTACCCAAAGAACCATGGGGCAACACTCAAGAATTCGTTGTTATGAGTCATTTGTGGATATGTAACTAATGCTTGGTGGAAACCAGAGTCTGCCTCTTACATAAAACCACTGTTGCCTTCTCTCAAAGTGCTACTCGTTTCATTGACCTACGAGGGGCAATGAGATGAGTCAACCATCGACTCGGATTTTAACTTGAAACCTTTCAACTGCGAGTTAAGTGCTGTAAACCAGAGTGCCATCAGGCCAAATTAACCCTCCAGAACTCAGATAATTTGATTTACTTTGTTGTGAAGTTCTCATGTGTCTCCAAATGCTTCTTGTACAGCAGCATCATGTCCACCTATAACACTTACTATGTTTACATCCACCTTTTTAGTACATCACATCAAATGAGGCTATTTAATTATTTCCAAAGTGATGTGAATCAGAAGTGACACTGCTATTTTTTAGCAATGGTAAATTTGAATGCATGTTTCCACAAATGCACAAGAAATTGATTGCTTAAAGCAAGTGATGCTCTCTCAGGTTTACATAGCCCTAAATTTAGGACTTTATAGCCTGAGGATTGTTTTCCTGCGCTAAGACGCCTAACCGGCAGGAAACATCACCGGGCCCTCGTGACCTCGGCCTAATGAATAAATAAAATTATATTATGTTATTCACATTTCAGGGTAGAGAAGTGGCACAATGATTAGTTCACTGTGCTATTAACAAAGTCACCAGAGTTAAATTTCCTACCACAGCTAACATCAGTGGATAGTGACTGTCACAAGATGGTCTCTTCACCAACTCACACTGACCGGTGTGGTGAAGTATTGTCAAACAACTCCCTTGATGGACACGGTGTGGGGAGGACTTTATCCACAAGTGAAATGACAAAGGGCTGTAAATTGTTGTATTAAAAATGTACATTCAGATCAGCCCAATGTGAAAACCCAGTCCAACACATTGTGTTGATTTGCAATGGGCAACCAGGAGTGTCCAATGCAAAAAAATGCATTTAAATATTTTCTGCATTGCCCTTTAAAAGAGATCATATTTATTTTGTTATGCATGAGATCGATCTGGATAAAATAATGGTAAGGCCCAAGAGGTGGCCGGGTTGCTTAGAGATCACGGCACTCAGTGACACCACTGAGGTCCTGGCTTCGAATCCAGGTAGCCACACATGATTAAACTGGATTCTCAAGTGTAGTGAGTTGATGGTCTCAGCCCAATCACCAATCACTATGTAAAACACAAATGATGCACAAAACTGGTCTGTCACATAATTTGGCTACATTCTAGATCTAAGAATTAAGATAATATTCACTGTCATACAACAAGCATCAATGTCTCTTTATCATCTGTGTAACAAATAAAACAAACTTCAACTCAACATCAACAGAGTGTATGGAAAGTGCATCCCCTATTGTGTAAAAATAAAAGGGTTTTTAGAACAAACTATGTGAATGCTTCTTGTACAGCCATTCTCTGACACATCAGGTAACAATGCCATTTAAAATGTCTTACATAACATCGGTAGTGGACTGAGAATAAAATGGTAAAGAGACTTACCAATGCATTAAAAACATATTTTCCAAAAACGTAGCACACACCAGTATCACCCAATCCAAAAGTTTGATGGAAGCACGGCACACTGCACACTGCCATCCCATGCCTACACACACAGGTACCTTGTGGTTTGTTGCTGTTATTCTCTGCGGAGGCATCGGAGGAGAAGGCCGAAGCCTGCACTTTCCGTCTGGGGCTACTCAAGGGCTTCATATTCGTGTGACCTTTTAGTGCACATGGCATAAAGTACACCAAACAAAGTAAAATGGTAAGATAAAAAATATATTTTTTACATGCTAAAATACACAATAACATTCAAATGTTTAGAGATTACATCAAGTGACGTTGGCACCAATGGAATTAGCCGAGATGGTGTATTGCATTTTTTTCAAATACATAAAGAGCTAAAATGTTAACTTTGTTTATCTAGCCTCTTATAAACTTAGTTTTAATGAAACTACGTTTCATTGCGTTTCATTAAAAAGGAAGCCATCAGGCTGCTTATAGTGAGCACAACACCCACGCCTGCGTGAAGTGCGAGCCGAATTATTAAAGCACATTAATCATCATTACCGGCATGCATTATTAAAGGTGCCCGCCTTAATAACACAGTACTATCATATTTAATGAAGGCGCATCCATGCACACGTGCCTTGAAATATAATTTTACAAATTATTAAAGTAGTGCTGTTGATCTAAGAAAGCCTCACTGAAAGTATGAAGTCTTTAAGGGGGGTACTGGTATTGGAATTTTTCGGTCGATTCCTTCTTAAGCATGGTTCCAGTATAAATGGAGGAGTTTAACACGTAGGATTTTGCGACCAATATTATTCATAATAAAGGTTGTTGGGTTACATCGCATAACTATAAATGTGTCATTAAATCACCACCCGACACAGCCAATTAGTAAGGTTTGTCATGGAAACGCAAACCTTTATTATGAATATGTAAAGGAGTTCCAGCCCGGATAAGTCTTGAACTTGGAATTTAACACACCCCGAACCCCTTCGAAGCACTCCTTTTATTCACTTTCCCATCCCTTCTGGAACTTTCCCGACTCTCCACCAATCCCCCTTCCGTTTTTCCAAACGGTCTAACAACCGAGCCCTCATTTCCATTTGGATTTTTTTCACCCTACATTGGCTCCTCCCCCTGTGATAGCTCCTCGCCAGTGAGTGTCGAGCACGCTATTCAAATTCACGAGGAACTGTTAGACACTATGAGTATATATTTGTGTATTTCTTAATAGGGTTTGCCTCACGGTATCCCTTACACATATGCTGAAAGCACCACAAAGCTGGGTTCAGCAAGCGACTTGCTGTGCTGTAATCTTCAGAATGCACTCGATCTCGTCAGACCTCAGGATCTAAGCAGAGTTGAGCATAGATGGGCGACCACCTTGCACAAAAGACAGGTGTAATGGGCATTGTGGGCGGCGGTGGAGAGCAGTGCAGCAAAATCCACTGCAGTTCTGCACTCATGCTACCTTCACCAACCCGCACTGACCAGCGTGGCAAAGTATGGTCAAATATCCCACAAGGTGTGAGGGAGTTCCTCATCCAGCAGTGGATTGACAAATGGGCTGTCCATATACATGCACAAGTGTGCTTGCAAGCACCAAGAACACAAGCCACGTTCCTGCACACACGCTGACATCTAGTGGATATTGCTGGGTATTCACATTCTACAGTAACGGGAATTCAGTATATATCATCTACAGTCGTGGGAATGTACAGGATCTAAAGAAGGGTTAATATAAACGAATTCTTCCTTTCAACTTGACAGAATCTACAGCCGTGTGAAGACACATATATGTTTATAATCCTTCCTTTCAAGTCCTCACAGTGTGAATTCCCCCACAATTTTTGCACCATCTTGATATGAAATAACATTTATATGCTTTTTTGAAATCCAAACTCTAAAGAGGCATAGGCTTGCTTGCAAGCTAGCCATTCCACATTAACACACGCCCCTCTCTCCGGGGCTCTGTAAAGGGTCGACTGCAGTGTAGAGGCAGTGGTTCCCAACCTATGGTCTGAAGACCACTGGTGGTTACCGGGCCAACCGGTGACCACGGAAAGCCATGGGAGGACGGCTGCAGACCTGTTGCAGATTCAGAAACCATCGTATATTTTTTTCTTTCTGCATGGGGGGTTTGCAAACAAAATGTTCGAGAGTTCACAATTCGTCCACGGGCCCGGAAGGTTGGGAACCACTGGTGTCGAGGAATTACCTGGAAGTCTACCATTTCATGTCATCGTGCACCTTTGCAAAAATTCCTGATGAAGATTGCAGTATGGAGGATTTACCTGTAATCCCACCATTGTGTGTAAGCACGTTACCGATCCCTGCCAGTGTAGAGGGATTTACTTGTAAATACATTATGCTACTCGTCGCGTGAAAACCCCGTTATAATGCAGAAGATTTACTTGCGAGCCACCATTCTGTGCACACCGGTCATGGTGAGTGTCCATAATGCAGGCTACAGTATTACACAGAGGATTTGCTTGGATGGCATCCGACATGAGAACACCCACACCAGTGTTTTCCATGTTCACTGTGTAAACAGCGTGGTTTTACTGCAGGGGATTTGGCTGTCGGGCAACAAAACCCTTCTACTCCACACGCCCGTCACTGCACTCTACACATAGCTATGTATTCCCCGAAGCAAGCGATAAGTCACATCGAGCTGTCTGCAACACACTACACGAATCCTCGACCGGATGGGATTCAAATTCTTTCAAATGAAATAATTGGAACCTTACAAGCGTAAGGTCATGAGTTCAAATTCTGATTAGGGGTCAATTCAGTCCATTGCATTCCTAGGGTCAATAAAAAAGTACCAATATGTCGAAAGTGGTCATTCTGTTAAAAATTTTGCCTTCTCTAGTAATGGAGAATTTCCTTCACTTAATGAGAGTCGCTCCATTGCAGATTTGAGGAAGGAGGCAATGTATCCCAACAGTTCTATCCAATTTCAAAGTGCAGAATGCTGTTATTCAAAATAGGCAATCGAACCACCTTATGCTCATTTCAGCAACAAAAAACCCCACCTTCTTTTTATTACACAAAAGGGTCCCGGCTACCTTGCTGGTAATATACATGCTCAGGTATATTCCACAGAAAGCACTGTGGTCACGCGTACCGGCGGTGCGGCGTGAAGCGGCGTCGTCGTGGCAAGGGTCGGCGTGTGAGCCCCGTGCCGCGATTCGCGACACTGGCACCGCGCTCCTGATCGCTCCAGAGCTGTTCAAGGAGCCGTGGCGTGACGACTCCTCAGCCCTCGCCACTTTGGACAGTGGTGCAAAGATCCCTGCAAAGCAGAATATCCACCGGTGCCCAGTTAGGGCACTGAATAAGGGGCCCAGGCTGTGGTCTGTGGATTGTGGACTGTACCGGCACCGCATATGGATAGGTGTGAAAAACGGCCCTGCGCATTGTACAACACAGCACAATTCGGATTTATATGGCGTCTAAAATGCAATTGCATCTCAAGATGATGTACAGGGCAGTGGGCATGTTTATTTTATAGACAAGTCAAAGGCAGATGGGGAGTTGGCATTGTGCAATGGTTAGCACACTGCACTTGCAAGACAGGGCACAGGTTCAGTTTGATATGCTGGCGCAGCAGTTGAACAGCCTCTGTCCACCCAGCAGTACAAATGGGTACACCAAGACTAGGCGATCGTTAGGTTGCATGCGGTGGGATAAAGTGCGGATACTTTAACCTCTTCCAATGTGTTTTGTCAACATGGAAGAGAAGACCAAATACCTCCCCCCCCCCGCCCCGAGAGCTTCATCGAGTGGAGGCCCTTCTACCAGCAGTGGCGTGAGCAAGGGCTGCGCCTTTACCTTTACCATAGGCAGACAGAAAAAAATAACCCTTCTGCACAGCTGAAACTGTAAGGACTCCTTAATAAAACATGAGTATCAACCCAAATGCCTTACGCCCCTTTGAGAAAACAATGAAAAGGCTCTATACTTTAATCTCAGCACTGCTTATACATACGGGCAATTGCTTCGTTTCCATGGCTCTATGAGCTGCTGCCAATGACGGTCAAGAGCGATGTAATTTGCATCTTAAATAACGAATGTTCTTAAACATTACCAGGACAGGCCGCAATTGAGAATAAGTAGTTTCAAGGGGACAAATGATTGTTTGATTCACGAGCAGAGTCACTGTTTACGAACATGCTGTAGTATATAAATCAGTACCGTGGGGTATCTGTGAACATTTACCTTGTGCAAAATACAGTGACACTCCTCGCTCATCCACGATGATTACGGGGGGGGGGGGGGAGTAGGGGGAGCAGACCCCCCCTCACAGAAAGACAAAATCAGGGATGCAAAGAGTTTTCATCCGACTGTGCATTAAGCGTACTCCTTTTGTCCGCAATAAAGATTATGGGAAATCGGAAGGGGTCTGTGACATATCGTACTCTGGAAAGCTATGCAGAGTAGAGCCTCGTTTAGTGCTCGAGTGGGCAATCGTCAGTGAATGGGAATGGCACTCTATTACAGCTTCAGTGACTTCAAACGTCAATCGTCATCATTTACATCATCCCGCAGTCAACAGGATGGATTTGTCACATGTACAATTCGAGGAATATTACTGACAAGGACATCCTCATCTTATTCAAACATCTTACATCTTAATATATATAATCTATACACATGTAACCTATTGATGATCAACAACCATATAGAATATGAATAGCATTACATCCTATACATAGCATGTGGATATAGTATTCCATATTCAATATACACCACTGCATGCATATCGAATAGCATTTGAACTATAACACTCCAAAATAATTCACAAGGCCGAAAATACGAAAAAAACCATTTCTCAACTGTAACTGAATTAAAAGCATTAACTGACGAGCACCGTTAACTTAAATAATCTACAAATCGTAAAAGTGCTTGCATTAAAACCAACGTGACGCATGTATACATGAAAAACCACGAATCACAGAAGAGGGGGAGGGTAATTGAATGGGCTCATGCGATGCCCGAATCCCTGCAGTGGAGACAGAATTTTTACATCAGAATCTAAGCTCCCAAAAAAGACGAAAAAAACACCCCAATATCTATGAATACATTTGTTTTAAATGTATTCATCTGGCCGTGAATAGCTTGGTGAGCTCACTCTGTGAGTCATCACAAACATAGTTCCATGGAGAGAGTGAACCAACCCCATCATCAGAACATGGAATTTCAACCACTGATTCGGGACCAGAAACAGAGGGGTTGCTCCATTGATTACAGAAGTAGCAAAACACTACGTGTTTATAACTGCTATTTATTCATAATAATCCCATTTATATTCCAATAACACATTTGGCATCATGTAATGAGAATTCTCACAACGAGTAGTGTAGCATCATCTTATGATGGCCAATATACAAGGCCCCAGAAGGTGATATCACACTCAATATCCCCAATGAATGTATGTTGAACTTCTTTCGCACCATACGTAGCCAACCATACTTATCGGAGGTGCGGGGGAAGGACCACAAACTAAACACAGTTTTTAATAGGTGACACACCATTATAAATGTGTGCACTGCATGGCGATTAAACCATAGTGATGGAATATGCTAATTTAAATTACAAAACAAAAGTATGAAGATTATCATGAGTGCAGTAATTGTTAAGTTGGCTGAGACCATCAGCTTACCACACGTGAATCCCCAGCTCATTCATCGGTGGCTGCCCAGATATTAATCCAGGCCATCCGCCGGACTAATTAGTGGCCGGACATGACATACGCTCCCCTGAGTCAGTTTTTTACCCTTACAGCAGAGCACAGTACAGACCTTGACGTGACTCAGACTAGCCCAACAGTGGGAATGTGGCACTTCCCAGGCTTCTGATGAAGATCAGCATTAAACCTCGCTCAACAGATCACGGGGACACTGTGGCAATTACTTTTGTGCTCAAGACTTTATGGGGGGGGGGGGGGTGTGGTGGGGGGACAGTAACCACAGTTCCGGTGAGTGCTGAGTCTAGGAGGGTGGGCCTCACCGTGCCGTGGCGCACACGTGAAGTAGCGTGTGCCGTCCACGCTTCCGTTGTTTTTGCCGTCGGCCTCGTCCAGCTCCACGCCAGCCCACTGGTCGCCCGCAAACTCCGTGGGGCCACAAAACCTCAGCACACCCGTCTGCCATACACACACACACACATTGATGCACACTCAAATATATCCTACTTACACATAATGTATATACAGTATATATACACATTGTTGAGGCGAGGAATTTACATGCAAATCCTTATTCCTCATCCAAATTACCTGCGATGATAAATGGATCAGAAACGTGGACATTGACCAATGGAACAAAACTGAAGAGTGTGCAAAGGAGACAGATGCATGGAAACACAAAGAGCAACACATGGAAAAAAGGTAATACGTAAGGGGCTTTGGATGGGAACACGCCGCTGAAAGGGATAATGGTCACTCATCAAGGCCAACGGTGGAGTGGCAGCCAAATAAAGGTGAACGCCAGAGATTACGTTGTCCACAGAGATGGAGCGATGAAATCCGTTCGTGTGCAGGTTCTTGGTGGATTGTAACATCGCAGGATCATGAGAGATTGCGACCGCTCTGAAGAGGCCTTCATCCAGCAGTGGTTTGATTGTGGCTCATGACGATATACACAAAGACTAAGCTTCCCATTTTGTCCTATAGACAAAGCCTATATGAATATGAAGCGGGGTAAAATATATCTCAAATTATTGTATAGACAGTTGGGGACAAGTGTTGGAAGGGAGCAAACTACGTCAGAGAATGATGTGCCTGGCACAAAGCCTGGACACATTTTATCTCCATTGCTAACGATCACACACTGTTTCAGGTATTAATTTATGGCTGAGTAAACCTAGGACAGGTTCCTTGCCACTTGTGTTATCCATGGCTGAGAATATAATCCAGATGGTTAGGATAATAGCACAGCGCGCAAACACCTACACCACCAAAGACAAAGATCCCTCGTATAGTCATAGCAGCCTGACAGGGCAAGTGCTGTTAGCGAGCACCTATTCAAACTGGCAAAGCACACGAGAGGGTGAGTGGCCAGCACCATGCCTGGCCACCTTTATCTCTCGAGTAGTGACTTCTACACATGGCACCAGGTACTCATTTGAGGCCGAGTCGACCTCGGGGAGGGCCCAGCACTGGTTCGGATTAATTGTCACTGGTGTTGGCCACGAGTAGAAATTGAGTTCCCGTGTTCATTGCACAGCATGCTAACCAATGTGCCAGTGCTCTTCAGCGACACCACAATTGCAATCGACACACACTTCCACACAAATGTCCCTTTTACCTAATTTGCTTTACAGACTAAGAGTCACATCCTCTGAAATCATTATTCAGCTCACAAATGAGACATAGGTGAAAATTCGACATTCATACACAGAGACTAGTGTTTCTACAAGATTTTGATTTCTGACAAAGAGGTACCTATTTTATTGACCTTGGATAGATGGGCTCAATTGTCCCAGAGCAGAATTAGAACTCACCAACTGAGATTTGAGTCTCTGTAACAACACCAAATGAGAGCACCTACAGAACATAGCTGACATTCTTCAGTGGTGTGACCAACATGAAGTCTTTTTAATATTTGCACAACTTGATCTACACAAAACACTTTCACATCTGTCCTCCGTGTTTTCTGCATCACTATTTATCACACGCCACCTTTTCAAGGCAAAAAATACTAATATCAAAGGATTTAGACTTGATCAGGTTGCTGAAGAAAAACTACAAAAGTAATGCTGTTGAGCTTCACAATGCATGACAAGAGGTATTCCGATGGTGACAAAAGCTAGCATAATTGTTAAACTCAGCATTCATTATTTAACACGTTGTCTCAACATTAAAACATCCTTTACAGCGGATGGGGAGTGTTACTGACGTGTGAAAATGATAGCTTGTAAAAAGAGCTTTCAGACGTCAGCTATAAAGCCAACAGACATTTTTTTACGATCAATAGGTCATCACAACCATAGCATGTGATGCCACATTTCACCAGCACTTATTCTCCCTAGACACTGCAACTGCTTCGTCTGACCTCCTAAATTCCAAGGCCCACTCTTAAACGTTTTTCAAAAATTGACTTGAGGCCTTCCCCTGTTCCCTCAACCTCTGGATGCCATCTCAGTGTCTTCCGCAATGGCTTGCCCTCCTTCGTCCTGCACACACGTGCACCACCCATCTCAACCTCCTCTTCGTGTTTACATCTACTAAATGTTTTAAGTTGCTTACCCTAATTTACCATTACATTTCTACCATCCTCTGCATGTACTGTAGCTATATTTAAAGAGCCAACGCTTATTTCTGGTTGCTTTGCTTCGTCCAGCTCTCCGACCCATACGGTTAACGTACATTGCTTCTGCCTTAAACATCCGTCCAGTAACACTAATGTTTGACCTCTCTACTCGCCCATAGTACACTGAGTCCCAGCAAAAAGCCAGCTTCACAACCTTCTTCGAACAAGCTGAATAATTATGCAAATTACAGTTCTACATAACCACAGTAAATCCCCTAATACCTCCATTAGTGAATGTGGGTGGGCAATAAAAGCAATGAACACAGCAACGTCAATTAGAAAAACAAAATGCCAAACTGCAATGTCGTGAACAAATGGACGACTTACTGCTTAATGTTGCAGGCCACGAGTGAAATTGTTTCCATAAATTATAGCTTTTCTTAACTTCAATTACCATGGAGGGTTTCTAAATAAAATAAAAAGTAATCATGGCGATGGTGCTGCAGAAGGGTGGATCTGTGGTTAGTATGCTTCACATAATCAGGGGTTGAAATTATCCCAAGCCTCCCTTCAGAGTGGATAAAGCACCATTTTGTAGGAATAGGGAGACAACAGTGGCCATCCTATGGAGAGAATGGCCCTCAGCAAGGGACCATTGACTCTTCAGCACCGGCCCTGGACGCAAGTGCAGATAAGCAACCCTCGCCCCCTTTGTTCGTTTGAGCCGGGAGACACGTAGGTCTCAATGAAGTTACGCCTGTGATCGTGCATGCTTATGCATGGAAGTGTCTGCACAATATAATGTCCCTAATTAGTATGCAGCACTGTAAATTACATTTACATAAATTAGGCAAAGAAAAGGCCGCGCTCTGACTGCATCGCACAAGAAGATTATGTTAGTCGACTTTCATTAAATCAATGTATTGACCCTAATAGGTCGATGGGGTGATTAAACTCCTAACCAAGGTTTGAACTCCCAAAGCGTCGACTGTGAGAAAATGGTCTAACCACAGCATCATCTGTATGAATGACCCCAACACAGGAAAGCACTGATCCTGTAAACAAACTCCAGCGAGTGGTTATTCTTCAGTGACCACATATTACGCCTAAAATTGTGCTAAAATATTAATCTGAACTACCTGCCATGCAAATAAAAGCATATTACTCTTATGGCTAATCAGGCATAGGACACCAGCACAAATTTGTGGATATTATCGGAGCTGTCAGGACATGGTGCTGTAGGTGAAGAGCAGCTGAAGCTAAACTACTCATATTACCCCATTGTGTGTCGACACATAAGAATTGATCAATTAAAACACATCCTTGCGCTTACATGCATTGCATAGTGCGTATGTACAATATGTTGAACTTCTTTCTTACCGTATATAGCCAACCTTGCTAATCGGAGGTGAGAGCTGATGACGAATTATGCAAAATAAATATCAACCAATACTGTATAATGACCAAGACAGAAAATAACATGATAGAATATACGACACAGAAAATATAAATGAGACAGTACAAAGCAGACAAAAACACGATTCTTTGATTTAACAATGATAATTTAAGGAATTTCTGGGGCATTTATTGTACCAATGGATGGTCTAGAGACCCTGGTGCAAATGACAACAGGTTTATGAAATGTGCTCAAGCTTGGAACTCAGCAGACCACGACAACACATATCAATGGTTTTGTAAAAATCCAAATAACTATAGCAAGAGCTCCAAATATAATTAGAATACCAGCAGATTCACAAGTAATCTTTACAATTGGGGAGTGTTTGTAAGTGGCTTTTATCTTTGGCGATTTATTCACTTTTTTTATTTGCACTTTATTTGATTTGATTAATTCTGCCCATTTGTTTTATTTGTTGTCTGCCCTGTAGCGATTCTGAGGTGATTAATATGGTACTTTAATTGTGTATTTTATCGCTTTATTTCTCTAAATCCAATTTTCTCCGATTTTCAGAAAATATATTCCAGTATCTCTGTAAATAGCACTGATGAGACGTTCAACCCCTATACGGACAGAGCTCATATATGAACACCTTTTAACCTTAGCTGGAGAGCGTTAGGAAGGAAAACTTTCAGGACCAGAAAGAATAACTGTAGACATCATGAAAGAAGTAGCACCAAGCTGCTGGATACAAATTGACACTTATCTACAATCAGAATCTTTATTTAGACTGGAGGAATCCAATGCACTATGAAGCCCTTTTTCACAGATGTTCAGTAGGGGCGGGTCAGCGAGTTACAACAAACAAAGCAAAAACATGATTGGAGTGCAAAACAGAGAAAAGGAAAGCAAGTCCTGAAAAATAAATAAATAAACATATATAAATTAAGTATATAAAGTACAAATTGCATATGTATATAAATTCCTACAGATTTTTCAACGATAAATGCAAGCTTGGGTAAGGCAGAAGAACAACGATAAAACAGTTCGAGACCACACCAAGACAACACACAGTCCCTCAATAAAAGTGCACATTAAAATTAAGCTACGGATACACGATTGAAGATCACTAAATGGTTACATTGAAAAGAAAAAAAAAACTCAATTATGGAATGATGCCTCAATATTTTTTCTATTCCAAAGGCAGAACAATATAAAAAATAATTACAATAAACCTCTTATCACACATAAACCTCTTATCACACATAAAGAAAACTGTTCACGAAGGTCATAGAGAACGGAATGGTAAATTAAGAGGCCACCCAGCCATGCTTTTAGAAAGAAATGCTGTATATATAAACCAAATATAAAATCCCATTCTCTCTAGCTTTGCAGACAATGAAAATACAATTGATTCAATGGAAACTGATTCATTCATCCAAGCTCACACAAACCAAGGCTTAATACAAAAAATTATAATTATCAAAACGCAATTTTTTTAAAGAACTACAATAAAATTGAAGACTTTGTCCCGAAAATAACACACGATGATTCAACTGCATTGTATGTACCATCATTAAAACAAAAAACACAATTTTTAAAATCTGTATGCAATGCATCGCTTTCCATTTCATACCGAACACTCAACAGGCAGTGATTTATCGACCGAGTGACAACACTCGACCGGCATTTGCAAGTGCTTTTAATCACAATCAGTTTTGTTGCCAAGGTAATTTAGCATGGGCTGCCAAGCCTCCTTCTTAAAGGCTGGCCTCTGACTTACAGGTAAAAATAAAACACTGCCACCGTAGTAAAGAGATTCACCGGGGTGCAGGGGGACTGCATACATGAGAAAACGCTTGTCCGCTTCTATTCTCAGTATTAAAAGTTGGACACTAAAGATATTCAGCCTCAAGACCAACCTCTTTATAGGCGTAAACTCTTCCGAGCTGGAACATTTTAAGAAAAGAGCATGAAAAGTGAAAACGTGTGACCAGTGCGATATAACAAAATCTGGCGGGATTTTAAAGCATTAAAACGTCTCTCTGCTCGAATGATTGTTGAGCATATATCATTTGTATTGGTGATCTGGATGGAGGCAGTGGTGAAAAAAGACATTCCTGTGGCAGGTAAGCATTACTATATTCTCCAAAGGACAACCACCACAAACTTCCTACACAGTGGAACTCGTTTTATTGACCACAGACGAATGGACTTGGTTGACCGCAGACTCGATTTGAATGTACTGTATTACCTTATGATTATGAATCAAACATTCTGACCATGGCGCCTTCTAGTTTCTGGATACGTGCTGCAAAGCATAGCCGAGTTTAACCTGAGATGGGAGTCTGGGAATTGAACGTGATGTTTCATGGTAGTGCTCGATCAGTCCTTTGACATGGGCATTTGTGCCATGAGCTATCATCTGTCCACTTTCTCCAACAAACATTTTACTGTTGAAATTATTACTACCTTAACAGAAAATACAAACTTATAAATTGCCCACACACAATTTTAACCAACAAAGAAGTATTTACACTGTGATATTACATTATTTACCAGTATTATCTACATTGAGTAACATAAACATTGGCCTAACACAGATATAAGTTCAAGGCAAACGCTACTTCTCTGTGTACATTTGATTTAACTCCCATTTAACTGAACGGCTGCATTCATTTTCACACATTTTGTTTATTAAGAAATAAAATGTGGAAAATTTGCTTTTTTTGGTCATAGGTCGTGTGTGCACTTGCGTACACCAGTGGAGGTGTAGAGGTTAACGCGCTGTGCTACAAAGCCGGCGACCAGAGTATAACTCCTAGCCCTGGCTAATAGTAGTTCCAGCGATTTCACAATTCGTGGATCTTTTCTAGGTGAACTCACCCATAAATTAGTACGAAGCGCAGTGTGCAAACAACAGGCGTGGGTGACTAATGCAGTCGCGAGTGGGTCTGGTGACACCCGCTTGGTGTTCGTGGTACCGGACTTAATAGGTGCTCACTAACAAGCCCTGAAGATTTTGATTGAAAGCTTTCGTGACTGCAGTAATTCATATTCTTAGCTCTTTCGGTAAAGTCAGGTTGAAGGGAAACAATAAAATAATAAAATATATATAAACAATAAAAATTCTCGCGACGTTTCGACCATAATACAAATGGTCGTCATCAGGTGTGTCGCTTCGCATTAATTTATTTATTTTAAAACAGTGTATTTATTTTTTTATAAAAAACGTCAGCGCCACGTGCAGTGATTTGTCAGTTTATTTAGAAGGACTAGTCCATCTATGTTCTGAAAAGAGGAGGGGGGAGACGAAAAATTAATGTATGCTGTCTGAAAGCCACTGTAAGCGTGAACAATCAATTAAGACCTGAAATGGTTAATCAAATCTCTCCAATGATTGCTAAGCCAGAATCCATCTTCTCGGTTGAAATTGTCTCTGTGCTTGTATATGTGGATAGCCTCATGAACGAATCTCTCATGGTAGCCATATGGCTTACAAAGAACCTGTCTTGGAAAAGTCAATGTCATGTGAGCCTACTCAATTATAACAATGATCTGCCACAGCCGAGGTGTTGGTCCTACCGTGTTTAAGGTCTGCTTTGTGTTCACGAATGCGGTCCGAGACATGGCGTTTGGTTTCTCCAATGTAACTACTACCACAGAGGCAACTTAGTTTGTAGACACCAGGGTACTACTGTATGTCCGGAATCACATCTTTTACAGACGGAACCAGATCACGGATTTTTTGTAATGTGTTGAAAGGGACCTGGATCTTGTGTTTATTCAAGATTTTGGAGATCTTTTTTGTGATCCCCGCAATGTAGGGTAAAGTGATGGTTTTGAAAGGCTCCTCAAGAGGGTCCTTCTTCATGGTTTGAGTGATAGCTTTGCGGATTGTATAGTCGGAGTAACCATTAGCCTTAAGAGCTTGGTGTACGTGCTTGAGTTCACTGCCTATGTGTTCCTGGTCGGATATGCATTGGGCTCTATGGTACAGAGTCTTGATGAGAGAATTCTTCTGTGATGGATGGTGGTGGGAATCCGGTTTCAGATAAGCATCCGTATGGGTAGCTTTCCTGTAGATTGTTCACACTTACAGTGGCTTTCAGACAGCATACATAAATTTTTCGTCTCCCCCCTCCTCTTTTCAGAACATAGATGGACTAGTCCTTCTAAATAAATTTCCAAATCGCTGCGCGTGGCGCTGACGATTTTTTTATAAATAAATACACCGTTTAAAAATAAATAAATTAATGCGAACCGACACACCTGATGACGACCGTTTGTGTTATGGTCGAAACGTCGTGAGAATTTTTATTGTTTTATATATATTATTATTTTATTGTTTCCCTTCAACGTGACTTTACCGAAAGAGCTAAGAATAAGCCCTGAAGAGTCTACAGAGTTATACAGGTATATTTTTGTTTTTGTACAACACTTATAAGCCATATCTGAAGCAAGCTTCAGCCTCCCGTAGGTCAACTCGGTTTTAAAAAAAGTGCAGCTGGGCTTGGTGCTGGCCATGCCACCACCCCATCGTGTGCTGTGTCGGCATAGATAGGTCCGGTCCATGTTGACAGCATTTACCCCTACAACCCATAAGGCTAAACAGTGGATCTCTGTATTTGGTATGCATGTGTGTGTGCATGTATACATTCACTAAGTACATGAAAACATATTGCAAACAGAAGCGCTTTACTGCTTCTCAATTGCATAAAAATTCCCAATTGCAACTGCATTGCATATTAAATTATGTTTGCTGAATGAAATTACAATTGTTAAATCTGAATGCTGCATATTTAGTGTGATTTTTTTTAAAACACAAATCATGTGTAAATAGCAATGTGAGGCATGCATTAACCTTGTTTACTTACGTGTTAATTAAATTAACTCTACATTGCAACAGCACATGGCACTCCACCAACAAGCGTCAATGCAAAATTGAAATACCAAATACGCCTCACTAATACAGATCCTGGATTGTGCTTCGATCGGCGACTATTTAACAAAAGGCGGAAGACAGCAGTGCAATAAAATCCATGAATCAATAAATACAAGATTTATAATGCGCGGCCATAATCAACAAAAAGCTGACACTGAAGTGAGGATGGCACAGAGAAAAATCAAATGAAATGAAACTAAACAGAAGAGAAAATTAATGTTTGTAGTCCAGTCTTAAAAGCACCAATTGTCATGGCTGAGCCGACTTTAGTTGGCAGACTGTTCCGTTGCAGCATACTATCCCTGCCACACCACCCAAACTGCATTGAGATGTATATTCTTGGTTCTTTCGGTAAAGTCAGGTTGAAGGGAAACAATAAAATAATAAAATATATATAAAACAATAAAATTGAGATGCTTTATTTCTGCAGCAGATTGACAAAGGTCTAAAATTGAATAAGCTAGGTTGAATTGTGGTTAGAGTGCTCAAATGATAACTTGAAGTTGCTCTTTCAAATCCTAGTCTGCGGTCAAATCAGCACCCCACCCTGAGACAAGTCAAGTACCATTTTGTGGAAGTCAACGGCGATTGTCCTACGGAGACATGGGCCCACACAATGAGAATGTAAAAATTACAACACTGGTTTAGGGCAAACAAAGGAAAAAGGTTCAACCCCAATGTTCAATTGAGCATCCAAGGATGCCCGTCCAGCCCCGTTATAGCAAACTTGTGCTACAGTGGCACAGCTCCTTAAAGGGGGATGATTCAGTGTGGTCACAACCAAGGTTTGAAATGTGTTTAACGCTATATCAAAGAAAGGTGCCGGTCACGTGGGTGCCTAGTGGCCTCACCTTGCGGCCACCAACAATGACACGCTGGCCCACTGTGAGTCCAGGTGGCGCCGGTGGGGTGGGCTGCGATGGGAGTGGAGGCGTGGGCAGCAGTGCGGGAGCGGCTGTGGCCCGGGAGAGCAGTCGGCGAATCTCCCTTGCCACCAGTGCCACCTCAGCCATCTCCAGGGGCATGTCAGCTGCGTCTGGCACCACATCGCATGGCACCTGCCCTCGGTTGTTCTGCAAGGCACACACAGGCGGCAGAAAGTGTTACTTTGTTTAAACTAACGCACCGATAATCAGTTCTCCACACCAGCTTCCCGGCAATCCCTACGTTGCTACACTTGAGATACCAGAAACGTTTCCTCAATGCACGAGCAACTTTAGTGATCTCCACACCACTCACCACAACCCCAACCAGCCCTACTCGACACACTAGCATAAAGCAATAGCAGGCATATGTTGATACAATTCTACTTGCAATATTTGCTTAAAACATATGTTCAAACCTAGCACAGCCACTGTCAACAGATGTAAGAAGGGCGAGTTTGCTTTTCTGAGCAGTGTACATGAAACTATAATTAAAATTCCCAGACCATATGGCCATAACTACACATTGGTCAATCATATGCATTGCGAGTTATTTTCAACTGCAAACATACGGTTTAAGCAATCGCAAGGATATCACAAAGCAGTCACTACCTCAATAGCCAAAGCCAATTCCGATGGCAATATTTGCTCTGAAAAAAAAACGTCAATTTAGGGAATACTCATTAACACTCCACAATAACGCTGGTAGCTCTGGCAAATAATTTGAGAGCTGGCTTTACAAGGTAAATCACCAGCAAAAGCTAATTTACATGGCTTGTGCAGTTTTTCATCTTATTTAATGTAATTTTTAGTTTCTGCAATAAGCATTACCGTTTGCTAAATTTTTCACTGGAAATGGTCCGGGGATTTCAATACTATTACATTTTAAAACTGCCTTAGAAATTATGATATTCTTAACCTGCAATTATATTTATTTCAACCAAGTTTTTATTAAAATTTCTTTTTTTGAAATGCCAAATCATTATTTTTAAACTTCTCTCATAATTGTTTTAAATATAAAACTTTTCTTAGTTATTTGTTGTTGCTGAATTTGATTTACTTATAAAGTAAAATTCCAGCCAGACAGCTCCATATTTGAAGCATTTGACTTCAAACCTGAAGGCTATGGGTTAACGTCTCCGTTGAGGGCCAACTACCCCTATCACCCTTCTTGGGTTAAAATAATCAATGTCTCTCCGTGGGACGTCAACAATGCTGGCATTTGGAGTGACCAGCCTTGGCCACCGGATTGTGTAATTTCCACCCTTAGTTCAGGGCAACCAACAGAGACGAGTGCCAATTCTTGTTAGTTCAGATAAACAATTAGACTGTTTTCAAAACTTTACAAGACTCCATAATAGAGGTTTTGGGTCAGATCGCGTAAATATGTGTGTCGTTAAACCCACCACCACCCAACAGCCAATTAGTAAGGTTTGTCACGTAAAAAAAACATGCCAATTCGTTACTAGTCCAGCACACTGGTTTGTTGGAGAGTAAACCCATGGCATTTACAATTCGAGTACAAGATGACACGACCTCAAAAATAACACTACTGTGGAGGTGTATTGCTGTAATTCAGTGATTATGCAGAACAAATGTTGGTGATTCACACGTAGATGGCGCCAGTCATCGGTGGAACAAATACCTCCTGGGGTGCCCAGCTGCCAGGAGAAGGCAATACAGACCTACATCATTGAACCTCCTTTGCCAGTACCAAAATATAATAATAGGGTTTTCCCCTTTTTCTGGCAACAAAACTGAAACCTTTTTTTACAAGGATTCATGTCTGTGTAGTGGGTTCCAGGACACGGAGACGGCAGAATAGAAGCAGCACTATTTATTTAAACCTTAACAAGGGTTACACTAGAAGGGGTAGCGGCCCCTCCACCCGTATAACTCAGGAACACACCCCAGGCTCTCTAGCCTAAGCTCTAGGCTCCCAGTTCCTCCTGGTAGGGCTCTAAGGGAGGCTATCAGATCCGGCCCTGGTTAGGCACAGATCTCGGCACCCCGCCGACCAGACCGGCCCTTAGAAGGACTCTGACTCTGGGGCTCTGGGGCCGCACCACTGGCTTGCTGTGCCGGCCCTGAAAAGGGCAGCGGTCACAGGAGTTCCAGGGTCTCACCTAGCTGGCCTTCTTTCTTCACTGGTTGCTTCAGCCTCGGGCCCCACACTCTGCCCCGAGCTCCCTGGCTCCCCGCACTTTATACCCACTGGAGCCTTAGCGGACGTTGTTGTAGCCACCAAGGTGTGGGTGAACCACACCTTCCCGTGTCATGTGTTTATTCCCCATAGCACCCCTACATCACCCCCTCCCGTGTAACCCGCAGCCGTCCCGGCTGCAACAATACTCGAACAATAAACACAACAAACCCCCACCCGTGCGTGCCTCATAAGAACGAACACCCCAATAAATAACCCAACCCACCTATACAAAATTACACTATATACACATATACATTGTACCCGCCCCCCCCCATCAACGCAGCAAGAAAACTTAACAGTGAACAACAAGAGTAACAAGAACCATTTTTACAACAAGCGGCGCATTTTGGCGCGAGTCCGATTTGCGGGTCCATCGTAGGGGGAGGGTCCGGTCGGCCCGGCAGTGGGCACCGGCTGTGCAGGTGCACCGTCTTCCGTCACCCCGGAAGGGCAAACTCCGTCCCCACCGGGTGGCGCAGGCGCGCTGGAAGCCGTCATTCTTGAGGCGCCGGGTTGCGATGCGGAGGCCTGTAGGCTGGAGCGCCGTCCGACCGTCCCGGCTGTCGTTGACGAGGCGCCCGGCATTCCGCAGCCACGTGGCCCTTGCGGCCACAGTTGTAGCACGTGATGAGCGCCTTGGGGTGCTCCTGGCGATCCGGTGTGGTCCGAGCCGGCCTCCCTCCGGATCTCCACTCCACCGGGCGACCCGCCGCGAAGACCTCCTCGGAGGGGGGGATGGTCGGCGTCCCAGCGCACACCGCAGCTGCGCCCTTGGGGACGAGAGGTGATCGACGCTGCGCTATCAGGTGCGCGTGGATGTGTCTTGCTGCCCGCAAGGAGCACATGTCCGCGTCGTCCTCTGCGACGATGACGATCTGTAGCTCCTGGGCCAACGCCAGGAGCTTCTCCGTCACCATCGCGTCCACCCCTTCGCCGTCCATCCGCGGGAAAGCCGCTTTTGCGAGGGCCAGGAGAGCCGTGCGATACGCCAGCGGTGGCTCCTTCTGGCCCCTGCACCGCTCGTGGAAGAGTTTGCGGCAGTCCGACGATGGCCCGTAGACTATGGTGAGGACCTGGAGCGCCGACTGTAGCGTAGATCGCGTTGATCTGGGAGCTGTGATGAGCGTAGCAAGGGCGTCATCGTCCAGCATGGCCGGTAGCGCACTCAACGCCTCGTTGTCCGTCCAGCCGGCCATCTCTTGATGAGCGAGAAAGCGGCGTTGAAAGGCCCCCCAGTCGCCGCCGTCTGAAACGAACTCCTTCAACACCGGCAGGCGTTGTTGAAACGATGGCTTCGTCTCTGAGAGGTGCCGCGCGCCATTTCCGGCCTCTCCACCGGTGTCTTGGGGGCTGGGGACACCCATCGGCGGTCGCGCAGGTGATGACGATGCGCCCGCCGATTGGTCCTGACAGCGGGCGTCCGTTGGTGATGACGTCACCACCGCTGATTGGCCCACAGCGTCCACGTGGCGCTGCGACCCTCCAATCGCCGTGGCGGACACTGTCATGGCGGCAAATCCGAAATCTGGTGGCTGTGTTTCGGCGGGAATGGCCGTTGAACGGCGTTCGTCTCTCTGCCGCCTTTGCGCCCGCAGCCCCGCGCGGTTGATTTCCTCCAGCGTGGAAGCCGCGGCATACAGCAGCTCAGCCAGTCGAGAGTGAGCCGCCTGCAACCCGTCCTCCATCGGCGGCCACTCCTCCAGCGGCGGCTGCTGTTGGGGCGTCTGGGACATCCCAGGATCGTCGGCCGCGGCCTCTGGCGCAATCCCAGGCGAGCCGTCCTCCTCCTGGGGTTCCTGTGATCGGTTTGTACTCCTTGTGTCCATTTTAAGACCACTCTGACACCAGTTGTAGTGGGTTCCAGGACACGGAGACGGCAGAATAGAAGCAGCACTATTTATTTAAACCTTAACAAGGGTTACACTAGAAGGGGTAGCGGCCCCTCCACCCGTATAACTCAGGAACACACCCCAGGCTCTCTAGCCTAAGCTCTAGGCTCCCAGTTCCTCCTGGTAGGGCTCTAAGGGAGGCTATCAGATCCGGCCCTGGTTAGGCACAGATCTCGGCACCCCGCCGACCAGACCGGCCCTTAGAAGGACTCTGACTCTGGGGCTCTGGGGCCGCACCACTGGCTTGCTGTGCCGGCCCTGAAAAGGGCAGCGGTCACAGGAGTTCCAGGGTCTCACCTAGCTGGCCTTCTTTCTTCACTGGTTGCTTCAGCCTCGGGCCCCACACTCTGCCCCGAGCTCCCTGGCTCCCCGCACTTTATACCCACTGGAGCCTTAGCGGACGTTGTTGTAGCCACCAAGGTGTGGGTGAACCACACCTTCCCGTGTCATGTGTTTATTCCCCATAGCACCCCTACATCTGCATTAACCACAATACTTGCAGTCAAAATGCAAACAAAAAACACACTCTGATGACTCCAAAAGGCATCATCTGGTCTAGCACCAATTGAGACTAGGCTCTAAAGAAAGCTGTCTCTGGTGTGGACCAATCAGTTTCAAGGACAATGCATATATTATCAGTGTTTTTTGTTTGCATTTTGACTGCAAGTATTGTGGTTAATGCAGACGTGAATCCTTGTAAAAAACGTTTCAGTTTTGTTGCCAGAAAAAAGGGGGAAAACCCTATTATTATTACAATACAGACCTGTGAGTGCAAAGTTCTGGGTGTTTCCACTCACATGCTCATACTTTCTCTGGGCATGCAGGGCATTCTAGTTTACATCCAAACAAGATAAGGCACCTACAGTTGTACGACAAGTCTTTTAAATTTGTATATGTCTGGGACCATAAACTCCATTGCGCTAGCAATATGCGACACTGAGTTGTTCAAAGAGGTGGCTTGAAGGGTAGAACATTGACGGACAAAGCTAAGTGAAGCGACAGCCTTGAGATATTAGATGAAAACGTGTTGTTTCTAAATCCTGTTCTACTCGCAAAGTCAATGGTCATATCAGATGAATTTGAATTATCGAAATACAGCTCTACCTTCCAAAACCTATTTCTCACAAGTGTAGGGCCAAATTATGCATTCATTGTTACAAAATCGCCAAAATAACCGTACGTATCTTTGTGGAGAATATGAAAACTAAATAAATAAGCAGGCAAAATGCTTTTTCCAATAGATTTCTCTCTACATAGAATTTGTCGAGGTTGATTCCCTTAAAAATGTTCCAGCATATATCCCAATAATACTTTTCTGTTATCTTCTGCCCACTCAAAGCACAAGGATTTTTTAAGCATACAAAAACTGCCACAAAAACATATTCAGGAATTGTAAGATGCAGACTTGGTATTCTTTAGTGATAGGGTTATATAACATTCATGACATTATTAGTTTCATATTTCTTGTGAGTCATTGTTACAGCTATAACTTTCTCATAACCACGATTTATTTTTTATTTATTGAGAAAAAGAAGTTGCCAACTTTTCACCCAGGCAACCGGAGAGCACAGACTTAGGTTTTTCTTAACCCATAACTTAAACAACAACTACATATATTTAAGAACGCACAAGTAAAAAAAAAACAATATACTATTTATAATTTCAATAAAAAAATTTACTTAAAATATCGTCAATGATTCTTATCATTATCATCAGCTGTTGTATATCCACTGCTGGATGAAGTCCTCGCAATGCAACGCATCGCCCTCATTGCTTTACAATCGATCTCACTGTTTAACATGTACACTTTTGTGACCAATATCGTCCATAATACAGGTTGTTTTTGGGTGAGATCACGTAAATATATAAAAGTGTCGTTAAACCCGCCACCACCCGACGCAGCCAATTAGTAAGGTTTGTCACGTAAACAGAACATGCCAATTCGTCACTAGTACAGCACACCGGTGTGTTGGAGAGCAAATCCACAACTTACTCTTTGGTTCTATTCGGTAAAGTCACGTAGGTAAGAAATAAAACAACAAAAATCACAACGTTTCGGCCAAAACACAATGGCCTTCTTCAGGTGAAGGAACAGAACTGTCGGGACGACAGCACTTCAATGACTACTACTAAGATTCGCAGCGTCTTTTAAGTTCGGTGGGAGGAGCAGGGCACCTTGACAAAGGAATTTACATATCAAAAATAGCTGTGTTAAAGTGTTGAAGAAACAGGGTGTTAAAGTCAGAAAATTAGCTGGGGGATTAGCATGTTTTTGTGTAGAGGGTGCAGAGGATGGGTCACTGTGTGTGTGCAATAGAAACGGAAAAAATTAAAGATCGGCAAGAATGTGCTGTCAGGGGAGAGTAGAAAAAATGGTTTAATAGAAAGTTCGGAAGGAATATGCTTGGTATACCATTACTTGAAATTGCTGTTAGAAATTAGTTGACGTTTGGTATGATTTAAAACGTCTTTCCAATGGTTGCGTAATTTGAAACTATCCTCTCGGTTGAAGTTATGTCTTGTGTTTGTATATCTGAATGGCTTCGTGGACAAATCTCTGGTGATAACCTGTAGGTTTACAGAGAACCTTGGTATCGAAGAAGACAATCTCATGATCACCCATAGTGTTGTAACAATGATGAGCCATTGCAGATGAATTCGTTCTGCCGCGTTTCAGATCTGATTTGTGCTCGCAAATTCGGTCAGAGATATGTCGTTTCGTCTCCCCGATATAGCAATCACCGCAGGCACAACTCAATTTGTAAACTCTGGGGTACTGTAAGTCAGAGATGACATCCTTCACGGATGGGATCAGGCCACGGATTTTGTGTACTGTATTGAACCGGACCAGGATCTTGTGTTTGTTTAGAATTTTGGAGATCTTTTTAGTAACGCCTGCTATATATGGTAGTGTGATGGTTCTGACCGAATTCGCGAGCACAAATCAGATCTGAAACACGGCAGAACGAATTCATCTGCTGTGGCTGATCATTGGTACAACGCTATGGGTGATCATGAGATTGTCTTCTCCGATACCAAGGTTCTCTGTAAACCTACAGGTTATCACCAGAGATTTGTCCGCGAAGCCATTCAGATATACAAACACAGACATAACTTCAACCGAGAGGATGGTTTCAAATTGAGCAACCATTGGAAAGACGTTTTAAATCATACCAAATGTCAACTAATTTCTAACAGCAATTTCAAGTAATGGTTTACCAAGCATATTCCTTCCGAACTTTCTATTAAACCGCACATTCTTGCCGATCTTTAATTTTTTCCGTTTCTATTGCACACACACAGTGACCCATCCTCTGCACCCTCTACACATAAACATGCTAATCCCCCAGCTAATTTTCTGATTTTAACACCCTGCTGCTTCAACACTTTAACACAGTTATTTTTGATATGTAAACTCCTTTGTCAAGGCGCCCTGCTCCTCCCACCGAGCTTAAAAGACGCTGCGAATCTTAGCAGCGGTCATTGAAGTGCTGTCGTCCCGACAGTTCTGTTCCTTTCACCTGAAGAAGGCCACTTGTGTTGTGGCCGAAACGTCGTGATTTTTGTTGTTTTATTTATTTACCTAAGTGACTTTACCGAATAGAACCAAAGAGTATGGATCCTTGCAGTCTCGAAAGCTTCAAATCTAGAAAAGCCACAACATTTACAATCTGAGTGCAACGTTTAGCCAGTAATTAAACTGGCTTCCTCAGGCAACAGCCAGATTTGTGGAGAAATCCTCTTGTTTCGTTCCTTAAATAGAAGGATGTATTTACGTGATCTAACCCAAAAAACCTGTACTATGGATCTCTTTGTAAATGCAACGAACTCATCGCCCCATCTCCACACTGGTCCGCTGGTGCGCGTTCTCTCCTTTGGCAACCGCTTGATAAATCGTCTTTGTCCATTACCCCCTTCTCACAACTGCCCTCGTGCACGTACATTCTTTAACAACCAGTAACATGCCTGTGACGTGCATTTATTCCCGACCAGCTGGTCCCCTTTCTTTTAGAGTTTTGCCCAGCTCGCAACTCTCCTTGTTTCCATTAAACGCTCCTCGTTTCTCAACCTCTCCTTGCACCCTTCATCTTTTGTTCCATCTCGATGGTGCTAAAGGTATTAATTGGCTGGACCAAAGCGAATGACTAAACTGTGAAATAAGTCACGTGTTACATGGACAGTTGGACTGGACATAGGCAGGGATGCGCCTTCTTCACTCACCTTGAACAGAGGGTTGGCCGAATGTTCCAGAAGGCTCTTTGCAGCAGACAGACACAGGTTGGAGGCCGCGATGTGCAAGGCCGTCCCAAAGTCAAAATCACTGCAGGTTGCGTCTACCTCTGGTAGGCAAGAGACATTAAAACGCAGATGACTCCTACAATAACCATCAGGGCCCATTTCAAATGGGGGGGGGGGGGGTTCTCTTTCCCTCCACGAAAAGGCACATGTGCAAAACTGCTGCGAACACAGTGGTGTGTTTATACGAGCAATGTCATAAAGGTTACTGCGCCACTAATCACAGAAACTCATTACACTTGTGTTCACAAACTGTAGGAGCACAATTAGCGATCAAGTGAAGACAATGTGTTTTATTTTATCCAAATGCCTGGGCACTCAGTTAAGATTAAATATACAATTGGGTCAATAACCAATGATACACCAGAGACAATCAAGAAAACGTTTTAGTTTCATAATCCTTCACTGACATCAAGGGTGATATTTGTCGCTCAACTTAATTGTATAGTTAAAGAAATCCAATAAATTATATTGATCTGACACATTTCAACTGCTTTGTTCAAAAAGTCTCCCTCCTGAAAAGTTCCACATTCCCATGGTGAAGGCCACTTGTGTTGTGGCCGAAACGTCGTGATTTTTGTTGTTTTATTTTTTACCTACGTGACTTTACCGAATAGAACCAAAGAGTATGGATCCTTTCAGTCACGAAAGCTTCAAATCTAGAAAGGACAGTCACTACTCACTTCACACAAAGCGGTTGTATATTGAATCTATTCCAGAGGGGTGACAAGCTGATTCAACTCTTGACCGATAAAACCTTACAACTGTATGGTCCTTTCATCAGAGCCAGCCAAACAAACACTTGATTATTCTTGGAAAAGTGAATCACAAATCAATTACATCTCCTCTTACATTGCTATGGTGCAGGGGGGAAAAACTGGTCTTCTAAAAGTGGCCCATTTGTTGTCGTGACAGACATCAGCACCGTGAGCAGGGTACATTCTTTCCCTTGAGATAGTTCAGGCCATGAACAGGACACACATGCCCAGCTCAGAGCCAGTCGAGGCTAGACATGTAGTTTTGGAGACAGACTATATGTTTGCACACTACTTAAAGATAACAAGGTATATTAAACATTGCAGATAGAAATACAATTTAATCAATTTAAATATTTATTTTTTACATTGGTTAAGTTAATATTTGAGCAAATCATGCAGGCTTATTGTTGGCTGACAGAAGCAATTATTGATATCCCAAAGCAAACACCAAGGAGAAGAGATGATTCTCTATGTGGGCTGAAATACATTGTGCGATGACAAAGTAAGCTTCATAGCAGAATGAAAATGGCTGTAAAGATGAAAAAGAATTGTAATTTATTCATTATAAATGCGGCTTATTTAAGCAGTACAAATAAAACGTGAAAAACACACTAATTCAACTCTACTTTGCATTTTCGGACTGTAACCAGTGCGTCATTCGGCATGATGTTCCGACATTTCTCTCCACGAGCCGGGGGGGGGGGGTGAAACGTCACAGATGTCATGCTGAACAACACGCGGCACAATCAAACACGTACATACTCACATCAGGATGCTCCACGTGGTGCCGACAACACAAGCAAGCCTTCATGGCACCCTGATGGTGGCCAAGATGATAACAATGAAAAAACTGGTCTACAATGCCAAGCTGACATGGGGCAGTGCATAACGCAACCACACCGGGTTCCTCACCTTTGGGCCCGGCTGCTTGAAGGACGACAGGGATGATCTCGGGCACGTCAAAGTAGGCAGCATAGTGGAGCGCGTTCATGCCCGTCCAGCGGCTTCTCAGTGACGGGTTGGCCTCCAGCGCCAGCAGGCGTTCCGCAAATGCCGCTGCTGCTTCCGCGTCGCCTATTCACGAGACAACATAGGAACGACGACAACAGCAGCTGCCATTCACAACAAAGTGACGGTGGCATTACCGCATAGCTTGTGCCAGGCTGGGTGCACCTTGAGGCCACGCGTAGCATCGAAGGCTCAACGGCAGGAGATCACAATGGTCACAGCAGGTAACATTTTGAGATAGGATGAAGGAAGCAGTCTTACCAATGCCTGGTGCCCCAGCCTTGCAGGTGTAGTGGAGCAATGTCATGTCGGTGAGCTCATCTCGATCATTGGGGTGGCAGCCACGCTTCAACATCTGAACTCACACAGGAATGAGGGCAGCATCAAAGAGGGACTTCTGTCATTCATTATTCTGCTGTGGTGCAAGCAACAGTAATGAGCACTTGTTACAGTTGGCATGGCACACAAAGGCAGTTTCAGAATTAGTATGATGAATGGCTTCAGCATCTAAGTGGTGATGAGTCACTCACAAACTTGGGTTGTTGCTCATCCACATTGACAGCGGTACAGCGGTGTAAATTCCAAATTCCTATGGTGAGGGCCAGTTTATGCATATCACACTCAATGTTGTCTTCCAACAAAGTGGAACAAATGTTATCAATGTTGAATGGTTGATAAAATGAGCTGAACCGAACCCGAATTCCAACTTGCAGAATTTAAAATGCAAGTTGAGTGCACACACCACAGTGCTATGGTTTCACACTCATATGTTTAAATAAACAAGATACATTAAACTCTCCCAAGTCTCGATCTGCCTACATTTAACCTAATGAAGACTATGTGCTGTAGGTTGTAATTAGTATGTTGTACAAGAGAACAATCACATTGCTATACACATGCTCCCCAAAAAAATGAATAATACCCCAACAGGCAGGTCATTATGTGACTACTGCAATAAACAAAATACCCCATGGTCCCCTCTGTGGCATGGTTTTGCATGACAGTCCACAATTCAAAGGAAACCCTGAGAATAACAAAAAATAATTATTGATGTGTCCAACTCACATGAGCAAAGCACAATGCTCCAACCCATCAGATGCAGAAATGGCACAATACCACATGGCTGGAACACAAAGTATTGCTTTACAAAAACTTGTATGCATTACAGTGTACATCTCTCTAGCCAGATGGTATTTTATCACAGAGCATGATGCACAATTGGAGGAAGCTGTGAGTTCAAATCCCAGTATGTTGTCGACTCAGATCATCATCCCTCCAAGATCAATAAAAAAAATTAGTATCACTGTCAGGGAGGCACATTGGGGAGATGCATCCCCAACAACAGCCATGCATATATCTTTCAACACTGGTTTAGAGCCACTTATGAGGATGTGCACCGCTCCTGGCACCTTTGATTAAGGAGGCACGCTGTGATTTTAATGAGTAACCAACGATTAAGGGGGAAGGCATGTGAATATATGTAGTAATGCACATGAGGTTTTTTTTTACCACTTTTTTAAGCGTGGGCATTGACTGGTCAGTGTACAACAAAGGAGGCTGGATAGCAGAGCATTCTCTACTCTCGGACCGCCCTACACACAGGAGTTTAATAATTGCGGCTTTCGCAAATTCTACAGCGTGGGCGTAACAGCTGGCGGCAACCTTTCACAACAATGTCCAAGGCACACAGCGATTGCCAGAATAAATTTAGAGTAAAATTCCATGAATATATTTCCTCGAAATATTTGTTGTAATTTATATTGTGCAATTAGTAATGTTTTCATAAAACGAATAACCTATGATAAATTACTCATTTCAATTTCAATATTAGTGCTCCAATGGTTTTTTATGTTATACTTGGAGGTGGTAAACTACATGCATTCTCTCGTAAGAAAAAGATTTTTACCTTCTTTAACGTAAAATAATAACCAATAAATTCCACTGCCATATATACAACACTAATTTTGGCCCCCAAGACACCACATTATTTGGAATGTTGTGGCAATCAATACGTCTCCCTGCTGAACTCAGCAATGGGATGGTGCTCATATCCACAAGTGGCTCTGAGCCATAGATAGATATGTCAAATTCCCTTTGCCAGACATGCCATTCTCAATGTCCTGCCGTGTCGTACACCAAGACAGCGGGACATGGAAGGGGCAGTATGGACACAGCAGGACATTGGAGGGAGACATACCACAGTGGGATATGGAGGGAACTATGTGGACAAAGGAAAACTAAATGTAAAATCATAACAGCTCAGATATCATGAGCCATTTCAGGAAATTATACTTTTTTAAAAATTGTGGTGGTGCATACCTTTGAACCAGTGCTCTAAGTGACAAGGGTTGGTGGATCACGTATGGATGTAAACCTAGCAAACGCCCTATAGATTTTTATAGCACCCAATTGCAAGGCGGTTTACAGCAATTTAAAAATGATACATATGATGATAGAGTGGGCATTGGAGTGTTCCTCCCACAAACAGAGCACTCATTAATGGAATTGGCCAAACATCCCAATGCAAGACCCTTTTGAAATAAAATCTTGTGGCTCAGCGAGGCTTTCTTGGATAAATATAGGACATCACTTGGCAAGAATGCCAACTTGTTATTTTCCGACATGAACACTGCTGATCATAATGGTGTTTAGATTCAACAGATTGTCCATGTTATCCTGTTTCATGGTGTGTTCTTACTCATCTTGCTCTGTCTGATGCTTTAAAATATTACCAATTTATTCAGCGAGGTGAGATTTATTATAACTTCACTAACACTGCCTTCCTCCAGCTTATTATTCTTGAAGTGTTAATCTTATTGCAAAATTACATTTGTTACATACTGTATTGTTTAATGTTTTGTACAGTGTGTATATATACGTGATGCATTCAATATTTGTTGTGTTCTCTCATATATTTTATCACTCTCTTCCAAATAATTTATTGCCACTTTGGGAGAGCACTCAACTAACAACCAAGTGGTATTTAGTCAACTCAGCCCTTAAATCTGGCTCCTGTCAAGGGATACTGGCTCCTGTCAAGGGAATGTGTAATTTTTACAACTCGCTCATAGCAATTTAAGTAGAGCTGAGCACTGGTAAAATGCTAATTTGAGCAGGAAGACGCAATTACTTGACTAGTTACACACACGCACTGTATGCACAGTTGCATATACAATAATAATGTACGGCCATTATTCAATGCACTGCGAATGAGGGCCTCTCACACTGTCATACTTCACCACGTTGGTAAATGAGGGTTGGTGAATGGTGTGCGCGTAACCACTTCAAATATGACCCACCGGTGTTCGCTATGGCCAGGAATTGAACTCAGATCACCAGGTTTGAACTCATAGGTCTGAGTTCATAGTGCAATGAGCTAACCATTTGCACCACTGCTTCACCTCATAAGTATCCATTATATATTGTGCATATATACTACACATAAACATGTACTTTTTCAGCTCTTTATCAATCGATGTACGTATGTTGAACTTCTTTCGCACCGTACGTAGCCAACCGTGCCAATCGGAGGTGTGGGTGGAAGGACAACAAAATTCGATGGAGAATGGAGGTCTGTATACTTCTCCGCACTGGTCAGTGAAGATTGGTGAATGGGGGGGGGGGGGGGCACCCAGCTCTGGTTCAGATTTCACTCAACACTAACGTTGGCTGTGGGCAGGAATCATACCGAGATCGCTGGGTTCATAGTGCAGTGCACTAACCATGAATAATTATAATCTCTATTTATTAATAGCGCCTTTCAAATTGAAGTATCTCAAAGCGCTGTACGTAAAAGTAAAACTACACTCACATATAGATGATATCCAAGAAAAATATAAAGCTGAAAAGAATATCAATGGGCTTTGGCAAGACACATCGTTGGATAGGATGATGACCATCGGACAAGACTGGTGATGGAACAGCAGCTGAAGATGTGAATGCATCCAAGAGGACGACCACTGCATAGATGGAGCGATCAAATCAGTTCATACACAAGGGTGTGCTGTATGGAAAGAGCACTGGACCATGAGCAATGGCGATGACGTGCGGAGACCTTTAGACAAAAGCAGCGAGACAATGGTGAATGATAATGATGACTATGAATGCACACAGCCATGAAGCTTTGCATGTATTCGTTTACCTCCCAATAGGCCGGCCTCCACCGCCTACGTCACCTGCTGCATGGCCACGTTCATTTTTAAAGACGCCAATCACAAACCTCAACCACTGCCCACGATTTGAGCGTTTACGTAAGGCAGGCAGCAGTGCACTCGCCAAGAACTCCCACTCGTGATGAAATGTCAATAACCAATTGTGGCATTTATATTGTGCCTTGGTTAGCCTCTCACACGCATCTGTGTCCAACACACTAAAGGCAATAAAACGCAGTGCTTTTTTCTCATTTATTTTATTACAGCATTTGAGTTGAAAATAATTTAGCAAATTTATCCACCAGAATTGGCCTACAGGAGGTGTTATTGTTCCAATCGTGCCCCTGGTGGCTATGGGATGGGTTAATATAAAGATGAGTGCATAACTCCACCGTCGCTAATAACGAGTGGATATCAACAATTCCACAACTAGTAAAAAAAACGTATTAGTGGGCACCACCTAGAGACGAGAATTTACATAGCAAGCTCAGGTTGCACTGCCTGCATTTAAATTAACAACAGGATTCCAGTGCTCATACACTTAAGAGAGCAACGGGGAGGCATTTGTCTCCATTAGCCAATGAACAATGGAATATCCACCATCCTATGATGGGCGTGAGTCTCTCCATAGCACAACCACTGCTGACTTACCGTGAAGTGGTAAAAAAAATCAACCCCAGGGGGAACAGATAAATGGAATTTGAATTCCAATTGAGAGTCAGCATCACACAAATACATTTTTATTGTATTCGGTACATGCGTTCTATAACTGTGCGGGCATGAACTGCGTAAGGGCATATTCCATCACCTTGCTTCCAAGGACATGTGGATAAATGCGGAGTCTGTAAATATATCTTCAGAGTATGACGTGCACATGGTGAATCACAGGTGTAAGGAAATGGATTACCTATGGTGCTAACCCTGGGGGTAATTCAAACGTGGGGTATTAATAGCGGGTCTCTGGATTCTGCGACCGTGTCTGTGCGTCATTTCCACGATGTGGGTGCGTGGGCCGTAGCAGAGCCGCTTTCGAGCTGTACTTCAAAACCCACGCAAGTACATCCTTCGGTACAGTGCCAAATGCTTGTTCACCTTGTTTTCCACGGAGACTGCCGCAAACGCCACCAATAAATGGGGTGCATACACCACACCAAAGCGCTTGGATCACAAGACCCTGCTGAATTGTTCCATCATGTTTCGTAATTTGAAACAAGAGTGCAATTTTTACGGGCTACCTTGGCAGCTCGATAGCTTTACGGCTCACAATAGTCCTAAAAATCCATTTTGTAAATGGTCAGCGGTTTTATTCCTGGATTGGCCTGGTAATTTCGGTGGGGAACAATCAATATGCATTCAAGAAGTAATAATGGCCATGCTGATGTCATCGCTTCATACTGCAAAAGCCAGCAACTGGTGAATAGCATGCAGTTAATTTCCAGTCTACATTGTCTTTTATAAATGATTAGCTGTACTACCCGGCTTCGCCCGGGACTTGGATCCACCACGCGCGAATCGCTACACAGGCCCCTCCCACACACACAGGATAAAGACAAAATCCCCCGTGTAGCCTGTAGGGGGCAAGTGCTGTTAGCGAGCACCTATGAAGGCAAGCACGGCACACGAGGGGGTGGGTGACAGAAGCACGCCCGGCCGCCTTTGTCTCCCCAGTGGCAATGTTCACACACCACAGCAGTTACTCGTTTGAGGCTGAGTCGACCTAGGGGAGGCCCAAAAGCGGTTGAAATAATCGTCACCGGTGGTGGCCGTGAGCGGGAATCAAACTCGGGTGGCCGGGTTCGTAGCGCAGCGCGCTAGCCACTCCACTATAATGGCGTTACGCTTCCACATGCGCGGGTCACGTGACAGATTTGACGTCACAGCTCACTTGCCGTGCAAAAAATATATGCATTATTGAGTGCCCCCTCCCAAAAAAATGCGTATTTTTATAATTTTTGCATGATGTACAGTCTGGAAAGTACCCACATGGCAAATTCCCAGTTTGTTGCATGTCGGGAAGTACGCTAAACATTTTGAACAGACACATATTCACAACTTGGCCTTTTATATATATGGAGATATATTCAATACTCGGGGCATCATGCATGAAAGTAGGCTACAGACAACATTCATGAAAGTAACCATGCAAGAACTGAAATCTAAAATATTAATATTACGTACAATTAAGGTATTAAAAATGTATGACCGTCCCTCGAAAATGCAAAAGTTAAAGTGTATCCCTGCATGGAGTGCTGTTCATTTCCATTGGTAGCCTAGAGTCAGTGGTGAACATTTTCCATTCCTGTGGCAGAATCTAGTCTCACCATACATCTGTAGTATAACCCACACTGTCCGTGTGATCATGCAATCGCGCAGTTTCCACAACACACCTTCATACTCCACTACACATCAATTGTGACTTGCCAAAAAAGTGGAACTCATTTTATAGACCCACGAAGAGGATGATGGATTGCGTTCTCCCTAACCAGGATGTGCACTTGCAATCTTCTGACTTCAAGACTGAAATATTTTTTTGTTTATTTTTCTCCACCAAAACTATCTGTGAATCCGTCAGGATTTGCAGACAACAGGAAGACCTGTAAATCCCCTAGGCCCTGCATATAACATGATTTACAGATAAGCGGATGATGGATGAGTTGTACTGTGTTTTTTGTGGGTGTGAAGCAAATTTAAATTTCTGTTCCCGCTGTCCCCTTTCATTGCTCACGCAAACTCGCCTATCACACATCCCCACCACCCTCCCCCCTTGTCCTTTGTCACCATGATTATCTTGTCCTCTCTAACTGACCTTCTATTTACGTCACACGAAGTTTAAAGTATAGATTCTTAAGAGCCATAAAATCTGTAATCCAAGGACACTGCTCTTTAAGCTCGAACCAGGATTTGACAGGTGAGGTTTAAAAGGAGATTTGATGAAAAATAAATTAATCTGTCACATGGCTATAGTTCAACAGTGCAAAGATATGTGAGGAAAATGTAGGAAAATTTGTTTTTTAGGTTGCACTGGGTGATGCAGTGGTGTGCAAAGGTGATTATTTCAAATCTCACGTGTAGGATGACACTGCCGTTGTCCCTCCAAGGTTGCTAAAATTATAAACCGTGTATCACTTTTTGGGAAGTGAACAGTGGTAGTTGTATCATTGTATGTGGTGTTTGATGAGTTGGGTATCCACAATGAAAATGTCACGACAGGTTCAGTGGTGAAATTTCTACAACTGGCTCAGAAGAATGCCAATGGAAATTACTTTCTACAACAGCTGGGTCATTATTATTCTTATCCTCAGCATGGAAACTAATGCTCGTGGGATCATGGGATCAGTGGAATCATGAAGAGGCCAGACATTGCAGACCCCATTTTGGTGTAAGGGAGGGCTCACGAGGCCTGGCTGACCTAGGGAAGCCTAATAAATGTATGTCAGCCGTATGTTTCAACAGAAATTCTGGTCGAGACCAGTCAGTTGGTATCACAGTCGACCAACGGGACTACAATAGCTACGAATATAACCTTCCGGACAACCACTCGGACTACCGATACAACCAGAACTTGCACTGGAACAACTGAGACCACGGGAATGGCCACTGGGACCAGCGGAATTACCATTGAGATCACCAGACCTACCACGAGGGCTACCACTAGAACCTCTTAAGACTACCACTTGGATGGCCAGGACTACCACTGCAACTACAGGGACCACCGAGACTAGCATTGAGAATTTCATGACTACAAAATTATTAGATGTTCTCCCACACGTGTGTAATTTATGTAAACACACAAATGCTCACTCGTGTATGTATGCATGCATGTGTGAATATCTAAGACAGAAATCGCCCACAGAAGAATCTTAATTCCTGCAGGAATTGCACAGCTCTAGTCTTGATAGATGTTTTTTATATTTTTATTTCAGCATGAAGGACCCAATGAGCTGTTTTTCTCTATTTTACAAGTGTCCCACAATGGTAAAGATGTTATTCAGTGCAGATTTTAAGTTACAATCACAGCACTTCTGATGACAATCTGCAATTTCGTATTTGCTCATGTGCACATGGTTCTCAGAAACTGTGGCCAGTGAGCAGGCGGGGGTAGAGTAGGTGGAGTAGAAGTCAGGGGTCACCTCGTTGCCGATGAGCGCCACGTGCTGCTGCACCTGCGGGACCCACTGGCGCAGTACGGCGAATAGCTGTGACACCGTCGTGCTGGGGGACAGCAGCAGCGTCTGGCACGATGGTTCCTTCGGGTCGAAGAACGCAAAATCTGTGACGAGAACAACCACACGCCGCCCACGGCCTGAGTTTAGACCTGCCGTTGTTAAAGTGGCGGAGCCAGATTGACAATGCAGCAGTTGCCGAGGGCCCCCTAGTGGAGGGTCTAAATCGAAGCACGGGTGGGTGTCGCGGCTGCAATGGGATCACCTAACTTAAAGGGTCCCCACAGTTTGACTCTTACAGAGGCGCTCGTGAAGATTAATGTGGTGTCAACGTTTTTCCCTAAATGTTGGTCGAGATCTTTATTGAAAGCCTGCAGTCAGATTGTGTTTCTACACAGTGAGGCAGCGCTCTTTTCCATCAGTGGCCCCGAGCCACCAGAAGAACGTCTACGTTCCGATAGTAGGGGCCAGTCTATCCATAATACAAATACGGTTTAAATCCCTCTAGTAGCTGTTTTTTAGACTGGCCCCTGCTATGAAAATGTGGAATATCCATTGCTGGATTTGAATCGCCAATGGTTAGGGAGGACAGCTCCACAGTCATTTGAGGAAAGAAACACCTCGAATTGACTCCTTACACTTGAATGAATTTATGTATGATTCAATCAAAAACTACAATATACTGTTAAGTATATTATGCAACAGTCACAAATGCAATGCTGTCCTTACCTAAATGGGTGGCTGGGAGCTCGTGTTCGTGTCAGAGCACTGAGCCAGTGCCACTGAAATCCTGCATCTAAATCCTTGGCCTCCCACCAAAGATAAAATCAGGTTCCCAACTACAGCAGGTGTGATGGTCTCAGCTCTATAACAAATTACTGTCAAATAAAAACAGCACTCACTTCAACTGACAGAAACGGTGATTTAGTGGTTCACACACGATGCTCTGAACCTGGAGACCTGAGATTGAGTCCCACCAACAGCTAACATTAATTACACGGTTCTGGGTCCCCCTTTCACAAACTTCAAAGACCTCCATGGCCGACAAAAGGCATAGACAAACTATCCAGCAGTGGATTGACAAAGGTCTGTAAATAAATTTAATTATTACTTACGATTTGCCAATTTCTAGCGCCTAATTATGAAGCTCTCTGCTGTGCAAACGATTCTCATCTTAACGGCCGAGAACGTGGTTGGTTAGTAGGAAAATAAAGATGCTAAATAAATGTAATAAGGAATGAAACGCCACTTCAAGTCCTTCCTCAACGTGAGGCAGTGATCATCTCCATCAGTGGCTCCGAGCCACCATAAATTGCCCAAAGAAGAATCATAATGCCTGTAGCTCTAATGTTCACATATTTTTTGGGATTTACTTTTTTTTTCAGCATAAATGACCTAATGATCTGAAATGCTCTAATTTAATGTGCATTCTGATAAACCAGACACTTGTTTACACATACGTAGACTACAGGATAAAAGACTGCACATGAATGCAACTGCAAGTTTACGGGGATTGTATGTCCAAAAATGCAGGGGCCTCACTCTGCCAGAACCGACGACGCATAGTGAGGTTCAGTACTGTGCAGAGTGACACTCAGTACTGCCGACTCCGCACAATGTGAGCACGCAAATGCCACTTGAGCTGCACGGGAGAATCTCCACTCACAAGACAGCTGACGACCACACCTCACCAAAAATAGCCGGGTGGAGGGTGGCTGGCAGCTGTCGGTGAGTGGAAAGTTGAGTCAACTCTGCAGCAGACGCAAACTTTTGGATCACCTCTCACCAAAAATCGACAGAGGTGGCGAAAAAATTCCATCGCCAGCTCTGCATAACCTTTACGTTTTAGCGCATTGCAAGGATAAGCACCACAGTGATAGGATGCAATAGCAAGCTTGAACGCAACTACAATTGAGTGGAAATGACAGAGTTGGGTACTTGTGTACACAAAAACCACACTTAATACAGAATTGGACCAAACGTAGAAGGCTAGGACCTCCTGAAAACAAATTCTGAGACTTGAAGGGGCTTTGTTGGATAAATAATGGATTATTGTAATTATTATCTTTCCAGGTGGTGCTGTCCGGTTAGTGTGTGCTTTTCACAACTGGGAGTTTGCAATTTCAGCCCCAGAATGCAGTGGATATCCCACGGAGAATATGGCACCCTTGCTGGTAGAATTTCCACCACTTGCTCAGGACTCATGACGGAGATAAGCGCAAACCAAATATCATTTGGGTACAAGGATTATATATATATTTTGTATTGAAAAAAAAAGTTATGCATTTTATTATATCTACCTTAAAAATTCCACTAAAAAACGTCACAACCAATCAAAACACAAAAACGTATTTTTTAGTACTGAAAGTTGGTTGTACCACACCTTTCCATTACTTCCTTTCGGCCAGACTTCACAGCTGTTGATACCCGACCTACACGACATACTCTTAAGAGTTTATCGCCATCTGTGTTTACGTCCATTTAACAATAATGCATACAATGTATTTTTACATCTTTCCTGCCATCAATCAACGTCTGTGTGTCTAAGTGGGAAGTTGTGGCATACCAGTATGTACATATTGATTCACCTACCTGACAATTCAAGATATTTACACGATTCAAAGGTCAGGATTCAAGAACTGATTCTCTTTATTTAACATTATGGTCAATTTAGCATCTATATAGGGGCTGCAGTTTAAATGTGAATCAATCACATTATGCATCTACGAATAAAAAATAATCACTCTATGTATACATGATTTAGTGCATTTATCGTGAGTGGAAGAATACATTTTATTGGAAGAATTCATGCATCTTGACATCCCTCCTTGTTTGTGCACACTATGATATGGACACAGCGACCTGGGTTCAAATCCTGTCCATGTACATAAATAAAGTGGTATCTGAACCTGTCCTGGTCTTCCTCTAGGTTGCCTCAGCCTTAAAGAATATCTGACATAATGTGATCAATATTGAACACTGGGGAAATTAATGCCAATGACTATGGTGCTCACTGCACTACCCGATTGTGTGCTGCACCAACATGTGCTCACAGAACACAGCACTTGTCCCAAAAATGCCAAAAGGCTAAGTGCAATGCTTGTATATTTTCATTCGTGTTATCAAAAATATAACTTAAATAACACATATGGGCCTTCCACAGAACACTCAGGAGAGACAAGCTCCAGTAGTTTCTACAACCGGTGCAGTTCCTGATATGACAAATGATCACCAAGACATTTTCAACTTTATTGAAACCTGAATGTAGTCCAAGCATTTGCAATAATGCCAATGTGGCACCTTGCAAGCATCCATTTATAAATTACTAAGTAAGTCATCGCTGCCCCTTGCATTTCCAAGTGTCAAGCTATGTATCATCCTTCATGTTAACTATGCAACTTTTCCTCGACCATTTGAAGACCAGGAAAAATAAAACCCACGAGCCCCTTTATGCATGCAGATAGTATGGGAGAATAAGAATTGCTCTTTTTCCCTCAAAAAGTCACAGTAATGTTCTCCATGTCAGCAAACATAACCCAGGGAGAAACTCATATAACCATTATCCTCCCTTGGGAACCTTGCTGTATATGCCGGGTATTGAAAATTTGATGAAAATAATAACGATTAAATGAAAGTTGGAAGAATGCGTAAATACCCGAAAATATGTTTATGTAATTGCGTGCATAAATTATGCTAATTCGATATATAATCGTATTTATGTATGCGCATGTGTGTGGTTATGCTAATGTAAGCAGTTATGATAATTAGGTCCTGCCTCGCTGACGAGGGTCGTATCGTCAATCGGGATAAAACAATTAATTGTATGAAGTTACAGAGGTAAAAAATTATTTTATCCCCTGCTGATTTTGTACGTTTGCCCACTGACAAAGAAATGGTAGGTAGGTTTATTTGAACAGTGGGAGAAAGAATAACAACAACAAAATCCAGAAAAACGCATGTTAAAATGTTATGAATTTATTTGCATTTTAATGAGGGAAATAAGTATTTGACCCCTCTGCAAAAGATGACTTAGTACATGGTGGCAAAACCCTTGTTGGCAATCACAGAGGTCAGACGTTTCTTGTAATTGGCCACCAGCTTTGCACACATCTCAGGAGGGATTTTGTCCCACACCTCTTTGCAGATCTTCTCCAAGTCATTAAGGTTTCGAGGCTGACGTTTGGCAACTCGAACCGTCAGCTCCCTCCACAGATTTTCTATGGGATTAAGGTCTGGAGACTGGCTAGGCCACTCCAGGTCCTTAATGTGCTTCTTCTTGAGCCACTCCTTTGTTGCCTTGACCATGTGTTTTGGGTCATTGTCATGCTGGAATACCCATCCACGACCTATTTTCACTGCCCTGGCTGAGGGAAGGTTCTCACCCAAGATTTGACGGTACATGGCCCCGTCCATCGTCCCTTTGATGCGGTGAAGTTTTCCTGTCCCCTTAGCAGAACACCCCCAAAGCATTATGTTTCCACCTCCATGTTTGACGGTGGGGATGCTGTTCTTGGGGTCATAGGCAGCATTCCTCCTCCAAATACGGCGAGTTGAGTTAATGCCAAAAAGCTCCATTTTGGTCTCATCTGACCACAACACTTTCACCCAGTTGTCCTCTGAATCATTCAGATGTTCATTGGCAAACTTCAGACGGGCATGTATATGTGCTTTCTTGAGCAGGGGGACCTTGCAGGCGCTGCAGGATTTCAGTCCTTCACGGCGTAGTGTTACCAATTGTTTTCTTGGTGACTATGGTCCCAGCTGTCTTGAGATAATTGACAATATCCTCCCGTGTAGTTCTGGGCTGATTCCTCACCGATCTCATGATCATTGCAACTCCACGAGGTGAGATCTTGCATGGAGCTTCAGGCCGAGGGAGATTGACAGTTATTTTGTGTTTCTTCCATTTGCGAATAACCGCACCAACTGTTGTCACCTTCTCACCAAGCTGCTTGGCATTGGTCTTGTAGCCCATTCCAGCCTTGTGTAGGTCTACAATCTTGTCCCTGATATCCTTGGAGAGCTCTTTGGTCTTGGCCATGGTGGAGAGTTTGGAATCTGATTGATTGATTGCTTCTGTAGACAGGTGTCTTTTATATAGGTAACAAGCTGAGATTAGGAGCACTCCCTTTAAGAGTGTGCTCCTAAACTCAGCTCGTTACCTGTATAAAAGACACCTGGGAGCCAGAAATCTTTCTGATTGAGAGGGGGTCAAATACTTATTTCCCTCATTAAAATGCAAATCAACTTATACAATTTTTGACATGCGTTGTTCTGGATTTTGTTGTTGTTATTCTGTCTCTCACTGTTCAAATAAACCTACCATTAAAATTATAGACGGATCATTTCTTTGTCAGTGGGCAAACGTACAAAATCAGCAGGGGATCAAATACTTTTTTCCCTCACTGTATGCAGGTGGGCTGTAAGTACGCCAGGTTAACCTCGGCTTCGTTGCCTAGGTTCGTATTATCGATCGGTATAATACAATAATTCTTGCTTTAACATTTACTGATTATGTATTAATGTGTTTATATCAGGTCTCCAAATTCAAATCTCAACGCAGGATACAGTTCTTATAAATAAGATTATGCATGAACTCAGGAACACTTCTGTGTTAGGCAATTTTAATTCTAAACAAAACCTTAACACTTCTAATATGCGAATTATTATGCTTGGAATTACCAACACAGTACTCCAGGAGAAATTCCCCTCATTGATCCATACATTTAACCCAAAATGGTCACGTTGTTAATTTGGTAACAGATTAACTGAATATTTCCTCAGAGTAACATGAGCATATACTGCAAAATAGGAAGAAAAAGTCCTTAAAAGTTCATGCAACGATATTCACGAAAGGCAATAGAAAAATGTTATACCCCAAAGGCAAAAGTATACGTCAATATATTCATCGGCAAGACTATATAATTAACTAAATGTCTTGGAATAAGGGTGTGCGACGGTGTGCGTACTCTCCTACAGAAGATTCTTATCTTTGGCTAAGCTTTAATTAATTCGTGGACAAGATTACATGATAAAGAAACAGGTTTAACACGAGAGTCTCTCTGTGAGCGTATAGAATCGTGACGAAGGTTAAGAATAATTGAGTTTGTATCGATGAATCTATTGGTAATTATGCGATTGGAGGTAGCATCACACGAAAAAAAATAATGTACTTATAAACGACGTATAATTATCACTCGATGGGCCGTGATGCTTTCACGGCCAGCTGATGGTTCATGCACTTGATAATTAGTCTTCTTATTAAAACCTATCTTCTTATTAATGATTCGTGTCTGGGTTGAGTGGGATGGATTGGGTTGAGTGGGAATGTGTTCTGGATCAATTCTATGCGTCAAGCAGACGCCAGGTGATGCGTGGTAATGTGGGGCAGTGTGCGTATCATACGGATAGCTGGGTTCTCTATCTTTCACACGGGCGGCCCGAGTTTGGTCCACAGCTGGCTGGACGAGTTGACATGACGCTCGTTGTCGCGCGCGATGATTCATCGTCAGATAGCGCCCGCAGCTCGTCCGCTGGCAGCTGACACTCTTGCTTGGTGTCGCTTGATGGCGCTTGGTGGCGCTGCGGCGTGCTCTCTCCTGCTGCGGCTCTCTGGTGATGAACGATGCTCCCGTTCGTTGATGGCAGGCTTGGTCGACGTTTGGCGCTTTCCGCCCTCTCTGGTGTATGATGCTGAAATTCTCGTCAGCTTAACTCGAACTGCAGAGCTCTTGTGAGCCGAGGTTCAAAGCGGAATGCTGTTTGAGCGATTCTTCTTCTGATGGCGCTAAATTCGCACGGCGTAACATGTCGCTAAACGGCGAGCCTCGCCATCCTGGGTGAGTTTGTTGAGTCTTCTTCTGCGTCGGTGGTGATCTCCTGCATCGGTGGTTGGCTGTTATCTTCGAGGGCTGAGCATCTTCAGTAGTTGGTCGCCGTCTTCTGCCGCTGGTAGCTGTGATTAAATGCTGTCGTGTCTCCCTTTTTATGCCAAAATTTCTCCCTATGGCTCGCCTCTTCACAAAGGACCGGATCTTTCTTTGATCTCGCTCTGTGTTGTGGGGGATGGATTGTCGTGTGTCCGTGTGTGTGTGTCATTTATTGAGGCAATATGAGTTTCATCAAGGCATGCACAGATGGTCCCTGCAATAAAGAGTAATTTCCCTCGCTCTGGTGTTACATTCTTTGCTATGCCGTGCTGCGGGAAGACAAAGACGGCCGGGATGCTCCTCTCCTATGGAACACAGTCCATCCCGGCTGTGTAAGTTTGACCTATTTCGCCTCATTTCCTCTGGACAACCCTCGGGTTCAATACTGCACAAATATCATTTGGTCTATGTTTCCTTAGACCTGCGATTCATTGTCATCACAACGTATTTCCTAGGGTTTATTAATTTTCGTTCCCCCGTCCGTATCCGGGGATCGGTGCTGTTATGCTTGAGTTATTATTTACTTTAAATTTTTATGTCTTGAGTTTTATAGGTAAGTTTCTTGACTGTTGGAATTCATATTCCTTGGCTTTTGTAAGGTCATGTAACGGCAAGATGTAATGTAATTTAAGGTGTTAGGTTAGTGTTAATATGGGATTATTATTTTTGGTTTATGTTTCCCAAGATTATTCCTATAATGTCAGCTTATTCTTGTTGTAGAATTTTTCTTGGACTTTCTCTTAATTAAACATAACCAAAACCTGTCTGTCGGTTTTTGTCTGATGTGTGTTTGTTCTATTGTCTCCTCAAGGCCTGGCCCCTTCCTTGGGGGGGGGGGGGGCGTGTGTATGTTTTTATTTTACTTTATGACTGACCCTTTCCGTTGGTGGGAGGGGAGGGTGTCATTATGCTTGCGGGAGTGACAAGACAGCTGCTCGAAAAGGGGGGGGGGGGGGGGTTTCGTTTGTTTGTGTTCCCAGCGACCCCGCGAGTGATTAAAAAAAATATCGGCAAAATTATTAATATCAAAAACAAAAATGGAAAAAGGCCTATATACAACAATCTAACAGTAGCGCACAGTAGCGCATGTAAAATATATATTTTTGTGGTCACATTTTAAAACACGAACACCATAGGGAGGGAAATAGTTAGAGAAACTATTTGTAATACCGACAGATATTTAATTTTAATTTAACAAAAAATTATGCAGAACGTATCTGCCCAGATGACGCTGTGTTTCCTGGGTTCCAATCACAAACTTGCAGGTTCAAATCACAGTCAGGGATCGACTCTGGAGTCAATAACCACTTTGTAGGAAGTCAAACCAGAAATTTTACCACTTCCACGATAGTGTGAAATTTCTACTCGCTCAGGGTTGCCAAATGAGATGAGCACCGTCCCTTTTGCTGGTGTGAGTAGAAAGACACCTTAATTAAAACCACGTATAAGAAAGGCCTATGCACGTAGGTTGAGTGTTAGCATCAGCAGCACACATCAAAAAGCAGTCAGGTTAAAATTAGAAAGGGTTTCCGAGTGGTGGTAATCAACCAAGCGACAGGTGAAGAGTACTTTAACCTTCAGAGCTTATTCACAAACACACTGAGCCAACCGCAAGGTCATTTTAAAAAATAGACTGGTAAGCATGCAACCATGTTGGGAAAAGCTAGCAGAGTACCATCGAGTCTTTGACAGGGTCAAAAATATGTATGCTATATCAACAAGCAGGAAACCAGCCCAATAAAGGAGCCTGTGCTTTCCTAAATAAATGTTGTATAAAGTAAAAAGAAAACACGCAGTGATTAAAAGGGTTATTTTTTATTGTTGGGGAGCATGTTTCCTAAAGTATGTAATCTAAAGAGTGCAGTTACCATTGAGGGCAGTATGAACAATCTAAGCATGTAACAATTCATATATTAAAAGTGATTCTTACACCAAGGACTGAAAAGTACATATGGAGATAAGTGAATTTCACTTTATGCACATTACATACAAAATGTACACTCATGTACTTTTATGTTAAAGAATAGGACAGAACAAATTAAACATAACATATGGGATGTGCAATATAAATGTATGTTGAATTTCTTTCGCACCGTACGTAGGTACGGGAAGGATACAATTGCAAACAATCCATAAACATGTCATTGATATCTAAATTGAATCATGACTCTAAATTGTGGGGGGTCAGAGGCTGAATATTTAACGTGCCTGATAAACACTGCAATTAATGTTCTGATTCACAGTACCTACTTTCATTTTGATCATTAATACTACCAATGAAATTATTTCAAGCATAAAGTACAAAGGTTCCTCATCCATATACTGATGAAATTCCAAAACACTTCACCTTGAATCTTTGGGCTATTGCAGGTGTTGGAGACATTGGCAGGTTTTTTGTCAAAAATTCTACAAAAAGGAACATTTGTGAAAATGTGAATCAGACCTAAAGAATCTCTGGACTGAAATTACTGGAGATCATCTCTGATGGTGGTTCCTAAGGTAGTGGTTAAATTAAAATTGTATCCAGTATCATAATGCAAAACATGTGAAGATGCTTTACAGACATTGTGAGCACTATCAGGATAGTTGAGGAGTTACAATAGTTTATAGGAAAATTGAGATATAAAACCATCATTGTAGGCAATCAATTATGTGTAGCGGAAAAAAGGTAGGTCTTGACTGAGCAAGGTCTTAAACAGTGAGAATAGGTTTTTTCCCTTTTTTTCTGGCAACAGAAAAAAACCTATTCTCATATTTTGGTACTAGCAAAGGAGGTCCCATGATGTCTTAAACAATGTTGGCAATATAGATAACACGCCTGAGAGAGAATTCCAGACAACAAAGGTAGCAAACATATTAGTCAATCAAGGGCTCTGTCCACAGTCCTACCGATCAGATATTTCTGTAGATCTAAAACTAGTGGGCCTGTCAGCAAGCCTTCACTCGTCTGTTGGCCTTAGTGCCTGCACTAAGCCTAGCAAAGCACCGTGGTGACCCTCGTCACCCCTGTGGGAAATGGTAGTCGCTGCGTGTGGGCTGTGGGAGGCTTAGTCAGAACCTGCTTACCGCTGCCGGGAGGCATGGGGGCGGCTGCCACAGCATGCACCCTGGACACGATGCCCTCAGTACTGTCGATGGATGACTTGTAATCCAGCATGCCGAACTCCACCTCCAAGGCCGGCTCCACATCCTCCTCTCTGGTCATGTTTGCTGCGGCTGTTTAACTGGTACACTTTAAAAAGAAAGGCCACAAAGATACTTACGTGACTCACGGGGCTAACAATATTCCCGCCATCGTAATAAGTGAGCAGTGTTGAGCTACTGGATCACAATTTTGGATTCCCACCGAAGGGTAAACCAAGTTCTCATACTGGGAAAGGTATAAATGCATTCATCACTGTGCAGCAGAACCAATTATAAATATCTGGTTTTGAACATAAACTTGTGAACGACAGCTCTGAGTGCTTAGGCATCTGAAATATTTACTGACACAGTTGAAAATGGAAATGAGTGGTGGTGCAGTGGTGGCATGTTGGTTCGTGCACTGACAGATGAACCTCGCAAACGAAGTTTGATTACCGGCCAAAGCTAATGTCAGTGATGCATATCTGAACCAGTCCTGGCAATCCCCTTCACCAACTCGTACAGACCAGCATGGAAAACTGTAGTCCAATAATCCCCACGACCAACACAGTGCAGGGGGACCCTTCATCCAACAGTGGACTGATAATTATTGATATTATTGTAACGTTATTTTTCTCAATAAAGACCTCGTCAGACTATGTTGGTCGTTAGAGTTATATGACCATACTTCACCGTGCTGGTCAGTACGTATTTTGAAGGAGGGAGCCCAGGCAATCTAACCGAGTTGGCCGGGTTCAATGCAGTGCGCTAACCACAGCACCACCGATCCACCATTGTTTTTTTTACAGTAGGGCTTCTGGAAGTTAAACAGCAAGGGTAAGCAAATACCAGTGTAGGAGCAACTAGAAGTTAGGTGACATCTCCCATGAAATGAAGACCGGTTATTGGAGTGTCACATTGAGTGGAAATGCTTGAGATTTAAATTTCCAAAAGCAGGCAGCTTTAGAGATTAAGTAACAAATTTGCTGCACTCCTTGGCAGAGGACCGCTATTTACAACCATTGCTATTTTGGCTTCCGCGCTGATAGAATATTGGAGCAATTATTTTACGGCCAACTTTCCATGCAGCCAAACACAAATGCATGGGACGAGGTTTCAATTTCACAACGAGTATATAAAATTCTAGATTTGAAGCTTTCGTGACTGCAAGGATCCATACTCTTTGGTTCTATTCGGTAAAGTCATGTAGGTAAAAAATAAAACAACAAAAAATCACGACGTTTCGGCCACAACACAAGTGGCCTTCATCAGGCGACCTGCGCTTGGCTTTCTTCACTCCAACGCTGTCCTCTGGACAGTTGGGTCCCTTCACCTGATGAAGGCCACTTGTGTTGTAGCCGAAACGTCGTGATTTTTTGTTGTTTTATTTTTTACCTACGTGACTTTACCGAATAGAACCAAAGAGTATGAGTATATAAAACTTGATATGGAGCTTTCGTGACTGCAGGAATTACTCTTTGGTTCTTTCAGTACGTGACTTTCGGTACGTGACTTTACCGAACGTACCAAAGAGTAACGAGTATATTGCCTCCCTGAGTGACAGCTGCTTGCAAATATTATTCTGAATTCTACATCACAACTGCAAATCTATTAGAAATTGTCTTTGCCTATTACAATTCAATAAATAATTTAGCGTTGTTACGCTTAATAAGAGATTACAAAAACGTTGATTGCACAGCTTCGTTCAAAGGATCTTAATTGTGCATTCATTTTTAAGGTAAACGATTATTTGATTAATTATTTAGCATTTTGCACAATGATTTTACTGGCTTATCATCACTAATTTTATACCAAAATTTCATTATGCACCATTCTTAAAAGTGGACGCATCTCTCAAGGTCCTTCAGTTACGTTTGTCAATCCACTGCGGTAAGAATGCCTCTCCACACCGTGTCGGTCATGAGGTTTGTTGGACCATATTTCACCACGCTGGCGATTCAAGGTTCGTGAAGGGGGGATTGAGAGGAGGGAAGGAGAGACAAGACCGGTTCAGCCCGTTGAGGTGGTGCAGTGGTTGTTAGCACATTGCCTTCTGAACCTGATGGCCTGAGTTTGATTTTATTAACACCTAACATCATCAACAAGTGAAGTGCAGGGGACATAAGGGACTAAAGCAGCATACACATTTAAAAAAAAAAATCTAATTGGGTATCCGGCCGAGCAGCAGAGTGCCTCACATCTGACAGGTTTGGAGTATGAAGTTCCCGATTGAAGTTAGTTCTGGCAAAGTCGACCCCATGAAGTGTATTTTATCAGTAACATATTGAAAGTGTAGCATAAACATAAAACATCAGTGTCTTACACTCAAATACGCTGTGAGCAATGCTCATCTTTGTCAGCGTTGGAGCCTTGAGTTGTGAATTGCGTTACAAACCCGGTAACCTAAGTTTGAGTGACGTCTGAACCGGTCCCCCCCCTTCACCAGCACACACTGACCAGCGTGGTGAAGTATGGTCAAACGATTCCGCACGTCCGATACAGCGAGGGGCCTTCGTCCAGCGGTGGATTTGACACACGACTGCTGCAAATTTAACCTTTGCCAGCGGTGGAAAAGTTCCACATTACTATGACAGGCTTAGTGCAAAAAGTGGATTAGATTACTCAACTACGGCATAAATGTAGTAAAATTCTAGAAGATATTAATAAAATCGTTGCACACAATTCAAAGGACGCGCAATTTCAAACCCCGACACGAATAACGCAGCGCGCTCTGTACCGTGTCCCGGGATGCAAACATAATAAAACCGAACATCTGAACAATACAAATTGTCACACATTTGGAAAATTAAAGACGAGTCACAGTAGAGCGATTGTGACCATGGCGACCCAAACTACAAACCACTTTTAAAGTCTGCGCTCGTTCCACATAGGAGTGAGGAAATAGAAAAACTACACCCAAACCTCCCGGCTTAGCAAGAACCTAGTAGACAACGTCGCGCACCTTTCAAAACACACTGCTACCATCATACACACAGGCGGCGAGTACAAATAAAAATCCCTCTGCCCACTCATCCTCTCACCACGACGACTCCTGCTCGCAACGCCAACGCGCGCGACGCAGAACCCCGGACAGCGACCCCCGGTCGGTGCGGCCTCCCCATTGGTCGGCGCATGGCGGCGCGCGTCCTCGAACTCGGGCCACGGGGGACGGTTCGTGGCCACGGGGGACGCTTCGTGGCCACGGGTGGCGCTTCGTGGCCACGGGGGACGCTTCGTGGCCACAGGGGACGGTCGTGGCCACGGGTGACGCTTCGTGGCCACGGGTGACGGTCGTGGTCACGGGTGACGCTTCGTGGCCACGGGGGACGCTTCGTGGCCACGGGTGGCGCTTCGTGGCCACGGGGGACGGTCGTGTTAACTCCCTCGCCTGCTATGCAAGAGGTTCGTGGGTTCGATCCCCACCCTGACGCCTGCCGTATGAGGAGTTTGCGTGTCTCTCTTTCCGTGGTCGCGTCGACTTTTCTCCGGGTCCTCCGGTTGTTCCCCCCCCCCCCCCCCCCTCCGACACATTCAGAATCAACATCACGCGTTTAGAGCATTTGCCTTGCTATGCATTTACACGTGAGGATAAGCCACTTCATTGAGCAATTATTTGTGATGGCCAGGTCGCCTCTGAAAAAGAGCTCTAAACACATCACGCGTTTAGAGCATTTGCCTTGCTATGCATTTACACGTGAGGATAAGCCACTTCATTGAGCAATTATTTGTGATGGCCAGGTCGCCTCTGAAAAAGAGCTCTAACATAGCTCAGTGGACCTTACCTGGTCAAATACAAACGAGTGCGGCGTTCACGCAGCCAACGCCGCCGCCGCTTCTTCGTCTCAATTCTACTTCTCGTCAACACGGCTGACGAGACGTTAAAGACAACTACAATTGCACGCGGCAAGGCGGCCAAGCCAAGTTCACGAAGCGCGTGAGGGAGCGGCGGGGTGTGGGGCCGACGCTGACGCCGTTGCGGTGGCGGGAAGAGCACGGGGGTCGGGGGGAGGGGGTCGGGGCGCGTGGGCGCGCGCGCGGCCGTTCAGCCCCCATGGCAACGGCGGCGAGCGACGAGAGTCGGCGCGGCAACTGCGAGGCGACTTCGCGGCGACGTCACTCGGCGAACCCACTCGGCGAACCCACTTGGCCCCCAACGCGTGTGAGGACGCCGCCGCCAACCGCCGCCGCCACCGCCGCCGCAGCAGCAGCAATCAACCGCCGCGAAGCAGGGGGCGGCCGAGAGAGATAGAGGGCGCGCGAGGAACTTACGCGTCCTGCGGTGGCGCGTTCGTGCCCGCTTGCTTGCTTGTGTTGGTACGCGCACCGCGTCTCACCACCCCTTACCCCCCCCCACTCTTACCCTCGGCCACCCCGTCCCCTTAACCCCCCCCCCTTAGGGGCCGTCCATAAATGACGTCACGCACCTAGGGGGGGGGGGGGTGTCAGACATTTGTGACGATGTGTGACGAGGGGGGGGGGTTTGAGAAATGTGACGTCACATCAAAATGCGCAAATTTAAATAAATATAGACAACACGTTCTACTTAATTAAATAGACTTTTTAATAAATGTTTCTCCTACAACATCAGAGTGCAGCGCCACATTAAATACGCACTTACAATGACAATAGTTTTAAGCGATTTGAAGCATGTTTTATTTTCAAAATGGAAATATGGTTTTGGGGGGGTACAGAGCTTTGTGACGTCATATTCGAGGGGGGTCTAACTTTTTGTGACGCCGTGTGACGAGGGGGGGTCAAAAATCGTTCAAAATCGCGTGACGTCATTTATGGACGGCCCCTTACCCCCCCACCTTTCTCTTACAGCCACACCCTTACTCTCGGTGACCCCGCCCCCTTACCCTCGCCCCTCCCCCTTTACCCCCCCATTCCCTCGGCCACCCCGCCCCCTTACCCTCGCTCCCCCCCCTTACCTCCGGCCACCCACCCCAGACGGGGTTTACGTTCGCCGCGCCAGACATCGGCGATGCGCCACACGCGACACGCCGCTCTCACCCCCGGCTGTGTGCGCGCGCGCGTGTGTGCGCCGGGGGGGTAGCAGCGGTAACACACGCCATGTTACGTGAGGGTAACCGAGGTAACACACGCCATGTTACGTGAGGGTAACCGAGGTAACACACGCCATGTTACGTGGGGGTAGCCGCGTAATACGCCATGTTACGTGGGGGTAGCCGCGGTAACGCCATGTTACGTGGGGGTAGACGAGGTAACACGCCATGTTACGTGGGGGTAGACGAGGTAACATGCCATGTTACGTGAGAGTAGCCGCGGTAACGCCATGTTACGTGAGAGTAGCCGCGGTAACGCCATGTTACGTGAGAGTAGCCGCGGTAACGCCATGTTACGTGGGGGTAGACGAGGTAACATACGCCATGTTACGTGGGGGTAGACGAGGTAACATACGCCATGTTACGTGGGGCGGGGGGTGTAAAGTCCGCCTCGTGTCATTGCTCGTTGGGCCGTGTGACGTTCCCTCGAAAGGCGGCACGCGTATGGGCCCCGATGCATCCGCCAGTCGTCTCGGTCAGGTCAACCCCGCGACCCCCTTGCCAGCGAGCCCGTCAGACAACACTTCACGTGGCCTGGCACAGACGCCCGTCACTTTTGGCGAATGTTGTTCTCGAACGCCGGGGTTTGTTCCCCTGAGTAAGATGGCGTTGTAGAGTTCCGTGTATGTTGCACGCTACTTGTAGTCGAGTTATAGGGGCTCTCGCTGTGCCACGGAGTGGTTGGTTAGTCGCACGGCACGTGCTATCCACGTGGGATCCCTTCCAAATGAAAAGGGGGTTTTGTTGGATCACGAAAGCCGGGTTTGGTTACTCGGATGATGTGGAGAGAACTCGCGACGCGAAGGCGCGGCGATGTAAATTGGTATCTGGACCTCACCCCCCCCTTCGGCAATTGTTGATCAGACGTTCTTGGAAGATGCGGGAGTACACACGCACACATTTTAACCCACCGCACGCGGCGATCAACTGAACTGTGGTGTTGATACCCCCCCCCCTCCACATTTACACTGCTGGGAGGACAGGTGCTGCAAGTTGTCCAGAAGATGGCACGTTATGTTAGTGACTTGGGGCCCCCGTGAACTCAGGCCAGAACATTTCACTTGGTACCACTTGAAGCGGGTCCTAAACATGTATCATGAACCACCGCAAATGTACCACCCAAGTACTTTAACCGATAGCAAACTACCGATGTTTCACCGCAGTCAACCCCCTCCCCACCCCCTCGCGCACCCTTCCCAAGCCTCCGCCACCCTCACGCGTTCCGATTACTTTTGAGAGATTCATTTTGGGTGAAGTAACTAATTTGCACGTTTTGTTTAAGTGACAAACCTTCCTAATTGACTTTCTGGCGGTGATGGGTTAGCGATACATTTCAATGTACGCGTTATAGCAAAACACTTTTTTTGGATAATTTTTCGGTAGTTTTCAGGAAGTCAGAGGTATATTTGCAGTATTTTGTGATGCTTTGCGGTAATTAGGACCCCTTGACGTGGCATAACCTTAATGGTTCCAAAATTTGATGGCCATAAACAGTCAATTATGCTCTAGCCATATTAAATTAGTGGGGTTATAAAATGAATTACTCTTACAAGCCATGTAAATTATTTGGAACAGTACTAAAAACAATGCTAGCATATTTGGTAGCAATTTATGCCTTCGCCCATGGACTTTGTCTAGTCTCGACCCTTTTCTCCAAGACCTTTTATGGGTACTTACAGTGGAGGGGAAAAATGTATTTGATCCCCTGCTGATTTTGTACGTTTGCCCACTGACAAAGAAATGGTCAGTCTATCATTTTAATGGTAGGTTTATTTGAACAATGAGAGACAATAACAACAACAAAAAATCCAGAAAAACGCATGTCAAAAATGTTATGAATTGATTTGCATTTTAATGAGGGAAATAAGCATTTGACCCCTCTGCAAAAGATGACTTAGTAATTGGTGGCAAAACCCTTGTTGGCAATCACAGGTCAGCCGTTTCTTGTAATTGGCCACCAGGTTTGCACACATCTCAGGAGGGATTTTGTCCCACTCCTGTTTGCAGATCTTCTCCAAGTCATCAAGGTTTCGAGGCTGACGTTTGGCAACTCGAACCTTCAGCTCCCTCCACAGATTTTCTATGGGATTAAGGTCTGGAGACTGGCTCGGCCACTCCAGGACCTTAATGTGCTTCTTTTTGAGCCACTCCTTTGTTACCTTGGCCATGTGTTTTGGGTCATTGTCATGCTGGAATACCCATCCACGACCCATTTTCAATGCCCTGGCTGAGGGAAGGAGGTTCTCACCCAATATTTGACGGTAATTGGCCCCGTCCATCGTCCCTTTGATGCGGTGAAGTTGTCCTGTCCCCTTAGCAGAAAAACACCCCCAAAGCATAATGTTTCCACCTCCATGTTTGACGGTGGGGATGGTGTTCTTGGGGTCATAGGCAGCATTCCTCCTCCTCCAAACACGGCGAGTTGAGTTGATGCCAAATAGCTCCATTTTGGTCTCATCTGACCACAACACTTTCACCCAGTTGTCCTCTGAATCATTCAGATGTTCATTGGCAAACTTCAGACGGACATGTATACGTGCTTCCTTGAGCAGGGGACCTTGCGGGCGCTGCAGGATTTCAGTCCTTCACGGCGTAGTGTGTTACCAATTGTTTTCTTGGTAACTATGGTCCCAGCTGCCTTGAGATCATTGACAAGATCCCCCCGTGTAGTTCTGGGCTAATTCCTCACCGTTCTCATGATCATTGCAACTCCACGAAGTGAGATCTTCCATGGAGCCCCAGGCCGAGGGAGATTGACAGTTCTTTTGTGTTTCTTCCATTTGCGAATAATCGCACCAACTGTTGTCACCTCACCAAGCTGCTTGGCAATGGTCTTGTAGCCCATTCCAGCCTTGTGTAGGTCTACAATCTTGTCCCTGACATCCTTGGAGAGCTCTTTGGTCTTGGCCATGGTGGAGAGTTTGGAATCTGATTGATTTATTGCTTCTGTGGACAGGTGTCTTTTATACAGGTAACAAGCTGAGATTATGAGCACTCCCTTTAAGAGTGTGCTCCTAATCTCAGCTCATTAACTGTATAAAAGACACCTAGGAGCCAGAAATCTTTCTAATTGAGAGGGGGTCAAATACTTATTTCCCTCATTAAAATGCAAATCAATTTATAACATTTTTGACATGCGTTTTTCTGGATTTTGTTGTTGTTATTCTGTCTCTCACTGTTCAAATAACCCTACCATTACAATTATAGACTGATCATTTCTTTGTCAGTGGGCAAACGTACAAAATCAGCAGGGGATCAAATACTTTTTTCCCTCGCTGTACATTTTTGACCACTTGAAGCAAACTGCATTCGCTAAACATCCCAATCTCGGACCCTCCTAAATGCCTTGAGTTTAAGAATTTCCTACATGAATTCAAGGATTATTATCATTTGATGACTTTATTCCTGTATAAAAGGCACGTAATTCAAATTGTTTTTCCTCTGCTTAAATACAACAGGAAACGTTTTCTCTCCAAAAGTCCCAAATACAACAGGAAGCAAGTGAAAATTCAAAACAGGTTTACTTATTTCAGGTTACACAGTTACACTTGTTAAGTTTCAATTTTTATTTGAATAGAACAGATAGTATACCATGTATTTTTTGTAAAGCAGTGGTCTCAATGTATTTAAGAGTTTGACCAAACAAAAATACCAAAACGTTACCCACATTGAACCACAGCAAACCTATATATTCCACCTCAAGGATGTTTTGCCATAACAGAATGTTTTATATGCAATAAACAATTTTCAGTCAGAACTTTAGTACATCTTGGTAGTCAGCCTCATCCCTATACACTAAATCCAGACTTTCCACCACCGGTTCATCAACTGCCATAGCGGATGAAATGGTTTAAGCATCGGTACAATGCTCATTTTCATTGACAGTCCTGAGCAAGTGGTGGAAATTGCACATTCCTCTGCCGGGGGGCGAATCTCTGCATAAGATTACCACTGTTGACTACATACAAATTGATACTCATTTTATGAGTCCCAAAAGGATGGTGGGCTGTCAACCGCCGACTGGAATTTGAACTTGCGGCCTGATAATGGTCAGTTGAGCATTCGTATCACATTTAGTTGGGATTGAATTCTTTATATGATTGAACTTGTAGAATGTACTTCAACCCAAAGATGGGAATTAATTCTAAGCAGTTAAGATAACCATGACGATGCTTGGTGAGATAGGCTGTTCCCACCTTTGGATACAGAAACATGCCACACAACACCCCCTGCAATCACTGCATGCATGACAATCACCGAATTTATACTTCAAGTAAACCATGGTCACATCGTGTTGTAGAAGTGACATAGGACACTCCCAGGAGGAGCAGAGGGAAACGGGGTGATTAAGTTTTCTTTAGGCAACGCAGCAACATGAGAACGTAAATCCTAATGACCATTCACCACAATGCTAAACGTTGCGCGATTGTTTGTAATCTTAAAACAAAAACCGATGTTGAAGTGCATTAACAATGGTTTAAGAGTTTTCATTTTTCAGAGCGATTGATAGATTTGATTTTAAATTATTACTGGTATTATATTTAAAGCATTCGTTAAGAAATTGCAGAACCTTCCTCTGAACGTTTACGGCTCAATTTTCTCATCAAAAATTATTACTGTAAAAATTGTAATAACGTCATGAATGCGATATCCGGTACTTCACACGTTTTACCCAGGGTCTTAAATAATGTTAGATTTGAATGTAGTTTGAGCAAATTTTTTTATAATCAGGTGAGAGGGTATTTGGGAAGTATTTTATTGTATGTTTAAATACTGAAACTAAAACGGACAATACAGGACAAAATCATCTTCACACAATTTGTAAAAAAAAAAAATACACGTTTAAAAGTATCTTCATGACGGAAACAGGCAAATATATATCTGTAATAATGACCGATGGGGTACCATATACGCATCTTGAGGTGAACTATGAGAAGTCACACACGGCCGCCGAGGGGGAATGTTATCATCTGCTGCGACCTATCCACTGTGGATGAGGGTCTCCCCAAGCCGTCACAATCCCTCATGGTCAGACGGATACAACAATCCTCACTCCATCCGCACAGTGCACGTCCACTATACAAACTTTTTTTTATTTTAACAGATAACGCCCAGTGAGCTATCATAGTTATTTTTTCAGGAGCGACCTTGTCACAAATGATAGCTCAATGAAATGACTTAACACGTACAAATTTATAACAGCCAAATACTCAAGCGCATGTTTCTAAATGGAGGGAAAAACCGGAGATAATCCACACGACCACGGGGAGAACATGCAAACTCCAAATATACAGGTTGGGATAGAACCCACGACCTCTTGCATACCAGGCGAGGTAGTTAACATCTCGCCACTTGGGCATGTTATCCCCTTTGTTGCCACTCCTCCATTAGTCTCAACCAATGGACATAATTCCTGTCAGTGACGTGTTACGGTACGTATTATAGTGATAAAACGATCCAGAAATAAAACTAGTTTGGACATATGAATCATTTGGCGGGACCCCGGGGTCCCGCAAAAATCAGGTCAATAATTATTTTTCAGTCCGCCCACTCGTGATCCCGACAGCAACGCGCCACCCGCCCAGACTCGCGTCAACAAGCGCCAGCAGGCGGCGATCGACACGATGGGCGCCACCCCACCGGCCAAACACAAGCCCCGGGGGGCGTCTGCCGCAGTCGCGCGCGGCGACAACGCCCTCCGGTCAGCCGTCGATCCTCAGCTTCTTTGCCAAGGCGAGCCCCGCCCCCGCAGTGAATTTAACGTGTTTATGTAATTTTTCAACTTTTTAAGAAACTTAGTGCCTCGAGTAGCTCTCGACGAGGCCAATCGATTGACACTAGTTTTGTTGTTGGTAAGGCAAGACTCGTGTCGCTACGCGGTTTTTCCCACCCCGGGGCAGTGATGGGACCCCGGGGTCCCGCCAATTGCTTCACATACTCATTAAATTGTTGAAAAAGTGTCCACCAATACATCAAAATGGTCCTAAAAAAGTGATTCTCATGTCGGTGTGTTGTGCTTTTTTATTTACATGTAGCTCTTTCACAGCTGTAGAGCCTTACCAAAATCCACCATCAAAAGGCGCTTGCGATGATGAGTCAAGGCATTGATAGTGGACGTGTTCAGTGGCTGTGGTAATGGGATGGAGTGATATTGCCGCTAAAATGTAAGCAGTAGGTTAGCCCACGCAGAGTGCATTATAATGCATCTAAACTTAGCTTCGTATTACGAAGCTCTTGCATTGATAAAACTTAAAGGTTTATGCTTATTCATGTTAATACGACAAAAATCAGGTATAATTGTGCAACTTAAGATTTTCTTACGAGAAACCACCAATATACAATATATGATTCTGAGCAAAGCACGAGGAATGCAATCACTTCTCACCAGCAACACACAATTTGATACAATCACTGCAAATGGTTTACCATGCTTTCTAGCAAAATGTATAAAATCCTTGGGATTTTTGCATTTAAGTATTTTATTTTTCTCTTGGTTATTTGAAATGAAGTGGTTGTAGCACCACAATCAACACAATATTCGATTTTTTAAAGAGAATGTACCATCATTGATGGGGTAAATGGTGTAAATACCAAAGTTGGGGAAAGTGTTTTTAATGTTTTGATTTTAGCCAATGATAAATATTCACAATTGTACCTTTGGCATGGAGGAATGGTGTGAAGGGATTTTTTTTTCATCCAAAAACATACTGTATATGCACCCAGTCTCTGTAAAATAACCATTGAGTGATGACATTCGTTAAGGACCTGTCTCTCACAAATACTAATCTGTACCCTCTTAAGGTTATTTACACATCTAATGAACACATCCTTACATAAGAGGCCAAAGTGCAAAACAAAGTGCTTCAAGTTGTTATTTGTTATGCCATCAGTAACTAAATTTAAAGCAGCCAACTTTCTTCATTAGGAACCTTTTTTTATTTACAGTGGGATTTTAACCCAGGAACTCGGTCACACATTTTTTCAGATTCTCAGATACTGGCACACAGTATTAAACCCCTGAGCCATCTGTCTCTTGGTGAGGTGCATTTGTAAACCATTCAGGCAAAATTAGTGAATAAAACAGTGAACACCACAGTCTCGATCATGAGCAGGACTTACAATTATACACTCTATGCAGCTCGAAATTCACTCCCAAATTAAAATCTCTAAGGGCAACAATCACAAAAGCATTGAAATAAAAGGAGAGGGCAACCAAAAAAAAACACCGGTGTCGTTTTTGTGGAAGCGGAAGTAAGTCTCCGTGTGCACGGCTGTCCACCGCGAGTTTGAAGCTCCGTTAATGAAATGGGTGAAAAATGTAAGTATAACGCTGCCATAGCACCATCTAGTGTTCTCAACGAGACATGGCTACCCCGTGGGTTAAGACGAGCGCAGCATACCGTATTAGTTCCTTACATAATGCCGCGTGAAAATAGGTTTTCCACTTTTTTCTGCCAACAAAACAGCTGTGTTGAGATGTTAAAACACCAAACTTTAAACTATGATAATATATGCATCGTCTTTGAAACTGATTGGTCCACGCCGGAGACAGCTTTCTTTCGAGCCTTTTGGCGTCCTCTGGTCTAACACCGTTTGAAGAAAGAAAGCTGTCTCCGGGTGTGGACCAATCAGTTTCAAAGACAATGCATATATTATCAGAGTATTTTTTTTACCACAAGTATATGTGGATAATGCAGACATGATTCCTTGTAAAAGGTTTCAGTTTGCTGTTTTAACATATTAACACCTGTTTTGTTGCCAGAAAAAAGGGGAAAACCTATTCTCATATTTTGGTACTGGCAAAGGAGGTCCCATGATGTAATGCCGCGTGTTCAAAACACAACACTTTTCGCCATAAACGCGGTTCTTTCATTTGGGAACGCTTTTCGCACAATACGGAACGTGCCCGTCAACGCGGTTTCTGAGCGGGAACGCATCTACCACATTAAACGAGGCCTTGCTGTACTACAGTTCTGTAGGTATAGACAGGAGAGCATCTGAATGGACATCAGGGGAACCATGCTCTCTGGACTCATTTACATGCTTGAAATGCACATTATGTATAACTGCATGGCACAGCTGCTATGTATGACTGCATTGCACAGCTGCACACAGCCATTCGAGCAGTCTTACCACGAACCCAGTGGGAAGCCTGAGACTCACCCAGCCAGTCTCTCAGGAATCTAGGTACCCTGTGCCTCCAATTAATAAGGATGCTGCGATATAATTATTAACGACACAACACCACATTTCACGATATGGAAATTATTACATTATCAGTTTCCCATTACGTTCTACAGTATTTGTAGTTTACGTTATTGTATGCTTTGCTAAATTTCAGTACGAGTAAAGATTACTTTAATAGTTCTTCGAACTGCAGTTCACTTAACATAAGCCTTTCACAAATACTCTAATCCTGTAATTCCATTTTACAAATGCTGTCAGTTATAAGAAATCAGCATTACTACTAAAATAATGTCAATTGCCATGCCATCAGTAACATCGCAAAGCTTTATGCATGCACACATTTTATAAGATAGTTATTTACAACTTGAATTATCAAGTTTATTTCATATTTTAAATCAGGAAATGTAATATTTAATATTAGCGGTAAATACGACATAACGATATATTACATAATCTGATACGTTATATTGTCATATCGCAGCAAGCCTATTAACGAAGTGAGAGCTCTGATTGCATATTTGCCATGAAGCAGCACTGCATTATGGGGCTATGCAGTGTTAAATTATTTGCATCCCAGTGCAGACAGGAAATATCAATCTTTTAGCATTTACGTGAAAACATATTTGCTCTACGTGCCACAGTTGCTACGCCTGTAAATATTAACAGCGTCAACCAAATATCCAAAACATTTACTCAAAATGTTTCTTACATTTTTGCGTATATATAGATGCGTGGGAAAGTGTGACATCACACCACCGTTTCTGCAGTCCAAATCAACCTCACCCATCCCCGCTGGCCACCAATGGACTGGTCCACAGACACCTCATGCCCCCACTGAAAATTGCATCAGTGGAGGACAACAGCACCAATTGGGAACAAGCCACAGCATCATCAAGAGCAATCCTAATACAGGTGAATACCACCAACCATGTGCAACATTCAAGAGAAACGAACCTTCACATCAGTGCTAAAACAACTGTGTACCCACTATGTCACCACCGTTATCGCCCATTCTGTAATTGTAAACCATTACCAACCTCTCGTACCCGAGGAGGGGTGTAAAATCAATGGCCGATTAATCATCTCTGCCCTTCCCCAGCCTCAAGTGCTTTTCCTCTAGTGGAAGCAGAAGCACTTGAGGCTGGCTTTAAAAGGCTCACACGCCTTCCTGTAGTCGGAAGCCAGGATATGAGAAGTGAAAATGTCGTCCTCTAATCACGGAAGCTGATTTCAACTGCGAGATTGGTTTCGATCAATACTGTCTTGACATTAATAGCATCCACCTGTGTTTTGAGTTGCACCTTCCTTTGAAAGAGACGTGTACATTTTGCAGAATCGTTAATCACATCCTTGTTCATTAGGTCACACCATGCACACAAAAGCACTGCAAGACAGTTTTCAACATTTTGCAGGCACCGACCTTGGCTGGGATACATTTGGTCAGTAGCAGTGAAAATCCACGATTTCACTGCCATGCCCACAGCATGGTACATTGCACAAGCGTTTACTACCTGTCACATCCAATGCTTGAAACATTTATTCTAATTTGTTCTTCTTTTACAATGTTAGTTTAGATTTTGCTGTAAAAAATCAAATCAAAGTAGCACAAAGCAACTTCCCTCCCTCCGTGGATGTACAGATGTCCTATTCCCAGACTCTGTGTACTCCCACCAAGAAACACATGTCTAGTATCCTCCCTCAGAGGCTGAGGAACCTCCTGCAGAGGCAGAAACAAAACAAAAGCACAGTTGTTGCACAGGTAGTGTGTACATGACAGGAGCCGTGTACGCTGTTAACATGCCATCAGGAAAGCAGCATTGAATTCCCACAGTGGCACTCATTTTATCAACACAAGAAGGCATATGTGGTAATATGCTCTATGATGATAGTTTTTACATTTAAATCTCCAATTGTGAGACGAGTAGGTTTGCAACAGTTGCACGCAGTATACTGAAAAAGTGTTATTTCCAAGGTTAATTCAACGTAATGTATTCTAATTGGAATAAAATGCTCATGACAAAAATAAAGCAATCAGATTATGCTACTTTGAAAATACAAGTGTTATTTGTTTACTTCTAACTCAGAGTAATCAGTAGTCAAGGGACTACTTTGCAAATGTAATCATTCTAGTACTATATGTATGTTGAACTTCCATATGTAGGCAACCGTCTTAATTGGAGGTGCTGTAATTGCCACTGAAAGGCAATTACAGTAACACACCGTGTCCATGTACAAATGATCACTACACACTCATCATCTCTGTTGATAGCCCACAGCCAGTTGCAAAAATTCGACATTGTAATGGCAAGGGCCAGTCTTCTCCTTAGGAATACCACTGATGACTTCTCACAAAATTATATGTAGGGTATTTTATCAACCCCAGGGACATGGAGGGCTGGGTCAACCCCCCGACAACCTGAATTTGACCTCGCAACCTTCCGATTTGAGTTGACCGCTCGACCACTTTGCGACACGGACACATTTACCGTCAAAGGGAAGCCATTTCCCCCGTTTCAGAAGTGACTATGACACGAGTGAAGGAGATGTAATTCTCACCTGATAATGAGTGGCAGTCCTGGATCTGAATACACGTACTTGTGGCGGTAGCCTAGGTTGGCTGCAAATGGGACAAACTCCACATTCACTTTCGCTGATGCTGCTATGTCGTAGAGCTGCAAGCAGTTAAGTAGACACACACACATAGACAGATTTTCCATTTAGCATTTTGGAAATGCAGGGTCATATGCTGTTAGCACACCTGCATAACAGAATCACAACAGACATTTATTTCTTCAGTGATAATGTTCACTATGTACCCATCGTAAGACTGTGGCAACCTAGTGAAGGCCCAAGACAACTTAAGACATTGCTATCAAATGTGTGCATATCTAGGAACCCATAGTTTTCAAAGTGTACGAACCATTGCCACTGTACCACATATAAGTAATCACGTTCGCGAATAAAATATTGGCCAAATATCACAAGCACACGATCTGAAAAAGTATCTTCAGACGCAGCGGTTCCCAAGTGAAAAAAGTCAGTTTCTACTACACTAATTTCCACGAGCGGCACTGAGCCATTGGTGGGTGAGGGCTGGTTTCTCCACAGCATGAGCACTGTGGACTCGCCGCATCGTGGTCCATCGTTTTACTGCCCCAGAAGGATGCCAAATTGAATCAACCACAGCTGAGATACGAACTCGTAACTTTATATTGAGTGGAGCCCTTCGCGAGAGCCCCCTGACCATTTTAAGTGGATGTTAAAACCCTTGTTTACATCTCTAAGAGTATACCACAGTACACCAATTCAGTAATAACTACACCCGTGTGACTACAATTACCCAAAACGCTTATTGAATCTCAATGGGATTTCACCTGGGTTAAATGATCATAGACTAAATTTAATCAACGTTAAATAAAATCACTTTTTCACACAAAACGATACATTCTGTAAAATATATATTGTTTACAACACCAGAAACTTCCACAGATTTCTATTCTTCTGTTTACCTTTTTTCCAAGATGGAAGGGCACAATGTGGTCATCTTCAGCATGCAGGATCAAGAGGGGACAAGTGATGTGCTGCACACTGATCCACACAAGTACAGGTACACACACAGACATAAATGTACACACACACACACATTTGGCCTTCCCCATGTTTCTTTACAAACTGTCGGGCAACTGCTGGAATGGCAAACAAAAGGGATAGCGGTAAAAGTGTCATTAATGCCATAAGAAAGAAAGAAGAATGCCTAGCTGTCCTTATGAGTGATGCTAGGCGCAACAGGTATTCATTTTAGGCTGAGCTGATCTAGAGGCGACTCAGGCCAGGTTGTGATAAACAATCGTCGTTGGTCTTGTGCATGGCCAGCAAAGCAAAGGCAGGTCACTGGGATCGTAGTGCTATGGACTAACTACGGTGCCACCATTCTCATACACATTAATAAACACACGCACAGTTAAGTTCAGAGGCACATGCAAAAGCAGTCACTCATTCAACCCAGAAGTCTCAAATGCAGATGCGCAGGTCTCATATTTGCCAATTATGTGTAATCACTTGTGAATTTCAGCTTTGATCATCTGCAAGTTTGCCTGTCTGCTAGCCATTTAAAATATGGTAATGTTTGATTGGGATAACTGCAATGTAGTGTAGACACAATTGTGTTCTAAGAAATCAAGGTGTGTGGCATAAACGTCAACTATAGTTTGTATTGAACTTTTGTTATATGACAGAACAAGACTATACGTGTTTCATATAAACAGTGGTTCAATAGCAAGTCAAAAGTCAACGCATCTTCCTGCTTAAACTAACATTTGAAAGGTATTAGTTAAATCCCCGGACCAGATTTTGAACCCGCAACCTTGTTCGGTCGAGCCAAGTGCTCAAACCGCATCAGCACTTGGCCAGACACTGATGTTGGCACATAATTTATCCATACCGTCATCAGAATGTCAAGACTTTTTTTTCAAGATGCTCTTATTCCTTAATGATTTAAAAGACGACTTAATATCTGAAAGCGGCAAAAATAAAAACCCCCTTCTCGTCACTTGCGAACCTAACGCCACTGTCCGTGATCGAGTCCAAGAAGAACCAGTCAAAGGCGGGAAATATTTTGTATATCTGCACACGCACACGCACGCACAAACATAAGATACAACACAACACTTGTTTTAGAATATGCCATCATGTAACGCTAGGTTTGATACTATCCCAGATATCTGCCCTGACAATAATCCTACACCACCAACCCTGACACTAGCCCATTCCTCAACAATGGTGCCTCATATTCAATACATCTTACTTGTCATGTGCTGCTGCTCGACGAGTACCCCCCATTGGTGCCACGAGTTCAATACTTATTCCCAATAGGAATTATTTGAAGAAGAAAAAAAATAGCTCTCCCACCGCTATTCATGTTAGCTTTGTGTTGTAATGCTCTACTAAATTGCAATGGTGTACCATTTCTAAATGTCTGTATTGTGTTGGTATACTCTTTATAGGACACACACATATTGCACTCTCCTTAAACATTATACTCCATACTTTTTGATTTAAAGCTTTCGTGACTGCAGGGATTCATATTCTTGGTTCTTTCGGTAAAGGGAAACAATAAAATAATTAAAATATAAAACAATATATAAAAATATAAAACAATAAATTGTTTTATATGATTTTTATGTTATTATTGTTTCCCTTCTACGTGACTTTACCGAAAGAACCAAGAATATGACTCCATACTTTCTCATCAAGACCAGGATTTTTGTATGTCCAACTGTACTATTTTCCAAAGTATTTTTCATTACCTTTTGATTTCTGTGCAACATTAAGTACACATAAGGATGAAATGTAGATGAGGGTACACGTGAAGGATGTGCCGTCTAGAGCCATGATGAAGAGCGTGTCGTCAATGCTTCCTACCTGGGCGAGAGGGTGACTATCGGCCTCCTCCCGGATATTGGTGAACGGAGCTTCCAAGATGACAGCACCTGGGGGTGCCCCTATGCACGACAGAGAGCAGCACCAAGTGAGACAGGGGCAGCTCATCACTCTTAACATTCACGAGCAAATCCAAGTTACAGTCCAATTCCATCGACACACTGTTATCCATATGTAGGGGAGTAGTGGTTGACGGCACGTCACGCTCGCCCTCGGAGAGAGTGGCGTCGCAGAACGTGACCTCAGGCGGCCCCTGGGGGACGGTGACGTCATGCCCCAGGGGGGGTATTTAAAGGGGGACCCGGGATGTAACCGGGGTTCGTCGGGGGTAGGAGTGGGGACTCAGGGTAGTTGATCCTCACCCGAGGCTAGGGGAGGCTACTCCGCCCGACCGGCCGAGGTTGGGGTAGTCCCGGCATGGGGGAAGGGGGGAGTTCCGAGTTAGCCGGGGTTGTAGGGATGACAGTACCCTGTCCCCTGGGGAGTTATCGGCTATGGGGGTTTTGGTTCAGCATAAGCCCTTAACAAACTTGGCATAAGCCCTTAACAAACTTGGCGTAAGCCCTTCATAAACGTGGCGTGAGCCCCTAACCGCGAACTGCTTCGGAGTCGTGGATTGCACCGCAACACATACGCTAAATAATTACATCTGAAATAAGGTTTCATTGTCCGAAATATCTTGCAGGTAAGAATGATTAACCAGAAGTGGTTATAGCAAGTGCTAAATTCATCAAATTTCCCACATGAACATGATGAAGATGCCAGCAATCATGCTGTTCCCTCTTGCTGCTGCCACTGCTAATGGTGATGTCATTATTATCATCATGATGTTGCTGTCGTTGCTGTAAACCACTGGTGCTGGTAATATTGGTAATTACAAAATTATGGTGTTAATTCGTTAACGACTAATAGTTAAGGAATTTTACGTGAAATTCCAATACCTTGCTCACACAGTTTCCGACCCACATTTGTAGCAACTCTGAAAAAAATAAAAAATAAACATTAACTCAAACATACATGCATACAGAGCACAAAGACATAAACTGAATGATCTCCCAAGTAATCGTATATACTGCTAGATTAAAAATTTGTTCTCTCGAAATAGTTTTTTGTGTTTAGTTTGTTGTCCTTCCTCCACACCCCTGATTGACACGGTTGGCTACTAACAGTGCAAAAGGATTTTTTCGATTTAAAGTTTTCGTGACTGCAGGGATTCATATTCTTGGTTCTTTTGGTAAAGTCACGTAGAAGGGAAATAATAAAATAATAAAAATAAAACATAATAAAATAAAATTCTCACGACGTTTCGGCCACAACGCAAGCAGCTTGCGTTGGCCGAAACGTCGTGAGAATTTTATCGTTTTATTTTTATTCTTTTATTATTTCCCTTCTAGGTGCAAAAGAAGTTCAACATACATAGGTACATACTGCTGGGGCAACTGCTGCTATAGCAGATGGAGTAAAACCTGTCGAGCCATACTCGAGGAAGCCAGAGTTCGTTGTTAACCATTCCCCACACAACAACAACAACCGCCATTCGCCACTAAGTGGCGGTGACATCACCACAACGTTTGTGCCAGGCCATGTGCACTTTGAGCCCATTCCTCACACAAAGACAAAGATCCCCCGTATAGCCTTAAGACTGTAGGAGCAAGTACTGTTAGCGAGCACCTATGAAGGATGGAACGGTACACGAGGTGGTGGGTGGCCAGCACCACGCCCGACCGCCTTTTTTCTCCCCAGTGGCAATGTTTACACACCACACCAGGTACTCATTTGAGGCTGAGTTGACCTAGGGGAGGCCCAGGACCGGTTCAGATAATCGTCACTGGTGTTGGCCGTGAGCGGGAATCGAACCCGGGTCGCCGGGTTCATAGTGCAGCGCGCTAACCGCTACACTACCGCTCCCCACAATTCCCCACACACATACACATGCATGCACGCACGGCCAATCACAGCGAGCTCACCCAGTGCCGAGCGAGTGTCCCCAGATGTACACGGGCCCTGCCGCCCGCTGCTGTGCCCACTTGTACACGAAGATGGCATCTGCCGTGATGCCCTCCTCCGTGGGCGTGCCCGTGGAGTCACCCCAACCTGGCAGGCATCGACGACGACGACATTACATCAGGTGGTGCACCTGCCAGATCCCCTTGGTTCAAACGTGTTCTTCAACTACAGTTAAGTCAAGTCAAGTTGTCTCCTTACCCAATCAAGCAATTTGGTAGCATTACCTCTGGCAGCCCTGAGTCAGGTGGTGGAATTTACATACGCCCATAGTAGGGGTTGGTCTCTCCGTAGAATGACCAGTGCTAATTTGCTTTAAATCCTGCCTTAAAATATCATCTGATGCTAAAATCAGTTTATTCCATACCAAATAATTTGTTTTAACCAGCAATCAAAAAATAAAGCATGTGCACACCGACAATTGGGAATGATACCAATATCAAGTTAATTTATCTGACTGAAGCCTGAAACTTTTCAATGAATCCTTAGTCACGCAATTGAGTATCATGCAAAGCAGGTTAGTATTGTACAGTTATCACATTACTTACCCCGATAGTCCAGTGTCACCACGTGAAAGCCACTGGCACTCAGCACCTACACACCCAAGGAGGCACGCACATAAATGTAAAATCATCCATTTGAAGCTGCCAAGTCACAACTGATGGAGAAATTCATAATTCTTGCAGGGAACACCCTCGCTATGATGCGGCAACAAAACGCACTAGCACACAATATGAAACATGATTTAGTAACACCGCGTTGACTCGAGGCGTGGACATGTGATCTCTGAGTACTGGCCTTAGTAACCTGGGGAGGGGGGAACATGGGGACCAGAGGTGTTGATTGGGGACCGCCATACCAACAATTTAAAAGCTACTGGCTTCGATTTTTCCAAGGCAAGGTTGAAGCCAGGCTCTTTATGCATGAGTCCATGGCCACTATAAGGGTTCATTGTCCTCTAGATATCTATGTACAGCACTGTAAACACATACCTTATACAGCTCCACTCTGTGATGTCCTCCTCTGAAAATGTAACACAAGATACACCACATTAGGGCTGACATTTGAAACGCATACCTGGCTTTCAGAAGATACAAATCTCTATATATGTTTGCGAGATACACGTGAGTGTTTGCGAGGTGCACTTATCCTCATTATGGCCCAGCTGATGGTGGAAAAGTAGATATTTTCGGCACTTATTGTTTATAACTTTCACCACCACCATTGTCTCTCCACAGTAGAACATTCTTATAACACGCTGCCAGATAGATTTCCCAAACTGAACAATTTTTTAACTTCATACTAAATGCATATTAATAATACGTGAAACACGTAAAAAACACACAAAACTCAGGGCATGCTCCTACTTAAGTTCAATGTGTTAACTAGGTGCAGACCATTGCAATGCCACAATATTGCATTATTGTTCAAATACGCATGCACTATACTTCCATGAGTTAGTAAAAAAAAATACTAAAAACACTCTCAAACAGACATTGAAGACTGCTATTGATTCAAATCTGGACACAAATGAATTTGGCAGAGCAGGGCAGAGCAGCGCAATTGTCTCCGATGTTGTCTGCCAACCGAGTTGCCCTTGTAAAAGAACTTCTTAGCTCGACGGGCTTTACTTGGGTAAATAAAACTTCCGATTCCGATTCTGGCATTGCGTCTCACTCTCTCGCCTCACCTGGTCCCAGCGTTTCCATGGAAGTAGACAAACACCGGTGCTCCATTGCCTAGCGCCGCATCGTACCACTGCTGGTCCTTGCCCTCAGCCTCCTTCCACTGGCTGGCAGGGACAGTGTGCCTGATGGGTCAAACAGACAAAAGTTGTACTCTCCTTGTATTCAAGATAAAATAAGACCTACGTCACCAGGATATGTCCTGTAATGTGTTGCCAGCGAGCCATCGCTGGCCTCAGCGTGCCGAGCTGTGCCACAGACGCCATTGTTGATGTCATCCCTCATTATGCTCTGCTGCCCTTAAGAGTCTGGTATCCCCTTCCCCCAGCAATCTGTGGTGTCAGCTGCGTCCCCTTGATCAAGTCCAGGCTCAAGGTCTTCTTCTGTACGATGGCCTATTTCTGTCTATAAAATAACAATACCCACTGCTTCTGTAGAGTGTCTGGAGATGAGGTTGTATTTTGACACTCAATAAAATTTAGATTGTAATTGTTGTGAGGGCTATTTTTATGGAAAAGTGGAAATGCATGAATGTACACATATGAGCATTATGTGTACAAGTACGGATGCATCATCACACATGCAGGTGTTTATTAAATTGCCTGTTGTTGAGAGCCTTGAGGCCAACACTCACCAAACTCCCAGGCGCACACCTGGCTCCGGAGTCAAGTACTGGTTGGTTGTGTGGTTGAGACCCAGGCTCAGTGGGTCATGCAGCTCAATGAAGAATGGTACACGTACTGTCCCGCACACATCATGACAAAAAGGTATGGGCAAGTGCTGCTGGCGAGAATCGATGAGGAGTGATGCAGTACGCGAGTTGGGTTATGGAGCACACACCTCTGCCCATTGTGGAGTCTGCCTTTGAAAGAACAGGGAAAGTCTTAACATCAAATACAACCAGTAGTGGGAAACCAAGTCAACTCCAAAGCACCATGTGCCATTAATCCATGTATGTATGATGGACGTATTTTGCACCATATGTAGCCAACAGTGCTAATCGGAGGTGTGGGGGAAGGACAATAAACTAAACACAAAAAGTAATTTTAAAGAAATGAGTTTTCAATGTCGATATAAAAGTGCATAGCTCCGGTGGCTTCCTAATAGTTGCGAGTGCTGATATCAAGGTACTGACTGAAGTTGAGGAAGACGATCTTGGCTTGGATGGTGGGGCACACCTTGACCAAAATGGGCACAGCCACGTAGATCACCAGCACAACTGCCAGCACCCACTTCACCCAACGCCACCTGCATGGGGAAAATGAAACACAAGGGTAGCAACTTCTAAATTCCTTTACTGGAGCCGACTGTAATAATAATGATAATAACATACGGACCTTTGTCAGTTCCCTGCTGGATGAAGGCCTACAGTATTAATAATATAACCCAAATACTCTCCAATCGAATTGCTCATCCCAGTTTGGCGGCAGTGAGTCCATAGAGCAAAGTCCACGTTTCTACGGTGCGAGTCAATCATTTTTTAAGACAAATTATAATTCATTCTCATTTGATCAAAACCAGAGGGATGGTGATGGGCTAATTTGACTTAAAACTGGGCTTTAAAGTATTACCACGCCAATTGCGAGTCCTGCAAATCATAATTTGGGAGAGAGTACCTGTATTTTGGGAGCATAATCAGCCGAGAAAATCCCTCCACACTTTCAAAACTACCGGCTTAAGAGGCAAGAAGGAGCTTCTGTAACCAAATGTTACACAAAACGCTACAGGCAGCTGACTCGCCCCAATGCATGCATTATCTTGCGCGAAAATTGTTTCGACAACTGCAGCCGTAACACAGTGGGTGCGTATAATTTATGGTGCTAGGATAGAAGGCACTTTCCATCTAAGCTGCGGTTAATCTTCCTGATGGCCATCACACAACGAGGCTAATCTGTGAGGGCATGGGATATAGTCATGGTTCATTGAATTTGCAGATAAGCAATCCCCTGTTTATATGTAGCATGATGTTCCTATGTTATGAACAAAGTGTCTTTATTCTCAAATGGGCAATTGAGGTGCACTCGTTCCCTTTGCTTGGTAACCCGAAGCAATCAGTATGTGTATAATTCAGTACTTATGAAGCGAGGCCTTCCCCTGCACTGGACGGCCACTTCTCACAAATGGTTCTTACTTTTATCGACCCCAGAGGGATTCCCAAACCAGCATACGAACCAACATTGTCCAGCAACCTGAAGAAATTACTTTAATCATTCTTAATGTATATGTATTAGCAGAGTCACAATGTGCCCACATACCCAAGAATTCAAGTCAACATTAAAAAAAAAAATCTAATGATCTCATTGTACTTCACATTGTGTCTATACTGGTGTCAAATATCATACATGCCCTCTGCGTGGAGATAATAAAAACAAGTTAAATGACCACTGAATGATGCCTATGTCTGTTGGCCATCCTAAGCCACTGGTATATATTTTACATTTACAAGGCAGGAGAGACCAGTGTCGATATGCTTTTCAGTGGTGATTTTAAAGAATTAGTATATCACAATTACTACTACTGATCAGGTGAACTCAACATAATAAACATGGATAATAAGAAACATACATAAATATATGTAACCAAAAGCCAGCTTATTTCACAATGATCTTCAGTTCCTCTTTACAAAACATTTCTCATAAGCGTTGTAGAAAACAGAACAGCCTATTTTTAAAAAAACTGAAATGTAAAAACAACAAAAAACCAAGAGTCGTCAACTGGCAGTCGTGCACAAGTACAAAGAAAAACGCTTCCTTTATCAGTAACACTGGCTGATAACAACAACATTAACAGGGTGACATTTAGTGACTTGAGAAAACGTACAAATTTAAGTTCACAGAGGGACACTTGAATTGAAATATGAACAGCTCACCAGGAGCGGACTGTTAATTGCAAATAAACTCTCAAAAGTCAACAATGTATGCATAAAATCATTAATTAAAAAATGAAATTAAGAAATGCAAAGGAAAAACTGTACTGTGAGAAAGCCAAAGCAGCATTTGTTCTGTTATGAAATCTCGTTTCCTTTTGAAAACTCATTTCTTTAGAACTGCTTTTTATCTTCTTTGGTTCTTTCGGTAAAGTCACGTAGAATGAGAATAAAATAATAAAATAAAACAATAAAATTCTCACGACGTTTCGGCCACAACACAAGTGGCCTTCTTCAGGTGAAAGGAACAAACCTGTCGGGACGACACGCCGTGAGAATTTTATTGTTTTATTTTATTATTTTATTCTCATTCTACGTGACTTTACCGAAAGAACCAAAGAAAATGAATCCTTGCAGTCACGAAAGCTTTAAATTGAAAAACTGCTTTTTATGTTTAGTTTGTTGGCCTTCCCCCGCACATCTGATTGGCATGGTTGGTTACGTACAGTGCGAAAAAAGTTCAACATTACATGAGCCACTTTCCTGGCTGATTTGTGCCGATTGCAGATCATTGTATGTGACTGCTGAAGTCAACCGGTTCTTCTGCAATTTTACCAAAATATTCCAATGGGGTGAGTCAATAGCAAAGAGGAATTGGGTCTGTCGTATATACAATAGTTAATAAGTTTAATAAGTGAAGATGAGACCTTCGTTAACTCAATCTACCCTTTGTGGTTGATAAAATTCGTGGGAACCCAACACTTTTCATTCTGGAGAGAAACTGACCCAGCCTTTTGAAAGTACAAGGATACACTTTGACTTCAAATGTATGATAAGCAGTGGTCGAAACGGGCCAGTATACAACGGTGTGCCATCCCAGCATTTATCAGAACATCAAACGTACATACCGATACTTTTAAGTAAGGTTCCTATCATCTTCTGCAGAGGCGAAACGGCAGTGAACATAGGCTGCAAGGCGATTAGGTGTCATAACGGCACTTAAAAAAAATCCCATTTTTACGACTGATGATAAGTCAATATTTACGGTACAAGACGAAACGAACATGAATCATACACTAAAAATACCATTGCATGTGTGTGAATGGGACTGGCTTTTCTACGTGACAACCACTGCTGAGGTCCCACACATTGTGAAAGGCGGACTTGATCCCGACCTACACTTGAAATTACAGATTTAGCATTATTAGTAAGGCACTCTCACCAAAGTGCAGCCTGTCCAGATGTATGTTTTAAATAAAGCTATACTAAATTTAGATTTAAAGCTTTCGTGACTGCAGGAATTCATATTCTTGGTTCTTTCGGTAAAGTCACATAGAAGGGAAACAATAAAATAATAAAAATACAAAACAATAAAAGCTATACTAGTTTAAAACGTTGGCTTTCGCGACCAATATTATTCATAATAAAGGTTTTTGGGTTGGATCGCGTAAGTATATGTCGTAACCCTCCACTACCTGACACAGCCACAACATTTACAATGTGTAGATTTACTCTCCAACACACCGGTGGGCTGAAGTAACTAATTTGCGCGTTGTTTACCAACCTTACTGGCTGTGTCGGGTGGTGGAGGGTTACGACACATTTATACTTACGCGATCTAACCCAAAAACTTTTATTATGAAAACTCTACGAGTATACAGTGAATCAACACTGTATGATGTTGGTTTCAGTTTGCTGGAACTACAAGAGCCTTAGCACTCCTTCGTACCGGCATTGTTAAGACTTTAATGCCCTATTCACACAGTGCCCAACGCGGGGCTTGCAGAGAGCATTAGCCAACGGAATGACGCCGAAACATTCACTCCCAGAAAGGCCGTGTGACCGATGGGATTGTTGTTGTTGTATGCGGAGGCACAGGGACAGCATAAGGAGGCGTACTGTCCGCTTATTTACCGAGTAGGAAAAGGTGGCAAGAAGAACTTACCGTGTACACGACCTCACCACTGGAAACCAGACGCACGCTGGGGTGGTAGGTTGGTGGTGATGGGAGGTAACGAGTTAAGCAAAATATATTGATCAATGGTTATGACGAAAACATTTCAACTCCACAACCGCTCCCAGCAATTCCAGGAATAGTCAATCAATGACTCAAGGACCAGTTTTGACTCAAGAATGCCATTAAAATTCGTTCGGCGCCGTCTCAATTGTACTCCATCGTCCGTTTCTGTGTGTACTGTGCGCGTGTCATTCGTATTGTACGAAGTGTCCTTGTTTGTATTGTATTGTCTTACTCTCTGGTATTGTTTGTACCGTACAGTTCGTCTAATTTGTATCGTCTCCAGTGTTCCTTTGTGTTTGCCTTTCTCGTTTGTATCGTCTCTGCTGTATCGTCTCATTTGTAATGTGCTGCTGATTTAAAACACCTGTCACATATTCAACGTCCGTCTCGTTTGTATTGTCTCGATCCTCAAACGGTACATGTGTCGGTTGTTCCGTTTCGATTTTATTAGCCTCAATAGGCACGTAAATTACATACAATTTGCATAAATCACACGCAATTTAATGCCAGAATCGTGAGCAAAAGTATCAATATTAACCGATGGATCTATGCATCGTTCTATGCCTCGTGCATATTTTCCACGCGCAATAGTTGACGATTGATCGGCATGCTCAATATATGCAGTGAATAGATCTTTAATGTTTAATGACACTGTATGAGGGTGAATGGGTAATCATGTATAACACAATTCCATTATGTTATTCGTGATATGAGTAATGCGATTATAGGCAATCATTTTGATGAGTGCCGTCATTATTATTTTACTGGCTTTTGTTCGTGACGACGTAGGCGATTCGTGCTCACATCGCAACTCTTTTGCTCTGTGACTTTGATGATACTGATGATTACCATGATCATAAAGTACGGTAATGAGTATGATATTTATGTCAACGACAAGTATGTTATTGAGGATGTTATACAGTATTATGTTGATTACGTTAACTATAATAGTATTGATGTGATCATCTGTTATTGATGTTATTCATTTTGACGACGGTGATAACGATGAATGCTGATGATCAATTCGGTCATGATGGCGCTTTTTATAATAGCGGTGGTGATAATATTGACGTTATTGATTATGCGGAGGATGGTGATGATATTGATGACATTGATGACGACATTGATGATATTGATTACGACATTGATGATGACATTGATGATATTGATGATATTGATGATGATATTGATGACATTGATATTGATGACGACATTGATGATGATATTGATGACGACATTCATATTGATGACATTGATATTGACATTGATGACGATATTGATGATATTGATGACGATATTGATGATGACATTGATGATATTGATGATGATATTGATGACGACATTGATGATATTGATGACGACATTGATGATGATATTGATGACGACATTGATGATAATATTGATGACGACATTGATGATGATATTGATGAAAACATTGATGATACTGATGATGACATTGATGATGATATTGATGATGGCATTAGTGATGGCAGTGGCAGTGATGGTGATGACGCTGCGGGAAATGACGACGACTTTTAATAAGAGCGCTTACGCTGACGACGACGATGTGGGTGATGACGATGGTGACAATGTCGATGATGACGGTGACGATGCTGAAGGGATGTTCATGCCGACGATGTCGGCTCTCACCTCCCGCCCCGCTTCTCGCCCCGCGCTCCCCTCGCCTCGTCCGCGTCTGCCGCTCCACCTCCTCCCCCGACGCCCCTCCGCCGCAGACCCCGCGTGTCCATGCTGCCCGGAGTCTCGACAAACTAATTAACAGAATACAACGACGACGCGCGTAGAGTAAACAATAAAACAACAAAAATAGCGAGATTTATCGCGATAAATAAGATTATTTCCTACTGACAGTTTCTGCGTCGGACGCCGCTCCGATCAGCTGTAAACACGGAAGTTGGAGCCGCCTCTTTCACGACTCCCCAGCGACGGATGCGCGAGCGGCTTTCCGTTGATTGGCTGACTGGGGGGGGGAAGGGGGAGGAGCGGGCACGTGCTGCCGGGGTCGCGATTGGTCAGGGAGAACGTGCGGGGCGGGGGGGCGCGGGGCTCAAAGCGCGTGCGCGCTACGTCATGTACACGCGGCGTTTCGACCAATGGGGCGCCGGCGGCGTTCACACGCACGTGCTTTTGTCACCGCAAGCGAGCAACATGGCGGAATCGCGTACGAAGAAGGGGCACGCAGCCCGAAACGTCGTCGATCAACAGTGTTAGGAACATTTGTTTAACACGTAGCTTTTTCGCAACCGATATTATCCATAATAGAGGTTGTTGGGTTAGATCGCGTAACTATGAATGTGACAAACATTAATAATTGGCTGTCGGTCGGTGGCGGGTTTAACGACACATTGATATTTACGTGATTTAAACCGAAAACCTCTATTGTGGATTAATAAAAAAAATGTTTAAACACCTTGGCTTTCGCGGCCAATACTGTCCATAACGTTTTCTTGGGTTAGATTGCGTCAATAATAACGTGTCGTTAAACCTGCCACCACCCCCAAACAGCCAATCATTTTATGACTAATGTTGAGGTATTTTTGTTGTTGTTGATTGTGTGCACCACTGTCAGAGCAGCGGCAGAATCACCATATGACTCGTTTGACGTGATACTCTGGTGCGCTGAGACACAATGACCAACCCACATTGTATAACACCAAACTCAACACATTCGTCAGTGACACTGTCACTCAAAGGGAAAACAACGTTTCTGGCAATGGTCCCGAACCGACGCCTATTGGGGTTTTCTCACCCTTTAAAGGCAGTTACTGAAGATTGTATTCTTTCGTATGGCGTTAATATATATAAAAAATAACTCTACAGGCTACAATTTGTATTTTAAATTTTTTATGGCATACCACGCCATCCAGGGTAGCTCAGATGACTGCCCCAATACAACACGCATACGCGTATTGTATTGGGGCAGTCATCAGTGGTGTTCCGCCGAATGGTTTACACCTCACCGCATTAAGGGTGCCACGGTGGCGAGATGTTATCTGCCTTGCCTGGTACGCAGGAGGTCGTCGGTTCGATCCCGACTGACGCCTGTATATTTGGAGTTTGCATGTTCTCTCCATGGTGGCGTAGATTTTTCTCCGATTCCTCCAGTTTTTTCCTCCACATTTAGAAACATGCATTTACAGAAGTTGACTTTTAAATCTCCACGTGATAGCTCAGTTGGCCTTACTCGGTAAAAGAAAAGTTTACTACATAATAGAATGAGAATAGGTTTTCCTCTTTTTTTCTGGCAACAAATCAGGTGTTGAGATGTTAAAACACCAAACTGAAACCTTTTACAAGGAATCATGTTTGCATTAACCACATATATGCATTGTCTTTGAAACTGATTGGCCCACACCAAAGACAATGCATATATTATCAGAGTATGTTTTTTTACTGGTAGGAAACGTAGTGGACTGGAAGCCCAACCGGGATTAATTCACAGGAGGCAGGGGATTAATTGTGGATGTCTGTGGATGTCTGTCCACGTGTATCCGGACACCCGGATATATAACAAATGCGCTCCTAGTGGCCATTACTGGTAGGAAACGTAGTGGACTGGAAGCCTAACCGGGATTAATTCACAGGAGGCAGGGGATTAATTGTGTATGTCTGTGGATGTCTGTACACGTGTATCCGGACACCCGGATAAAATGGGAGGGGTGGGGCTGGGTTGAGAGGGGAGGGTGGGGAGGGGCTGGATGGGGAGGGGAGGGTGGGGAGGGGCTGGGGAGGGTGGGGAGGGGCTGGGTGGGGAGGGTGGGGCTGGGAGGGGGGTGGGGCTGGGTGGGGGGTGGGAGGGGTGGGGCTGGGTTGGGTGGGGAGGGGCTGGTCACCCCGTGGTGCCCTTATAAAACTCAACGTTTAACCTACTCACGCCGGCTTGTGCCCGCCCTCACAGTCGGGCATATTTGCGGAATACACCACGCCGCTGTTGACCCTGGCCATTGACCGAGCAACCCAACGATCCTACCAGCTCCCTCCGCAGGAATGTGTTTTACCACAAGTATATGTGGTTAATGGAGACGTGATTCCTTGAAAAAGGTTTCAGTTTGGTGTTTTAACATCTTAACACAGCTGTTTTGTTGCCAGAAAAAAGGGGAGAACCGATTCTTATATGTTGGTACTGGCAAAGGAGGTCCCATGATACATAATATAATTTTGCACTTTACGACCACACAGCACTGTATTGATTTTTCGTCATTGTCGGGAATGAGGTAATTACTAGGCGAGTTTATACCCCCCCACCCCACGAGAGCTGACTGGACCACCCTTCACCACTCCCTCCATCTCTTAAGCTAAAGCTGGACGTACCAACTGAGCCAGAGCGCAAGGGGGCGACAAACAACAATTGACCCTTAATCCATTCACCTTTCTGTATGTTTCAGCACGTGTATTCCAACAAATTATATTTTACACAATTGTATGAATGTTTTTTGAGATCCAGAGCGTGACGGACGGACACTTGAGAGTTATATACAATCTATAGACAACATGCCGCTGTTTAATTCCAAATTTCAATCGGGGTTCAAATATCAAGCGTATTTTTTTGGGTGAGTTCACGGAAATATAAATGCATCGATAAACCCACCACCCGACAAAGCCAATTCGTAAGGGTTGTTACGTAAACGAAACGTGCCAATTAGTTACGACTTCATCACGCCAGTATGTTGGAGAGTAAACCCGCGACATACAATGTGAGTACGACGTTTCGCTGGTGATTGCAACCAGCTCATCAGGCTATTAGCCAGAATTTAGGTTCAAATGTTCGCTCCGACCACAGTGCTCCGGCTCGTTCCGGCTATTTCCGCCACTGGTACTGCATCTGTTATACAGTAGGGTTGTCCATTATGTACCATGAATAATGTACTGCAGTTTCGGCATTTTAATGTCATGACAGTACTGGCCCATAGGCTGTTATGATGTGCCTTGCCAGTGGCCCGTTGACTTTAGTTTATTGTGTCCTTGGGCCATGATGTGCCCTGGAAATTGCCAAAAGGTAATTGCTAAGAACATTAAGATCTGTTGACTCATTGACCATCACGTTTCCACACATTGACAAAACAGTACTTTGTGTGTCCCGGGTAGAGCTCGTTTATCTCATTATAATGTAGATCATCCATTATTATTCTAGCAATTGCCGGTATGAGTACTCAACTAATCGTATGACACGAAAATAGTTGTGGGAAAAAAAGGTCGGACCTCTGGATTGGGAAGTGATTGTCAGAGCTTGGTGACATCATAACGATGGGCGCATCTCGCTGGGCGTGGCTTGTAGGGGGTTCCCGCCTTCGAGGGGCGTGACGTTTGAGCGGCCACTATTTTTAAAGGGGCCCCAGGTAATGGGCCACAAATACGTACTACGCTGCCGTCAATTATATTCTAGTCAGTTAATCGACTTAATGGGCTCATCGTCCCAGCTCTATTCGAGTTCATCAGAGCAAGTGCTGTCCCACAGCCCTCCCTGCACCGGGTTCATTAGGGAGTAAACCGCATCCCAGGCAGGCTCACAACGCAGCGCTGCACAAATTAAGATTATCCTGCGTTAACTGTGTTGAGTACAGGAGTAATGCGTCACGTGTACATTTTGCATATTTGCCGTGAATGTTACATAATTTTAATAACGAATGCGGTTCAACTTCAATCGTGACGTGCAGTGATTAAAGCCGCAGTATCGCCGTGAGCCACGATGCGTCAAAGCGTTAGCAGCATTTATTTATTTATAATAAATGGGGCCGCGCATGGGCGCGTTAATTATCCTCCGCCAACGCCCCCTGCCGCACACGCGCAACGATTCATCATCATCACGATCCATGGGGCAGATAGCCCGTAGATGCCCACTGCACATTTCGTCATGTTTCCACTTTCCTCTGGTCTTGTGTCAATATGCTCAAGTAGTGCGCACATCTTTCTGCCACCAATCTCTCGTGTCGTCGTCGTCAAGCCGCTCTCTCTCTCTCTGTTCGGTCTTCCTCTCTTTCCGCTTCCTTCCATTTTTTTCCAAACAGCAACACTTTTCATTATCCTGTTGTTGTTCATCCTACGTGTGTCCAAATAGTGCCAGTTTCCGACTCATCACTGCCTTGCATTAGGTCTTCCTTCTTTGTTGCAACCTTATCCTTCTGCGTTGGTTAATTAACGATATTATTTGTATCTCCCTGCTCCCGTGCTGCCCACGTGCCACCACGGAGTGCTTGGCGTCACGTGGCTGCGGCTGCTGCTGCTGCAGCGCCAGGGACGATTCGCACGGCGAAGTCGCTCCGCCGCTCTTGCGTGCGACGGACGCCAACGGCTTTCCGACTCGCCTCGCGCCAGTGTCTCGGCAAGGTAAAAGGTCAAAAGCAACGAGCCTACCTTCACCCTACCTTTTACGCTTACCCCATACAAATTACCCGATTACAGAGTAATTACTGGGGTACTGCACGTGAAAAAGTTTTGTAACAGGTAAATGCTTGGTAGAGTGCTTCTTCATTCGTATAGAATACTCCTAAGACGATTCCAATTTTAAATGGAGGCCACGGACTGCACCACGGAGCTTTTAGCGAGCGGCAAACAAGGAATTGACCGGGTAATACCTTTACCCCGTGATGCCACGACAGCGAAGCCGCTCCGCCGACGGCGGGGCCGCCGCTGTGCTGCTGCAACAGAGAAGCCACCCGGCTTCCGTCACAGGGCTTTCCCCACCACCCCCCACGTAAACACACACGTGCACTCACGTAGGGCCTCGTGGGGGGGGTGGGGGGTCACCTGCCCCTGAGTTTTTACCCGAGAGATCCCCTCGTGGGGGTGCTCCACGGTTTCTGAGGGCCAGGGAATTGGCAGAACCCCTCCCAGGCCGGATGACGCTACGGCGCCGTGGATTAACTTAAAATTGTACGGCCACGGCGAACTCACTGAGAACCGCAATGAGAAAATGCCAAAGGCACACGCAACGGCAGGCAGGGGGGGGGGGGGCGGCGCAGATTGACCTTTAAGGTCTGTAAACGATGTGTGCGATCACCACAAACTGGCACACGATCACCACAAACTGTCACACATCGGTTAAACAATGGGAGGCAGGGCGTCGGAGAGAAAAAATAATCTGATTGGCCAGGGGTGGGAAATCCGAGGCTGCCGATTGGATAAGGGGCCAGCGGGTCGGCGGCACGTAGGCTTTGAAGTTGGAGCATAAAAAGGGACAGATTTGGGAAGCTCAGTCTCTTTGCGCCGGGGGTCAACTGGAGAGAGGGATCGAGTCGTCATCCCCACTACTACTCGAATGTCCGTGAGACGGGTCAGAGAGCAGCCGGGTCCAGTTTCCCAGCCAAAGCCACGTGCAGCCTCGCCTTTCCGCGGCTTCCTACACCTCGAGGTCGGAGCATAAGTAGAGTGGAGAGGTAAGTCCGAGGAGAAAATCCCATAGAGGGGTGAGTAGGGAGAGACTAGGCAAATTGAGCCCTAAACAGCTGGAAGATAGGACAGACCTGCCCTGCTGACCCGCACTAACACGAGTAGAATCATTCTAGTCAAATAGAGAATAAACCACCAGTAGACATTAAACCGTGTCGTGTTGTCTCTGTGAGTACGGGGAGGGAGGGGGGTGCGTGGTGTGGTGAGCATGTGCGTTGTGGTGTCTTGTGGTTGCGAACGAGCGTATATTTTGCCTGCGCGTGCGCGTTCGCCGTGCACATGAACTGTGAGCCTGTGCGTTGTGGTGCCCCGCGTGTTCTGTACGCGTGGGCCCTCTCGCCGTTGCGCAGCTCGTGGTTGGCGTGTACGAGAAGGGCACCGCGGCGTATCTGCGAGTTGGTTAATGCAGCAAGTTAAATCATGCCCCGAGGAGCAGCAGCGAAGGGGGGAGAGCAGGAGGACAGTGGGTCGCAGGAGAACGGGGAGACAGGGGGCAGTCTCCCTAACAACCCTACCCCTCGGCATGTCGACATCTTTACCCTTTTACCCAGTAAAAATGGTAAATTACCTTACCTTGCCGAGGCCTCCTAGTCGCGCCGCTATTTCACTCGTGGCGCACAAGCTTCAGCGTCGCAATGCCTCGGGGAGACCGAGGCGACGGGCGTGATAGATAATAAGCTTGTGACGGCACGGGGTCACGGCTCTACTCTGCAAATTCCCGAGAACTGTGGCAAAATGTTAAGCCACGATTGCGAGATGTTAACTATCTCGCCTGGTATACAGATCGTGGGTTCGATCCCGACGCCTGTATATTTGGAGTTTGCAAGTTCTCGTGTGCGCGTGGATTTTTCTCCGGGTCCGGTTTTTGCCTCCACATTTAAGAACATGCGTTTAAGAGTATTTGGCTGCTATAAATGTCCACAAGCCACTTCATTGAGTTATCATTTGTGGCCAAGTCGCTTCTGAAAAAGAGCTATAAAGCTCACTGGGTCTTACCTGGTAAAATAAAAAAATATTTTAGTTTAAACTGAAGAAGTGGCTTCTTTGTGCGAAGCTAGCTACAATTTAAAGAGTGTCACTAAAAAAAATTGGTGGAACACGGAACCTTGAGTGTGGCTGTATTTTTGCCCAAATGTGTATGCACGATTGAGAGAGTTGAGAAGGCCGGGGGGTGGGGATGATGGCTGTTTACCGAACTACGCAATTTTAAACATACTACAAACATCACAAACACCAACACAAGATTTTGCACTTTGTCAGGATAACCTTTATTTTTTGCTTATATAGTTTCTTTAGTCATTTATTTGCTGACCACTTTACAGCCAGGGCCTTTGCTAATCATCTGTAACAGAATGTACACACAGCACTTGGGGATGCGTCTTGCTCGATGAAATAAAATATGGAACAGATATGCAACAGAAAAAAACCTACAGTTATTTCAACTGTAACACAGCATAACCATACTAATTAGCAGAAGATCCAAGCTAGAGATGGAAAGAGACCGATGGTGATAGAAATGTACAGATATTAAGCAAACAATGTATACTGCACAGCCTGAAATGTAAGGACAACAGGTGTGTATGGGTAAATAATGCCTGCATATCAAAACGTGTTTTGTAACAGCTTTAAAGATAATTCCCTGACTGGGTTTTCTGAACTCAGCACATACTGCCTTTAGGTGGTGATTATGCCACATTAGAAATGTCAGTTGAGTCTTTATGTACTACACATTTCAAGACATTTTGAAAACAATGAATGGCAATGCATTCATTCAGCTCTCTGAAGAATATTAAAGCTGCCTAATATCCAGCGGGGTTACAACTGTCATTACAGCAGCGTTCAATTCAATCATAACTTTTCCAGTTCGGGGTCGAATTAGCCAATCATCAACCTTTCATATGAAAACGAAATACCACTTTATGGGAAGTCAACAGTGGTAATGCAATGGAGAAAAGGGTTCCCGACACAGGAATGTGGAATTCCCACCACTGGCTCAGGGTCACCAAGATGGTGCGGAAAGTTGTTTCCCCTGGCGTGTACATTGTTTGCAAGCACCAATCGCCAGAATAAAACGGCACAATCATTTTCTCACCATTACCAGGTCACTTTTTCTCAGCCGAGCATCTTTTCTGTCTATCCAGCTGCATTTTCAACATACAGTGCTCACTGTTGGGAAATAAAATGTCAATACACGATATTTAAATAACAACGCTAAACCTTCATGTTCGTCAACACAAAATTTGTATTGTGTTTAAATTAGTTATAAATGAAATGTAAAAGGGGCATTAGCTCTAAAGTTGCTCTGGGTCTTCCTATTTCATGAACCAACTCATCCAAGTTGGCAAAATTCTAACTTTGAACTTAGCGATGGAAAATTTGCCAGGGGCGCGACTTATACGAGGCAATTTCCAGCGGCGGAACTGCTCCCTTTATTTTTGTCATTGCCGCCACCCGGCTGGCTGGCATGCAATAGGGGCGAGGTGGCATTAGCTTCGGGTGGCGGTAGGCGGAGCTCGGCACTGCCTCCCGCGCTACTTCTTGGCCTTGATGGGCACCGCGTCGATATCGCGGACCTCATTTGGTGCCGGGATCTTCTTGTAGGTGGGCTCGACGCCCCAGATCTCGCGCGCGTACTCTGAGATGGTGCGGTCGCTGGAGAACTTGGCAGAGCCCGCGATGTTGTGAATCACCTTCTTCGTCCACTCCTTCGGGTTCTGCTCGCAGGGGTGTGGCAGAAAAGATAATAAAAAGGCATTGTCAGATGGCTCAAACATTTTCTCGTCACAGAATTGAGTACAGCTTCCACATTTTAGAATGGTGTCTGCCTCTCTTGCTTGTCTCATCATCACTTTGTTACCTTCCTTTTGCCTTTACCACCACCACTTATTTTGAGTCGATCATCGATTAGCCAGCGGCTTTGGGGGAGGAGAAGGTGCCAAATTTAAAAAAAAACGCTAGATAATCACACTAAATCATTCTTTAAAATAGCTTTTTCTTGCAGATTCTTGTATGACATCATGTTTTCAGGTCTCATTATGGTTTTTTATTTAACTATTTGAAATTGTCATAAACATACAAAAAGATAAAAAGAAATAACCTACCGTAAAAAGTTACTGTATTTACTTTACCATGCTTACTACTCCAATCTCGAAGACTCTGCATGGGGTGATGTAAGTACTACGCTCTTGTTTCAATAAGTGTTTGACGGTCGCCGGACTGATGCAGCCTTTAGACCAGGGCTCTGGCGAATACCGAATTACACAACTCACTTTTTGCCAGATCGCATTGTATATTATGTTTTAATTACTGTCGTTATCAGTCATGAAAAATGTATATACATGCAGTATTTCATTGTCGAAGTTGTATACAGTGTATAATGTACCATATATATTTGACACTGAAATCAAGCATAGCTACTTTTTTGTCATGCACATGGTGTAGATCGCTGAACTGGAACAGGCTTTGGAGCGATTTTGCCGGTTTTGCCGGATCGGCCCGGGACCACCAGATAATGTTATAAGCCGGATAATCGATGATCAACTGTATGTATGTATGTTGAACTTATTTCGCACTGTACATAACCAACCGTGATAACTGGAAGTATATTAGGTAATTCCACTTCCATCTGCTCGACCTCATAGCCTTTTGCACAATCAACACCCAACTTCCTAGGTCTGCTCTAAGTCTCCCATCGGGCTTTAGGTCTTCCCCTTGGGTCACGGTCACTGGTTACCACTGAAGCTCCTGTCTTGGTGACCTGCCCTCCTCCATCCTATACTTGTGCTCCTCCCATCATATCCTTTTATTGATCACATTTTCAATGCAATCCTACCACGTTCTATTGAACACTTCCAAGTTGCAATATCCTCTCCTCCCCTGAAGGCATCTCTACTCATAAACCAGTTATCTTGCTTAAGCACGACTCGATGATCCTTAGAGTAACACATACATTACTCATGTCTCAAACAGATAACCCTAAATAAAATTTAAAAAAAGCTCATCCCCCTCCTTTTTTTAAGCAGCTTACAGGAAAACTCTTCTTATCCAAATTAATGTGGGGTTGATAGGGGCAGATCCTAGTTTCTCTGTTTGAGAACAATACTTCATTTGTCAATGTGTGTTGGGGTGAAAATGTGGGTCCTCCTGCCTCTTCGAAGATGCCTAGCCAGCGTTGAAGAACAGAAAAAATTAACCTTAAGAGAGGTTCTGGAGAACTCCCTCTCATCGAGGGCCTTCTACCAGCAGAGGCGTGAGCAAGAATTTACAGGGTTGCACCTTTTCCGTGATCATTTTACTAAAAAATTCCGCAACACGGAGAACATTGACGAAAACCAAAAACAACAAACTCTAATTATCTGTCACATGAGTACAGAGTCAAACATTTTCTCTATTGAAATGAAAAGAAGAAAATACCTGATAAAGTGCACTGACTTTATCTTGAGCCACCATGTACGACTCGTAATCGGCAAACACCTTAAACCTGGTAGAGAGAATGAACAGCACAAAGCAAACATGCATCACGTGCATGAAATACCCACACCACTGGACTACGTGGCAGGCAGTATATATGGCAGTACAGCAAGTTGGCTTCTGATCTGTATTGTGGATTTTTGAGTATTTCTTTGGGAATATTGGTTTCCTCCCAGAAGCAAAACAAAAAATGCAATAGCTGGCCGAAAAATACCAAGCAAAACCCTGCTCAAAAGAGTATTGAGGCTCTTGGATTAATTGGAACTGTCCCTGACCAAATTACCCAGAATGTGCCTGATTTCACCACAACTAGGAGGCTAAGTGGATAATTCTTTGGGTGAGAAACCACCTTGCACAATGGGGTTGTCATAGGGCCTGTGGGGCTATATTGTGGGCAGCAGGAGGCAGCGCAGTCAAATCCATTGCCATGCTTACATGCTCTCACATCCATGCTCCCCATGTCCACTAACCTGCACTGACTAGCGTAGCGACTTAAGTCCCTACAACTCACAGTATGGGGAGGCACTTATCCAGCCATGGATTGACACATGATCTGTACATTATTGGAATTGGTCCAATCGCACTGTAGCACAGTGCGTAACTCGTGATCGAAAGGATGAGTTCACATTCCGATTGGGAATTGACTCGGCAGATCATACCTCCGGAGTAGATATAATGCATACCACTTTGTGGTGAGCCAACATTATTTGTCTTATGGATAGACTGCGCCCCCCTCCGTCGAAACGTCGAATTTTCTCCACCATTTCATGGCCGTCGTTGGGAATATGCCGCCACATGCCCACTTGAGCATGGGAGCCGCATCAACTTGATCTTCATCCACTTCAAAGCAGGTCGGTTCCAGGTAAACACTACGGCGAGGTCGTGAGCGAGCTGGGCCATGTGCGGCTGCGTGAAACTCACCTGTCGTGGTGCATGAGCATGTTGACAATGTCCTTGAAGAGGTCGGGCTGCTTGGGTGAGAAGAAGCCGCTGCTCAGCTGGTCGATCACTTGCCGCAGCTCGGGCAGCTTGTCGTAGTAATACTGCGCGTCGTAGCTGCATTTGGGTTTAGAGGAAAACAATCCAAAAATTCGATGCTATTTTAGTATGTTATTGAAACAACATTGATGAAGTAAAACGCAGAAATTGGAATATTATTCTGTAAATAATATACATCAAAAGTCACCTCGAGTCATGGCTAAAGGCTTCGGGAAGATTTGCCGTTGTGGGATTTAAACTCCCCAAAACGTTGCTGGACTGCAAAGACTAGCATAGAGCAGCTCCCACTGTGCACTGCCTGTCGTGACATAGCTAGATTCAAGGGGCTCAAACCTTGTAAATTGAGGCGAAATGCTTCTCGGTTCGTTGTGGGTTACACTTGATGTTGCACACATGCCTCATGATGAGCTTGCATAGTTAAAAGTTACCACATTTCTTTAGGGGCTTAACCAAGAGACAGTCTGCGGGGCAACCCATCACTACCAGCCCCACCAAATGTATAGCCATGCCCACACTGATGTTGGGCCCCACCGACTGGTCATTGGCCCCACCGACTGCTCATTGGCCCCACCGACTGCTCATTGGCCCCACCTAATCCTCAGTCAACCCCGCCCACTAGTCAGGGAGCCCCTGTCATTTTGCCCATATTGTGTTGAACATGAAGGGCCAGAACGAAATTCCAACAACAACAAATCGGGACACCAGAACAGCCTTTTTAAAACTGAGACTTCCAGCCAAGCTCGAACGCTTGGTAACGTTATGTATAGTGCAATAATAGTGTGGAAATTATCTGGGGAGAATGTGGCGTCCTCAGTACCTCTAAAAAGTACACATGATACGGCAGTCGTAAGACAGGACGCCACTGGAGAGCACTGTAGCGATGCGCCTGAAAATCGTATTTGATAATTCAATTTTTCTCATGAGCAAAGCTTCAGACTTTTGAAACAATGTCTAGGTATGTATCTACAAAACCACAAATAGCTTTTGGGTTGCATAATCCTTCAAGAGGGATTACGCTCAAGCAACATTCACGTTCATCGCGTGCTCTAGACCTGTCTCAATCATGATCACACAAGTGGCAAGTTCAGATTAAATTAGGATAGTTAACTCGACCCACTTTCTTTCCAGCACCGAAAAATTATATATATTTATTGCAAAGCTTAAATTGGCCATATGTTAGTTGTTTCCTGCCATGAGAACGTGGAATTATACTGGCTCACAATGTACTAATGGAAATTGATGAGTGCCGCCCCATTGTTTGAGCAGGAAGCCAATTTGACTTTGACTTGAATGTGACCACTAGAGGCCTCCCCTTTAACTGTGGGGTCCCACTGTTGTTAACGTGGCCCTGTTCAGGGAGACCGGTCAACCTTGACTTCAATTGACAATGCCCACAGCAGCACCGCTGGGTTGCCGCGAGCTCACCCGGTCTTGTCCATAGCCTCCACGTCGGGCACACGCATGCCGAAGATGAAGAGGTTCTCCTCTCCGGCCTCCTCCGCCATTTCCACGTTAGCGCCGTCCATGGTGCCGATGGTGAGCGCGCCGTTCAGCATGAACTTCATGTTGCCCGTGCCAGACGCCTCCGTGCCGGCCGTGGAGATCTGCTCCGACAGGTCCGACGCCGGGATCACTGCGCGGTGGAGCAACACGGTGGAGGGGGGTGGGGGGGGGGGGAGCGACACGAAAGAGAAGCGAGTGGACAGATACAGGATGGTTTAACACGTAGGCTTTCGCGACCAATATCCATAATAGGTTTTTTGGGTTAGATCGTGTAAATATAGAAATGTGTCGTTAAACCCGCCACCACCCGACACAGCCAACTAGTAAGGGTTGTCACGTAAACAGAACGTGCCAATTCGTCACTAGTACAGCATCACCGGTGTGTGTTGGAGAGCCAAGCCACAACATTTACCCACTGAGTACAACGTTTCGCCAGTAATTACAACTAGCTTCATCAGGCGACAGCCAGATTTGTGGAGAAGTCCACCTGTTTCGTTCCTTATATAGAGGCGTAGATGTGGTGACCAAACTTCTGCGCTCTTGAGTCAACGGACATTATGCATGCACATTATGTGGGCCCATTGGTCTTGTCATTCCTGTACTTAGTGTGTATTAAAATAGACGTACCAACGGAAATCCCTATTGAAGTATGGTGGCATGCAAAGGCATGCATTTAAACAATGTATTATTTGATTATCCGCTTCCACGCAGCCCGAGTCGGTAGCTATCCGAACGGTTAAAATCATTTTTCTTTCTTTACATTTCAATAGATTATCTAATTAGTCTTGGCCACTAGTATTTAGTTTTGCACCGATCTTCAACATTATCAAAATCTATTGAGTGTCCTTGTTGGCATGCGTATTCTACTACTGCTGACAGTTGTATTTGGGAGTATTTAATATTCCTTTGGTGTTCTTTTTAGTCTCGTGCTGATCATTCATCCTGTTTGTCCAACAGGATGGGTTTTAAAAACAGTCAGCTGCCTCTACAGTCATATACCTACTGCAAGTTCAAAACCTGGTTGGGGATCGATTCGGCCCATCATCCTCAAAAATCCATAGGATTCATAGCACTAGTCAACTATGCTTGTTCTACAAACAGATTAGTTGGCTCAGGGCCACCGTCCAAACTGAGAGCTGACCTTTGCTGCATTAACACTGTTTCAACTGACCTGAATAGAAGTACCAGAAGCTTTATTTAGACTGGAGGAATCCGATGAACTTCGAAGCTCTTTTTCACATGTCCAGGTATATTTTGCCTGCCTCTCCATAGGACGACTGCTGACTTCCCAATAAGCGATACCCATTTTAACTAACCCCAAAGAAATTATGAGCAGACACAACAACTGACTGGGAATTTAACTCATCATTTTCCAATTTGCCAGTCAGCCATTCTTGCTACAGCACAACCCAGAAAGACCTTCAATCATAGGGTCAAATAAACTCCCCAACTCAAATTGTAACTTCTTATTCTTAATCAATTGTGTAAATTCCACATTGCTATAGTGGGGGTAAGTTTCTCCATATGACTATCAGTGTTGACTGCCCATAAATGATGCTTGCTTGATATAGGGACAACGTTAATTTTGACTCATAACCTTATGATTGCGAGCCGGGTGTGTCTAATTATAACCATCCAGCCTTTGTGAAGTGTATGTCAAGAGGTAACAGTGGCCCTTATATAATCCAGCAAAAAACATCCGCTATAAATCCACAATGAAAACACCTGAGGACCAAAGCTCTCAATTAAAAGCAAAAAAGCTTTGAAATCCCCACCTTTCTCGGCGAGCGAGACGCGGTAGTTCTCCAGGAAGATGAACTTCAGGCGGTCGCCCACCTTTGGGTCATGATTGACAACGTCGCCCACCGCGGTGATGAGACGGATGATCATCTTGGCCATGTGGTACCCGGGGGCGGCCTGTGGGTGGCAGACGATAAGAGCAGCTGGGTGGCAGGTGGGAACAGGACAGACTGTGAGAGTACTCTCATACCCCACCTTCCGTCGATGGACCACTCCAAGGCACCTTACACAATATGATCCACCAACAACTATACTCGCGCGAGATGCATCTGATAATTTTGCACATTCAACTGCGCGATGTATTCAAAACAATGGCAGTCATAGACATATATTTTTTAAATGCTTAGAAGTGAAATTTTTTTAACGAAAGTCTTTTAAGTAAAAAAAATATCAGCATGTCTCCCGGCTCGAACGAGCAATGGAGCGGGGCTCTTTATTCATTGGCAGACCTCTGCCAGTGGGGGGAATTCTTCATTCCAGTCTCGCCACACGACAACCACTGTTGAACTCATGTCCTTCCAACTGTGAGCTCGGTGATCACAGCACAGTGCTACCTACCCGGCATTTGGATTTAGGGTCCTGCCATTATCCGCCACACTAACGAATATGGATGACACACACCCAAGGCTGCCAAAACCCCAGTAAATCAATTTTTTAATACTCACGTTAAATCAATTTTTTATAAGTGGTCACCAACTGGTTCTGATCATATATATTTTAAAAAATCCCAGTGCCCAACACTCGGGCAGTGGAATTGTGTTATAATGTATACGATTGGAGCAAGTTGGTGGGCACTGTACGAACAACTGACGTACGTGTGATGAAGAAAGAATCCGCCGCACTACTGCTCACCTTTCCTCCGATCATCACAGTCCTTGGGGCATAGTGCTTCTTTGGGTCCTTCTTGATGCCTGCAGCAACAAAGAGAATTTCATATTCACACATGAAGTGCCAGATCGGACCCCCCTCTGAGACACCTATAGCCTTTTCTGAAGCCCCTTCTGAGCTCCCCTCAGATCTAAGGCCATGTGTATGTGCGTGCGTGCATTTTTGAGCGTGTGCGTTTGTGTGTATGCGTGTTCATGTTTTGTCTCCGGATGAGTGGGCCTGCGTGCATGCGTGTATATTGGCAAGCACATGTTGACAAGAGCATATACATGCGTGCATTTGTTGGCATATGTGTATACATTCACCTGCAAAAATATTCAACATTACGTTCGCTATCCCTAATATGCATTTTAAACTCGCATAGATAAAATTCACTCCGTAGTAAAGAATGGTCTCCCTAAAAAATTACACCACAGAACTACTTATGAGGTGCGGGCGTCCTGCGAGGGTACAGATGCTACACAGTAGAGATCTTAGTGACAATCGTGGTTACATAGGGCACTACTTGAAGAGAAAGGGTCGGTACACGCTTCACACGTCGGAAACGTATAAGAAAAAATGCCTGTGATGAAACATATAAAGCATGAATACCCCTTCAAATGCCTTTCATTCGTGATTGATTCGTACCCCTTTGAAATGCTCCACGAGAGGTGTTTGTTTTGACGCAAGTGCTTACGCCACTGCTTGCAAGAGGGCCTCCGTTAGAGTTAGCTCTAGAGGGTGTTTTAGCCTACTCTTCCATACCTGCCAGACGTCTTGGAAGAGGTACCCACAGTTTACACCACAACACACGGCCTGCCGGTCTAATAACTGTAGTGTGTTCGATTATACAGCTGAGTGGATAGAGGTGGGGCCATTTAATAAACCTGCCTATTGTTTTAACTACCGTGGCGGGACACCGAACCGGCGACCTCTGGATTGCAAACCCAGCGAGCAAGATAAACCATGCCACCACGGCAGAATTCCTGGCAACAAAACCAAAGCTGCGCGTTTCCGCGTGCACAGCATGCGTATGCAAGTGCACTTTCACTGTATCGCGCGCTTTCAGATACGCTTCTGTAGCCGTCTGGAACACTCTCCCTTCCGATGGTAGGAAGCCACTGGAGCTCTGCCCTTTTAAATCGATGGAGAACTCATTTTATTTGCAACTGCTTTTTGTGTTTAGTTTGTTGTCCTGCCGCACCTCCGATTAGCACGGTTGGCTACGTACGGTGCGAAAGAAGTTCAACGTATACATACAGGCTGCATGTGTGCGCGTGTGCATGTGTGTGTGTGTCTGCGACTCTCACGGTTGTAGAGCGTTATGACGTGCAGGCAGTTGAGCAGCTGGCGCTTGTACTCGTGGATGCGCTTCACCTGGATGTCCATCATGGACGCGGGGTTCAGTTTCAAGCCGTGCTCCTTCTCGTAGTACGCCGCAAACTTGATCTTGTTTTCCTGTCGCCAACCAGATGGAAGTGCGGGTTACGGCAGCAGCGACAGTGGCGCGATGGAACACGACGGCGATAACAAAATTGGAATTCAAGAGAGTGTCAGGATACAATAAGTCAAGTGGGGAAGCGGTGGCACAGTGGTCGGTGTAGTGCACGATGAGCCGGGCGATCGGAGTTTGTTTTCCCGGCCATAGAAAACATCGGTGGCGAGTCGGAACGTCTCCTGGTCACTCCGCCTGCCACCCCCTTCACCAAGCTGCACTGACTCGTGTGGTGAAGTGTAGCCAAACAACCCCTATGACGACAAGCTACTTATCCAGCAGTGGATTGACAAGGGCCTTTAATTTTTTTTGTATACACAAGTTAAAGGAACACGTACCTGCTTGACCTTGGCAATGTCACGGATGAGGGCATCATCATTGGCAAAATCCTTCAGCTTGTGCAGCAGGTTCAGGTCACGGATGAAGTCATCGCCGATGCGCTGTGGATGCACAGGACACGCAAAGCACACACAAACAAAGCGATGTTGAATTAATTTATGCACGTCAAAAATTTAATATCACCTGGATTTTTTAGGCACCTAGTCAAAACTGACATTGTTTTAGTGATCAAGGCATACAAATAGACACAGTCCTAAACCATAAGATTCCAGAGTAATATGTGAAGGTCAGTACTGATATAACACTAATAGGACAGGAAGATGCTACAATATTTGGCAATAATTTATTCTGCGACAGAAGTGTTCCCAAACAAGGCAACACAAATGAGAGATTTGGAATTTTAGGCTAGGCTCAACATTACCCTTCAATTAATGGAAATGCTGTGAATGAATGCCACGACACCGTTAACAATAATTGTTATGGGTCATACCTTGTTGCTAACATGTGCATATCCAATAGGTAACAACTAAAATTAATAGTTGGAACTCCTAGTCTAGCTGGAAGAGTAATCTTGCAAAGAGAATATCTGGATCTGTTGACTGAGACAACAAGAAGTGGGTTTTACAAATAATAAGCACAGCATATAAGGATGATGCTGTCGTGTAATGGTTAGCACACTGGACTTGCAATCCAGAGATCGCCAGCATGGTAGAGTAGGCCAAATGAGCTTTGGAGGGGTGCTCTAAAGCTCCGTCTAATCAACTCCCTACTGCCAGCAGTGAAATGAGCTAGCGAATGCAAGGCTGCACATAAGCATATGCAGAGTGTCTACGTAGTATAGTGCGGGTGAGTTTGCAGAAAGCGTGTGCGCTCACCTCCGCAATGACATCAGCCAGCCCTGGGTTGCAGAGCAGCAGCCAGCGGCGGGGGGTGATGCCATTGGTTTTATTCTGGAACTTCTCGGGCTCAATCTCGTAGAAGTCGCGGAAGCTGCGTGTGTGGTGGAACAAATAATAATCATGGTGATGCACTCGCACTCATGTTGCAGCCAACATCTTTTGGCTGCTGCTGTAGTCACATAGCACTTGGCCAACAACTGGAAAATCACGAGTAAAACTCAGTCTGTAAATCCTCTGAGGTCCCATCCACAGTGGTTGTGTAATGGAGAGAATTGCCCCACCATGAAAAACATGGAATTTCCACCAACAATTCAGGGCCGTTAAAGTGTCCCCATGCTCAAAACGGGGTTGGGGTTGCACTCATCTTTCCTGATGCTCGTCATGCACGGCTGCATCTCTCCAATTACATCCCTGAAACAGTGTAGGTAATTCCACATTTCCAAGACAGGGACGTGTGACTGCATAGTAAAATCACCGTTGACTTCCGACAAACAGGTAGCACAATATCACTGGTTTTACAGGCCACACTCTGCTAATAAAATGTACTGAAATCAAAACCGGTGCAGGGTTTTACTTGTTTTTAACGAAAATATATATCTGCATTCTACTCACTGCAGACGGCAGCTATCGCCATGGGAAGACACTGCATTCCCCGTTTGGATTATCTCCATCTACGCGGGTGCCGTGGTGTAATGATTATCATACTGGACTTGCAATTGAGAGGTCGCCAGTTCGATCGCCTGACGAAACAGTTGAAACGCTTCTGTCCGCCCAGCAGTATAACAGTTCGTCGATCGGCAGTTCACGTGTGTATGGGGTAAAGCGTGGGCACTCCCACCGTGACATTTCTTTCCAAACGTCTCGCCAACCTTGGAAGGGTACGGCAAAATACTCTCTCGGGGCGCTCTCTAGAGCTCCCTCTCGCGGAAAACCTTCTGCCAGTCATGGCGCGAGCAAGACATTGCAGGGCGCCGAGGGCGCCGACGGTGACGAATAAAGATGGCAACGCGCGGAGACTTCGAGTGCCTTACTAAGCACTCACCATGTGGCCTTGATGATGTCAGAGTGGATGCGCGCGACGCCGTTGACGGCGTGCGAGCCCACAATGCACAAGTGCGCCATGTTCACGCGCTTGGTGCCCTCCTCCTCGATGAGCGACATGCGGCGCATGCGGTCCATGTCTCCGGGGAACAAAGCCGAGATTTTCTGCCACATCACCATGGAATTAAAGCAAAAATATAATGTAATATTATGGGGAGGTGGGGGGGGAGTATGGTTTGTTTTGCACCGTCATTAGTGGCAGCTCAGCTGACACTATTAACTCGCAACACATGTGAGAAGTTAATTCAATCACGGATGGCTGGACACCAGATCTTGTCAGTGTCGACTGTGCTCCATTATGTTTCTCCCTTATTAAACACTAGATGGCGTTTGTATAGTTCTCACTCGTGATCTGGTTGAAACCATCAACTCGGTATGCTTGAAAACTTTACTTATTTATGAGTGGTTGAAACCAATATTCAAATCCAGTTCTATGCAATGATGGCACTGTGCTTTGACGCAGGCAATAGGAGTCCCCTGAACTGCTTGGATAGCTGTTACACTCATATTAATGTATACAAATCTTTGCTCAGTGAGTGGGGCAGGACCAAATTAAGTTAAAAACTAAGTTCATGTGACAGGGTTTTTTGTTGTGCAGGCATTATAGATCAGGCTGACACCATCAATTTGTTAAGTTAGATAACTGTTTATTCATGCATGGCTGCATGGATATGAATCCAAGACATCGGCTTAGGATTACCATCAAAGTCAACATCAAAGTGTGCCTCTGATCAAACCAGCAATGGGGCAGCACTCGTGTCCATTAGCGGCCCTGAGCCAGTAATATAAATTGCACATTGCCATGGCAGGGGGTTGTCACCGCGTAGGATGACCACTGTTTCAACAGAGGGATACTTGTTTTATTTACCCTCGTGGGATGACGCGCTGGGTCAACATTAGATTTGGATATGAACTCGTGACCTTCCGTTCGTGAATTCGGCACTCAACTGCTGCGCCATAGTATAATTATATCTAATAAGATGAGAACAAGAAACAGAGACTGCTCTCTCACATTGAGGTGTCGGAGGTTGATCTCGTAGATGATCTCCAGGTGGCGGGGCAGCAGCGTCTGCAACAGATCGATGGGCCAGCGCTCCAGAGCCTCGGGCAGCACCGTGTGGTTGGTGTAGGCACACGTACGCTTGACCAGGTCCCATGCCTGTGCACAGAGGGCACACGCGCCGGCTCGGTCTCAAGCGTCTGGGGTCACAGGGAAACACACTTGTGCACGAAAGCGTACATTACACACCGTGCACCCCAATTACACGCGCAACACTTACCACGTCCCACTGCATGTGCTCGAGGTCAACGAAGATTCGCATGAGCTCAGGGATGGCGAGGGATGGGTGAGTGTCGTTCAGCTGGATGGCGACCTAGAGGGGCAGCAAAGAGGTGCACGAGTGTGAGAGATGCAAAGATAATGAGGCAAAGGAAGGTGTGCACATTGACATTACTGCACATAGGTTTTTGGGGTTAGATCGCGCAAAAATAAATGCGTCGTTAAACCTGCCACCACCCGACACAGATTATTAGTAAGGTTTGTCACGTAAACAAAACATGCCAATTCGTTCCTGCACAGTTTGACAAAGAGGCTCTTTACATTTATTACCATACTGATGAAACTTCTAAACCACAGTAAAAGTGTATTTGTGCTCCCAGTGTTAAGTGCTGCACCCCTCTGTTAGCAGCCATGAGCTGGTGGTGGTCATTTCACATGCCTGTGGGAGGCAGCCAAGTTTTTGTTCCATAGAACAACCACTTCTACTGTCAGTAAGTTTGTAATTACCTACCTCTTCATTCTCACTTCCTACAATGACAAAGCAGGAACCCACTCCCTTACCACTGCCATTGCATGATTCAGATGTTTATCTAAAGCCCCGGTTTCCAAACTTGTTGCATACTTACAAGCTATAGAATAACCCAGCCATTTTTTGTAGTTAACAGACCTCTTTTAGATTCAAACTGTTTACTGACAAACCTTCCCTATTTGCACATCGACTATGTTCAAATCTTACTATTTACAATTGTTTCTGCTATGATTGTAAATGTTGTGGATTTGCTCTCCAACACACCAATGTGCTGTACTAGTAACGAATTGGCACGTTCTGTTTACATGACAAACCCCGGGTGGTGGCGGGTTTAACGACGCATTCATATTTACACGATCTAAACCAAAAAAAGCTATATTATGTGTATGTTATGAAAGTCAATATTCAAAATACCCGGCGATGCATGTGCCGTCCTGTATAAATAATGTAATATATGGGAAGGAAAATATTTCCCCATCTAATACAAAACTTACGACTATTCCCAACGAAAAGACTAAAGTTCAAAACCTACTCAACAAGGGGACCTCCGACTTACGCATTCGCGTGGAAAGAACGAGTTTTTGTCCAGTCAAGACACTGAATTGTTGCCGAGAGGGATTTTTGCGAAGCGTCTCTCTGCCCTGGGCACACCCCCCACCTTGTCAGGGAAGGTGGCGAAGTCGACACGCACGGCCTCTCGGCTGCCGAATTTGGACGCCTTGAAGCGGCGAACGATGTCTTGCAGCGTGGCGGCCACCACAAAGTACTCCTGCTTCAGGCGCAGCTCCTTGCCCTCGAAGAACTGGGGTGACAAAGGGGAGGAGAGGGGTCTCTTCGAAAGGAATCCACCACAAACACCAACTAAAGACGCTGCGGCACAATGCTCAGACCTAGTGTGATACAGTTTCAAATGTTTCTATCAAAAGCAGAGATACTTTTGTCACTGGCAGGCAAATGCCCATCAGCAGGACGGTGCTGTTTACACCTCGTGCTGCATGGCAACAACAGTTGCCACTGGGGGTCCCCCCTTGGCAAGACTGCAGCAGGGCATTAGAATAGTTGTGATGAGATGTGATGCAAGGCGCTTTGAGTTGCCTAGGCATTTAAGCGACCTATAAATGCCAATACTTATATTTGTTTCAGCACTTGGCTTACTGTAAAATATATCCATGACAAAGTCTCAATAGCCTCCCTCCACTCAAAAGAGTGTGGGGGTGGTCCTGAGCCAGTGTTAGAAACTCCATATGCCTTTGTCACTGGACAGTCTTTGCACAATGTTGTACTATTTTGGTGACTTAGGATGGATGAAGAGTAGAGTTAACCCTGGTCTGAGACTTGCACTCGTATCCATCCAATCTTCAGTCAATTACTGTGACCGCAGCACCTCCTAACCAGATCAAAACTAGTAAAAGATAAGAACTGTCCCTGTTCAATTGCTATATATAAATATCGTAGACGTCCGCAGCATCACCCAACAAAGCAGCACGTGACACTGCTCACTGCCAGTCACAGCAACTAGATCATGTTAAGAGATTGTTTTCATTGAATACATTGTATAGTCATGAGCCAAGTTCTTGTGGACAAAGCACATCTTGCAATGCAGCATTCATTTACAATATTTACTTAGCTGCACTGCCTTGTGTTTTTCCTTGGTATTGGCAGGGGCATTATAAGCCAGCTATTAGATCAATATTGTTCCACTATTTGCACAGTTGTCCCGAGCCATTGAAATGTTTGCTCATAAATATTTTCACAAATATCAATGCACACGAAATTTAGACTTCAAACTTTCGTGACTGCAGGAATTCATATTCTTTGGGTTCTTTCGGTAAAGTCACGTAAAAAAATATATTTAAAAAACAAACTCGCGTTTCGATCGCAACACAAGCGGTCGTCGCCTGATGACGACCGCTTGTGTTGCGATCGAAACGTCGCGAGTTTTGTTTTTCTATATATATTTGTAAAAATAAAAATTTCATTTTTAGTTATCTACGTGACTTTACCGAAATAACCAAAGAATATCAATACACACCGTCAGGCACTCAACACAGCAAGGATTTGTTTTTACTGCAGTACTGCTGCTTTCCTGAACACACAAGAAATTATTAGTTCATGCTTAATTGCTAAATCAGGTTATGCGAGCAGGGCATATATGTGTATAAATGACAAGCGGTCACATTTGGCTGAGGGCATGAGACCCAGAAAAATGACGCAATTCCAGGTTTGGGAATATAGCCGTTAACAATACAAAGTAAAAAAAAAGCACTGTTTTCCTGTTCAACTGAACACGAGGAAGTGCTTATGTGTATTGCTGACTGAGCAAGCCTTGAAAAAATCCACATTACTGTGACAAGATCCAGTCACTCCACAAAACAACCACCATTGACTTTCCGCAAAATGGTGATAATTTTATTTGATCTCAGAGGGATATGAATTCATGCCTTTCCAATTGTAATTTAAGCACCCTAACCACGCAGTTACAAGTCCGATCTTAAGAGTACACTCAACACAATTGTAATTCGTGTATTATCATACTTTATGGATATCGAAAACCAGAGCAAGCATCCTGCAGGCACAGTGACTGCTGCTTCCATTGATTATAGGACGGCTTGGGGTGGAGGAAACTGCTCACGTTATCGTTGGGGTAAAGCACACGTGAGATGTTCTCCGCCAAGTTCCTGTCCAACACGGCCTGAATGTAATCACCGACGTTGACTGCACATCGCAGAGGACAGAAATGACAGCATCACAGGTCAAGAAAATGAGGCCATCATGGCCCGTTCTAGTGATGCAACCACACCATGCCACCATTCCTGCACCTCCCATTGGCACGGTTGGCTAAGCACGGTATGAAAGAAGTTCAACGTACATACGTAGTCTTCAGACAGATCCCACAACTTTGGCATGGTCGGCAACAGTACTCCAAGGTCTGCTCTTACAGTTTCCCACCACCTGGCTTCAGGTCTTGCTTATGGTTACTTTTGGGTGCCACTGCAAAGCAGTTTCTCACTAACCCAGCCTCCTCCAGCCTACACACGTGTCCCAACCTTCCCCCACATTCTTGTTGAATCGACAATGCTCTCTTTTCACATGCTAGTCTAAACTTCCAAGGCAATCACCCTATCCTGTCGTGAAATTATTACAACCTCTCGCTGCATCTGCACTCTTGGGATTAAATATTTCATTAGAGTAACTTCATTAAAATACAGCTCTCTGAAAATGGCATTTATATGAACCATGTATTCTAGATTTGAAGCTTTCGTGACTGCAAGGATTCATACTCTTTGGTTTTATTCGGTAAAATCACGGAGATAAAATAAAACAAAATATTGTTTCTTTTATTTTGTTTTATTTTATCTACGTGACTTTACCCCAAAAAGTATAAACCATATATTTTAATCACAGTTGTCAAGCCGAGTGCCTTGGCATATGATGTAAAGTGGCCAGCAACAAAGAGATACAGAGCATAGGAGGTTAGAGGAGGGGAGAGGCTTCTTGAATTGAATCAGGCCCAAGGGTTTTTGGAGACAGATGAAAGACAGGAGCTCCATAGCCGAGCTGTACGAGAAAAAAAAGACAAATGTTCCATCCTGCAATGTGGAAACTGGTGTGGATGAGATTTGTCCAAGAAAAAGAGAGTACCAATGATTTGCTTTGGTAACGAGTGTGTCCATTTCGTGGCGGGGTACCCGAGTATATGAACGTATTGGCTGTACGCCGGTGTGTGCTATAAAAAAAAAGTAAATTTTTCGCATACCCGGTCTGAAAATCTTGCGGGGTGAGTAAAAATCAGTTCTCGTGATGTCGATGCAGTCGGAAGATGAATGTCAGTTCAAATGTAGATTTTAGAGTGTTTTATGAGGACCGGTGTGTTATACCCCATTTTTATACGGTGAGTTTCTTTCCTGTGATGCATATTATTTCCGAGCAGAATGGAGATGCAACCGACAAGTCAAACATTGTTTTTGAACCCTGTTCAGTAGTTGACTTTTCTGTTTAATTCCAAGTTGAGCTTATTAGTTTTATAGGTCATCCAAATAAACGCCCGCAATGAGCGTACAGGGTAATTTCTCGCCGCCCACGTGATTGCAAGGATGCGCTGTACACTAACGATGCATCGGCCTACGTACACTCCTGCAGGTTGAAGTCATTGGGCGCCTTGGCGGACCACAGCCTCATGGTGTTCACGGTGTTGTTCTTGTAGCCGGGCACGGGAGTGTCATAGGGTAGCGCCAGCACCAGCTGTCCACGGACAATGCCGACAACGCGAGTGCGTGTTTGTATGCGAGGCAAGAACAGGCACGCACAAACATGCACGCATGTATAAATGAAGACGGGGAAGGCACCAATCAAGTCACAAACACATTTATAGTTTATGTTGTTTAACCAGGTGAGAACTCAAGAGAGCAGGATATGATCTCATTTGCAAGCATAACGATGGCTCACCAAAATGACTCGAGCAAACTAAATATAGTACAACAATGCAGCAAATATAAATCAGAACAAAAACAACTGTCTAGAAAAATGCCCAAATGATGAAATATTTGAGAAATGTGGACTTGACCATTTTCCCATCCCTTTATCGTAAAGTTTTATATGAAGAAAATAAAAAGATACACAGATACACCTATGAAGGTAAATCTGTGCATATGCTTGCCTGTTATGTACGTAATAATGTATCAATTAATCAATTAAAATTAATTGTTACGTGAAATAACGTGCGTATACATTGAATGTGTCATTTATGCTAAATGTTACATTTACATTCATGTTTATAGAGCAAATAAAACTGTAGAAATGAAACATAAAAGCGAAAAAGTAATCGAGTTAAATTACGACAGCAAATCATGAGAGTTCGTAAATGCACTGCGAAGGGTAAATCGGTCTGTGCCTGGTATATTTGCACTAGTCTGTCCTTGTAATAATGTGCCTGTGTGTCTGTACACTACGAATGCCTGTGTGGCTATCTTTCTGTGCGTGGCCAAATACCTGTGTACCCACCCGCCCACGAACATGCATGTAACCGCCAGCGGAATGGTATGGTTGGCAATTGCCAAGGTAGAACAAAAAAAAGGATGGGGCCCCCTAATCCAATTTCCCTTTCTACACGTAGCTCGACACCTGGACCGATGGGCAACGGCACAGTCGCATCGATTGCACACTTGACAACTGCACCACACCGGTTTGTGATGCGAATGCTCGTGTGCCCGAACGCCCACACATGGGGCGCCATGGTCGTACCTGCGTGTTGGCCCACTTGGCGCCCTCGGCCGTGTGTTCCACGTGGCCGTAGTATTGGACGGGCAGCATGTACTCGGGGCGCGCCTTCTCCCACGGGTTGCCGTAGCGCAGCCAGTCGTCCGCCTCCTCCCTCTGCAGGAGGGCGCAACACGAAGAAGACAAAGATCCCACCGTATAGCCTTAGACTGTAGGGGTAAGTACTGTTGGCGAGCACCTATGAAGGCCGGCACGGTACACAAGGCACACGAGGTGGCGGTTTGAGCAGCACCACGCTCGATCGCCTGTCTCCTTAGTGGCGATGTTTACACACCGCACTGGCTATTCATGTGAGGCTAAGTCGACCTAGGGGAGACCCAGCACAGGAGGCACAAACACACGCACATGGACAGGTCAAGTGGTCCGCTGTCGTTGTTTTCTTTTTGTACCACCCCCCCCCCAAACCCCGGGGAATTTGAGCACAGGCCCAAAGGCCCAAAACATCAAGCGGCCAACAAACGCCACTATTGAAGATATACGAGATAATAATTAATGTTTGTTGGATTGAGTAAAATCATGAGAACCTGGGAAAAAAAGACCATGGGAGGGAATCATGAAGTCTAGCAGTGCGAGCAAATAATAAGTGTTTAGACCGAATACAGCATGGATGAGACAATACAGTCAGTCTGATAGACTGCATCCCCAACATGGGCTAAGGAACAAGTGAGTTTAGTCCATGGGAATAGTATGTATGGTGGTACAGATAAAAGAGTAATAATAAGGAGGCGAATGACAACTGGTGAGTGAGTTGGAAGAAAAAAAATCAGCGAGTGCTGGACCAGCAAGAAACCCAACCTGAGCTCTCCTTTGCGATGAAGATATGTTGCCTTCACATGTTCCCTTTTATTGTATAGTGATGACGAATAATATTAATTGCCGTGAAACGGAACAAAAGAAGAAAACGAGGGAGGTGAACTACTACAAGTTTTAAAGTTTCCAGTTTCATTTATTTGGTATAGCCCTGTGAGCCACACGGCTCTTAAGGCCGTGCAGTCTAATAACAGTAAGAAAATGAGGAACCAATATTTCCCCATTTTTTTTAAATTCTAAATGAGCCATGTTGAACATATCACTAAGCCTTGAAATACAATGGTATACAGTAAAAGGGGTAGGTCATTTCAGTTCAAGCTACCTGGATAAAGTTCCTAAACGTAGCACACGGGTATAATGTCATGTACAGTTACAGATGGGCCTCAAGGCAAAGAGACATCCTTTGTCTTGAAGGAAGGTAGCAGAGCCTTAGCAACCCTGACAAAATAATGCACTGTTTCATCAGACCACACTGTGGCCGAGTCAACTTGACAACCACAATTATCCTGACAGGATTCCATCGTTATAATAGTATCCTTTATTATCCCGAGGTCCGAGTCTCATTGCCTCAAATTTAGGCGGGGGGGAGGGAGTATCTCCCAGTTGAGAAAAACAATAGCCCGGTGCCCATATCGATTACAGGCCCAAAGCCAATGGTGGAAATTCCACATTCCTATGGTGGGCAACAGTCATTCTACAAAAAAACATAATTTTTGTCCTACACAGTGATACATTTTTTCAGGAGAATCCCTTATAAGGATGTTTAGCATGCCCCTTTTATATAGTGTTTTGCATGTGGGGTTAAAAGGTCACATCTAAAAGGGGACGAAAGTCCATACAGATCAGTCAGGAAGCTCTTTGGTGTGCCAGCTACCAGCTACCCAGCAGACCCACAGGTTAAGAGTTTCACAGCACATGATGAATTCCTTCATGATCCACTAACATGGCGTGGCTACTATGAGAAGTTTAAACGGTGATAATGATTCAGTAAACTATGAATGCATTCGCATTAGTTACAACTAAACGAGGACACCTTAGACCAAACCTTTCTTGTGAATGTGGAACTGGGGTAAAAGTCTAACAACCAGCTTGGAAGGGTGAATCAGGCATTGCAAACGTGTGCATTAACCATCCAAGCTAGATCATGCAGACATCATGTGCACTTTAAACACGGCCTGGGAAAACTTCTCCCCAATTCATATAGCATGTACAAAGTTAAACGGACACAAACATAGAACCTGTCGTATGACTTAATACATCTTATGTTATCTCACGTCGATTTATATAGCGTGTTATTCCAAGGCACTTTACGGTAAATATAAAATTGTACATGAGATTAAAGTGGTTGAAATAGAGAGTAGGAATTATCTAAAGTGGTGTTGTAGTTATGGTGACAGAACAGGTGGGAGTGGTTAATTAGGGGTGGTGATAGGGGTAAGTGACACGGGTTGGAAAAGGCCTGGTCGTAGCTGGGGGTTGGCGGCAGGGAGGTTGCAGGAGCAGGATGGGCAAGGGAGAAGAGATGGGGGGTTGTATGGGAGGAACAAAAGCAGGTTTGTGAAGCCGATTGTTTTTGCACGTACTACAAGTGTCATGAGATTGTGGACTTTCCATCAATGGATCTAGAGCAATAACAGATATCAGTGCTGTCGCATAACGAATTTGAATATGGACTTTAAGTTATGGCACTTGACCTTTTTGCGTGATACAAGTATGCAATTTGGTGGATAAATACAATATAAGTAACATTAATTTAATCAGGTACTGGCATTCAAGCATGACTGCTTTTTTAGTGTGTAATCAAATTAGCATTAGCAGGTATTGGTTGATTACTTAGTGTGCTTGTTCCATTGGAAAATGTTCAACAATTATTGTAAAACAATTAAAAGGTGTAAATGATCATGTAAGTAGCTTGAGTTCATGAAATTAACCATAACAATAAAAGCACACAGATCCCACTACAATCCACAAACTCAAAAGCAAAGGATAATTTATGAGTTTAGATCATTATATATGCTAATTTGAACGATAAACGTAAAAGAGACTATTGTGAAAATTCCAGATGAAATTTAACCTCGAGTCATCAGTAATCTGACTACTGTTCAAAAACAACCCTTTCAAACGCTGCTCACACACACAGTGCATTTATGCATTGCGGTTCAGAATAACGTACTGTACAGAATACATTATAAACAAACTTGGCCAACCCAAAAAAATCCCAAGAGATGGAATGAAAAAGAAGACAAGGGATAACACCCACGTTGAAAAAAATTCCCAGACTGCACAAAAACTTAAGGAGAAAAGAAGAGGAACTGATCTACGCCTACACGGGGCACTGGCAAATAGTGTGCAGCCATCGCTGCACCGCAGCATGCCTTGTGGTGGAGACAGCTGAGAAAGTGGCCAGTCTCTATGCACGTATTTACTGTAACCACTCTGCCCTTTAAGCCAAACCGTGCCAACTCCCCGTGTCACGTTACAATAACTCCCAGCAGACCTCAGCCCTCTATTTTAAGTACAGCGAGCTATTACAGAGCCTGACATTTTCAAAACGCTGATGGCGACTTAGACGGGAATGTCTCAAGTGGCTTCAACTTGGCTCATCCGTTTTGGGAGTTTGACCACACCTTGTGAAATCATTCAGAGACTCTCCGACTGCATTCGGTGTATTTTACGTTGACGGCGTAACCCATAAAAAAATACATACACACACATTTGGGCATCGTTTTATTACATTATTGAAACATTTTCAATACCTGGCAAGGAGTCACTTGAAATATTGTGCAATTAGAAAACTGCTGAGTCACATCTTAAATCCTGGCTGCCGGCTACAGAATGGCGTGCTGCCACCACAACTCCCATACGCTAACACTTGTTGCAGCTTCTATCATACACCGCATATGATGTGAAACAGCTGGGCTCCCAACTTTGTCAATGAAGGTGAAAGGACCACAGCACGACTGTCAGTCCACGAGCCTAGGCTAGACATTACACTTGTCAGTCCCACCTGAGGTGGCGCAGCTTTAGCGGGTCCCAATTATTTTCTGTAACCAATAACAGTGAATTACGTGATCAAACATTTGAAATGAGGGGGTAATAAATTCTCTCCTCATTGGATCTACTAGGCGTTTGCTACCTTTTGTGAGACCCATTTCTGCTCTGGGCTGTGTGCTGTGATGGACAGCACTCCAGTGACATCACAGCCCAAAGCCACACATTGCCTGACAGTCATGTGGATTTGGCTTTCAATTCATTTTTTTCAATAATATAGTAACGCTTAAAAAGCATGCCAGACAGCCAGTGTTTTAATGCACAGTGTGGAAAACAAGGTTTGGTGGATGACATAAATATGTGAAACTCCCAAACCCGATCAGCTAAAAGGTGGCCAGGAGAGGTGCAGTACAGTGAAAATAAGTCTGTTAAGTCAGCTCTGGGAATCGTTGAGTGCTACACTCCTTTTATCCATGAGGTTTGTTGTTTTAGTGCTGCAGTTTCTTCAAACATAGCAAAAAAATTATTTGAAGTACATTTTGCCAGACGTTACAACGCACGACCCTCCTGCATTTATCCAGATAACTGAGACTTTTTTATGGATGTAATAATTAATAATAACATTACATTCAAAATCGACAGGGACCAGTTCATCAAATTGTATCAGAGCATACCTCCAGAAGACGACGATCGAGAACTGCTTGTGGTGTCAACTCAAGTACCTGTTATCCTCACTATATGGTAACCCTTTAAGTCAGACAAAATATCCATCACATGACAATGAAAGACTTGGTCCTCAGAGAAAAAAAATATACCAGAGCGTAAATAATTAAATTTATCTCACGTGAGTTTTTTTTTTGTGTGCAATTATTTACAAGTCATCAGGCTGAGACCAAAAACCTACAACATACCTGATTCAACGCCGGACAGTGATTTAAATGCCAGACTGTGTGTCCAGTACCTAAACGCAGCGCTGCCCAACACTCAATACTAACTCAAAACGCTCAAGATCAGCCGTATATCATGCGATGAACACACAGAACACGCCTGGCGAGCGCCCTCCAGAACCCCGGGCCAGCGTTGTGTTGCATAAAAAATTTAGGCACTGCAACACGAGAGCTCTTCCTTCCTTTAAAGGATAGGGGATATTAATCACCGCTGGTGGGCAGATACAACTTTTCACGCTGCAAAATGTTCCCTTCAAGGCTTGTGTGCATTCAGGGGACCAATCCAACCAGTACATTAATTAATGTGTGCTTAAGAAACGAGTGCACAGTGTAATGACGTGTTAATTACAAGTGGTAACGTGCTCATTTTATTGTCACTTGCAGAACGACATTTTGGCCAACTGAAATAATGGGGAAAATCACATGTGCAAATACAGATCTTCATCAAACTGCTGCTAGATGAAGGCCTCCTCATTCCACGTGGGTTTTGCTGGTTATCTGAATATACTTCACCTCACTCGTCAGTGTACATTGGTGAAGGCAGGGAGCATAGATATGGGAGCATATTGGTATAGTACAATGGATTTTGACTGCACTCAAATAGCCTTAAATATAATTTACAAAATGTATGTATGTTGAAATTATTTTGGACGGTACATAGGCAACCGTGCTAATCCGAGGTGCTGGGGAAGGACAACCAACTAAACACAAAAGAGCACTTCGAAAGAAATGAGTTTTACATTTAGATTTAAAAGTGCGTAGCTCCAGTGACAGTGACGGGTGAACGGACCTGCCAGCCATCGCAGATCCTCTGGTTGAAGATGCCAAACTCGTAGCGGATGCCGTACCCATAGGCAGCCAGCCCCAGTGTGGCCATAGAGTCCAAGAAGCAAGCTGATTCACAATAAAACAAGCAATTTTTTGTTTATATTAAACATAACAAAGATAAATATAGCGGTGGTGCAGTGGTTAGCGCACTGTGCTATGAACCCAGTAACCCTACTTTGATTCTCGTTGACAGTTAACATCAGTGGTGACTGATCTATGAACCAGTCCTCGGCACCCCCTTTATCAACCCACACTGAACAGCGTGATGAAGCATGGTCAATCAACCTCCATGACCGACACAGCACGGTGAGGCCTTCATCCGGCATTGGATTGTTAAAGGGCTACAAATATTATTTGTATAACCCAGAGGCAGGTGCAGTTTTGCGAGCGCCTTTAAATACCCGCACAGCGTACGAGAGGGAGGCTTGCAGCCAACACCACGAGTGTGACGTCACCTTTGTCTCCCCGTTACCCATGTTGACAAACAGAGCCAGATAATCACGTAAAGACTGTGTTAACATATGAGGGGCCTAGGATTGGTGGGGATATCAAATTGCTACTGCTGTTGCGCAGCATCGTGGCCAGCGATTAAGCCCTAGCTCACTGGGATTGTGATGTGGAACACGAACCGCTGCACCAACGCTCCGCACATTAAACACGCTGCACACAGGCACGCCGGGGCTGCAAAACGATCGCACTGCTCGTGTAAATTCAAAACACGTGCAATTGCACCCACATTGCATTCCCACAACCAACATCGGGATATTTGCAATTACATTCCAGGAAACATTTAATTTTAATAGCAGCCAGTAAGTACATGTGATACGACAGAAGGGTATGTGCACTGAAAGCATATCAAAGCATCGCAGTTGTTGACAAGACCTGTAAATTAAATACAATTTTATTTAATCTCATATTTCCTTTTGCAGAAATAATTTTCAAGTAACCAAATGTTGCAAGTCATCAAATTTGTATCCCTGCCTTGGGGTCGAGGGCTGATCGCTACAGTAGACCTCTGCAGCTAGCGGGTATAGAGTATAGATTGCCAGTTGGTATACAGTGTAGATTAATGCTCTGTTTTTATTATTTAAAGCTCTTGGCAGGAATGCAAGCGGCAGAGCGAGGTAGCTGCAGTTGCTGCTGCTGGAGTTACACAAGAGGACCACCGTTCACGCCTTTTAAAGGCAACAAAACAAGGCAGCAGCATCCAGAATTCTGTCCGTAAGGCATGCGGGGGGTATATTAGGCAGGATGGAGGGTGGACACTACGAATTGATAGCCAGCATTGTGGAGTAAACAAGTTTTTTTGACAAGTGGGGCCAAGTGCCTAAATGCCATACCCTTGCTTGTTTTAGTTTACCGCTACATTTCTGTCTGAGTGCACGTCTTGTTCGCAAGCGAGACGTGTGTAAGGACGGCTCTCCGGGGCAGTTGTACACATCACACTCTTGCACGCTCATTATCCACGACTGAACCTAACACCACCCCTTGCAATCTACACTCCGTCAGTAGAGGGGCCAGACAAAGGGGGTCTAACTCACACAGACCCCATGGCCATACCTCAAGGTCACAGTTTACTCTCCTAGTGAAGAGGTTGAGAAAATCAAAGTGGCCGAATGCACCAATGAACACGAGGAACTGCTTATATCATGCGCTTACTCTGGGTCAGTGATGGAAACTTTACATTTCTACTGCGGGGTGGTACGCCCAACTGTGCTACTAAGGCTAAGGTTAATATCAGTGGCGAGCTATATCTGAACCAGCCATTGCTCCTCCCTTTACCTTCACCAACCCATACTGACAAGCGTGGTACAATATGGTCAAATAACCCCATGACCAACATGACGCAAGGAGGCCTTCATCCAGCATGGGACCGATGCATGGTTTTGATGTAATTATTAAATTTCTGTACTAGTACAAGTACCTGCTGTTGAATGATGGTTCCCGAACCCCCCCCCCCCATTCCCAGGTGGTACCCCTGGCATGTCACAACCCCCAGGGAGCCCCCCCTCAAACACCGTGCACCCCCACCTGCACATGCACAGTGGTCACCCACACACCCCCTCCTCTCCCTGCAGGCACTGAGCAGCACGTGGTCTCCAGCCAATGAGAATGTCTGTAATAGACTGATAAAGCTGTAGATTTTTGTATAAGAAGTTTATTGTGGGGGCCAGTCTACGGTGTTGACTAAAATACTTTGTACACTATTAAACTACGCTACTTTGTAAAGTGTTGACCTGATGCTTTACGCGGCCTTCTACTGGGATCTTCTGTGCAGAGCTGGAGTGAGTTCATGCACGCTGCTCATTGCTGTGTAACCCTGTGGTCTTTTCTCCTGCTCTGTTCTGTGTGTGCCATGTGGTCAGTGAGAGCTGTGTGAGCACGTGCTGTCTCATCATCGGTGTGCTGTGCGCGTTGCGTGCCATGCGAGCGCGTGCGTGCTGTGCGTGCGAGTGTCACCTAGTCGGTGGGCTGTGCGTGCCGTGCGAGCGCGTGCGTGCTGTGCGAGCACGTGCCATCTAGTTGGTGTGCTGTGCGCGTGTGTGCCATGTGAGCGCGTGCCATCTAGTTGGTGGGCTGTGCGTGTGCGTGCACCGTCTTGTGGACTGTACCGGCGAGGCGGCCCAGGCCTCCGTTGCCAAGCCCCGCATCCTCCTCAATCTCCTCCAGCTCCTCAATGTCCAGGCCCAGCTACAACCCCAACAACACGTGGCAACGAATCAACACCCAATAACCATCGCAGGCCAAGTACTCACAAGAACACATTTACTCGTTCTCTTATCAAAACAGGTCAAAGTATACTTAAACAAGCGTTTGGGTAAGCTTATCGCCAGTGTCAGTCCTGATGGTGCAACACCTGTGTGAATCTGGGAGAAAGAAGGGGCGGTGAAGTTTGGTAGTATCAAAGGCAACGGTCGGGATAACCTCCCGTCCTCGACCTTTGTGGTAATCATTTGTGCGCATTTAAAAAGCAGGCATTTTCATAATTATGAACACACTACAACGCAGATTTAATAGCAACAAGATTAATCTGTGTCGGCACGGTACGGAATGTGTGAGCGGGTTCATTCCCCTCTGACCTGGTACATGGCCTCGTCACAGCTGTTCTGCACGCCCAGGTTCACCATGGTGTTTTGGAGTGTGCGGCCCATGTAGAATTCCAGGGAGAGATAGTAGATACGCTGCGGGGGGGGTGATGGGGCGCAGGAAGACACACATGCACAACGAAAGAATGCGAAGTGTTTAGTTTGGCCATCAAGCAAGATCCAGAACATGGGGAGGAATATTTTTTTATAGAACACACTTCTCTCAACGGGAACAAAACTTAAACATAATGGCGGATATCAAAAAAAGCCAGTGGTGAACATTTCACTTGCTTAAGACAAGGGGCAGGGTTATCCATAGGGTGAACAATGTTGACCTCCCAAAAAAATGGCACGACATTTTATTCAAAACGCTGAAGTTTAAAATGTGTTCGGGAGTCATCAGAGCACTCTATCCCTTTACGTTTGATAAAATTCGTACTAACCTGTGAGAAAGAAATAGTGGTTGTTCTTTGGAGATACTGGTCACTGCTTTGCGAAATGTTCATTACTGACCAAAAGCTGCCAACAGCATTACTTCACGTTAATTTTAGCATGGCGACACTTAACTTTGAGCCCAAAAAAATAGTATATGAGTAGCTGTACTCATATACTGTTTCACAAATAATGCACCGTACAAGTAATTCCTAAGCCGCTTTAGCTTACTCCAAACTTCCTTGAATTCCACCCAACTCAATTACATTTACGCAGATGCTTCTAGTATGAAGTAAATAACTGGCTTGGTAGTCCCTGAAATGAGAATTTAGCCCGTAGACAACCTCAAGCAAACCAATTCGTGCACCACCAATAACCATAATGCTTTGGCCCTTGCAGTCAAGATCTTGTCTTTGGGTTCAATGCCATGGCTACTGTACCATATTAATAGCTCACAGGGAGCTTTGGCAATGCGAGAGCTAAATTATAGCCCAGAATATTAAACTTACAACCATACACACAGATGCCACTCACACACACACACATGCACACATCCACACTGCAGGCACTTGAGAGGCCGGTAGGACCATTGTGATAATTGCCATGGGGCCTGTCAGCTTATAGGAGCCCATGGGAGACTGCTCACGTGTTAAGACATGTTGGCTGAATTTCTCTAACAAGTGAGAAGTAAAACAATGACCCTGATTTATTATGGAAGGGTAAAAGGGCAAGAATACTATTTGCTACATGTTATAATTGCGTTGTTAAATAATATTGAAACACACTTTGGAGAGTCAATGGAATGTGGAAAGCTTGACTGACAAACAGGAGGAGTCAAATGTTGTTGTCCTTCCCCCGCACCTTCGATTAGCGAGATTGCCTACATACGGTGGGGAAAGAAGTTCAACATACATAAATACAAATTGAAATCGCAATCAATGGTCAACTGAGCCCATCATTTCTCCAGAAATGATGGCATGTCAATTGTGGTTATCTCATGGAGATAATGACCACCACGATCAGAATATGGTGTTTCCATCGCTGACTCTGGGCTGACAACAGAGGAGTGCTGCCCATTTATAACGAGCAAGGAGACACTTTTAGTTGAAAGGCTTAACCATGAACTAAGAAGCTCTATGCACTGCAAGTGTGAAGTTAATGTCTGGCAGACTTACCCACAATGAAACATTACATTAAGAGGTTTATCTGATCAAGGGTACAATGCTGTAGGATGCATTGCCTTTCAAGCAGCATTACTCATGCGTTCCTTTCAATGCCTCAGCAGAGTTGCAATGCTAATCATCACCGTAACTGATACAAGTGTGTTCAACATTGAATTGCAAACAATGTTTACGTCAAGTTGTTTTGATTAATCATTCCACAGTAGATCATAACTTTCCCCACATTTCATTCATGACACTTGTTTGTATAATTGGCTGCAATAACTCCTTAAAACTCGTGCTGTGTACTGAATAAAATGCTGCGCAAAAACAAATAGGTATTTGTTATTGAATGAATGCCATTCTGCCCTTATGGCATAATGCAAACTGTCAGGATAGGATAACACAAAAGGATATGTTTTATTTTGTTTTAAAAAACCTGACATTTCAAAAATGGATATGTAAAACGTTATATGTTTATACACCGGGTGTGATGTGGAGAGCATCACCATCTTGGCAGTATCACAACTGCAATTCAGCACATTTACCGGACTACATTAGTGATAAATACATATTTCCGTCATTGCTATTGCCACTGCTGGAAGTCCTCCCCACGGGCATGTCAGTCACGGGGGTTGTTTGACCTTTGTTTGACCCCGCACCTCTGATTAGCACGGTTGTTTACGTACGATGCGAAAGAAGTTCAACAAGCATACATACCTTACTACACCGCACTAGTCAGTGCAGGTTGGTGAAGGGGTGGAGGCAAGGACCGGTTTAGTTATTACTTGCCACCGATGTTAGCCGTGGCTGGAGATCGAATTAAGGTCATCGGGTTCATAGTGCAGTGTGCTAACCACTGTGTTACGGTGCCCCCCACCCCCCACCGTACACACACAATTACCCATCACAACTGTAGCTCCTTAGGGGTGCTGTGATTAGAAAGCTTGTGGAGAGTCAACAACGTTCATGCAGTCAACTGGTTTCCACCATAGTAATGTGGAATTTCTCACAATGGCTAAAGACTAGCAAAGTGTTTTCCTGTTTATTTTAAGCAAGTCAAACGTTTATTTAATTATTTTATTCTACTAAGTGTCACAGCCTCCGATGGTAACCTTAAACTGTACCCAAGAGCACAGCAGTGCTGACTCAGCACCCTGGCACCAGCGAAGCATTTATTACCCGCACCCCTGCCCTTTCCGTGTTCATGAAGAACCCGCCGAGAGGATTACTCAACCACCTGCATGCACCGCAATATAAAACACCGCTGTCATATGGGGCTTGGGGTCATGGCTGATGCAAGCTGACGAATGCATGAAATGCAGCGTTTCTAGGGATCATATCATGGTAGCTCACTGCCGCATCGTCGGAGAGATTGGTTCACGCAATAAACATATGGAATTCTTATCAGTGGCTTAGAGCCACCAATGGAGATTAGTGATTGGTCATTGCGCGTATGAGCATACTTGGCCTTCATGTTTTTCATGCATTATGAGCACCAGATTCGGACCCGAAGTGCAGTTTCATCAAGTCGAGAATCAAGGTCAGGATTGCAGGTAACGCTATCGGGGGTTCACTGTAAAGTGCTGCAATTTCTAGAGGAAAACAAAATTGATTTTGTGATGCTTGAGCATTCTAAGATGTTGTATAACACGCGCCGGGCACTTTTCCCCAATCAATTGGTGTGAGGTAAACAATACCATCCAACAGTACTCGGATCTGTGCGTTTGCTGTACAGTATTGTATACAAAACACTTATCTGGCATATGAAAGAATCATTTGAATTTTGCCCCTGTCAGAAAATTTGCTGGCTCAAGGAACTAATGCTGTACCAATGTGAGAGATCACCGAGCCCAAAACTGCTGCGACGCTGGGTTTTAATCTGAAGCTCCCATCTAAGTTTAAACCTGGTTCTCGTGTGTATTGAAGACTCAGCCCAGCCGTATAAATAACTGTGAAAATGTGGATATCTAAACAATTGTTCATTTGAACATGGATCCACTATTAATGTGAGAACATTTTAAAAATAAATAATTGTTATTCTCTCAACCGTAATCAGTCACGAGGAATACATTATTGTCGAATTGCACCATTAGATTTAAGAGCCACCCAATATATAATTAGTGCATTTCCACAAGTTTTCCCACAGCATATTTGGTGTGGTTGGAAAGGGGCAATCAATTTCCAATGTCATAGGATCACACGCATTGAAGTATAACGTTAAAAAATCCTGCACCAACCGCTTCAAACCTTCTCCTGCATTCACCCACCACCCATTATGCTCCACAATCGCCCACGGGACAATGCACTTAACCAGCAAAGGTCAAATTTTACCTTTTTTTAAGCGATGGGATACTATTTAAGCAAAATGTACTTCATTCATAATTCATGTGAATACATAAGAGAGGTTCCCATTAATCCTAATTCTGCACAAATTTCTAAAAAACCTACTGTATACATGGTGTGCTTTGATATAATACACACAGTATACATGGCTCTAGCTGAATTACAGTGAGGGAAAAAAGTATTTGATCCCCTGCTGATTTTGTACGTTTGCCCACTGACAAAGAAATGATCAGTCTATCATTTTAATGGTAGGTTTATTTGAATAGTGAGAGACAGAATAACTACAAAAAAATCCAGAAAAACGCATGTCAAAAATGTTATAAATTGATTTGCATTTTAATGAGGGAAATAAGTATTTGACCCCTCTGCAAAAGATGACTTAGTAATTGGTGGCAAAACCCTTGTTGGCAATCACAGAGGTCAGACGTTTCTTGTAGTTGGCCACCAGGTTTGCACGCATCTCAGGAGGGATTTTGTCCCACTCCTCTTTGCAGATCTTCTCCAAGTCATTAAGGTTTCGAGGCTGACGTTTGGCAACTCGAACCTTCAGCTCCCTCCACAGATTTTCGATGGGATTAAGGTCTGGAGACTGGCAAGGCCACTCCAGGACCTTAATGTGCTTCTTCTTGAGCCACTCCTTTGTTGCCTTGGCCGTGTGTTTTGGGTCATTATCGTGCGGGAATACTCATCCACGACCCATTTTCAATGCCCTGGCTGAGGGAAGGAGGTTCTCACCCAAGATTTGACAATACATGGCCCCGTCTATCGTCCCTTTGATGCGGTGAAGTTGTCCTGTCCCCTTAGCAGAAAAACACCCCCAAAGCATAATGTGTCCACCTCCATGTTTGACAGTGGGGATGGTGTTATTGGGGTCATAGGCAGTATTCCTCCTCCAAGCACGGCGAGTTGAGTTGATGCTAAAGAGCTCCATTTTGGTCTCATCTGACCACAAAACTTTCACCCAGTTGTCCTCTGCATAATTCAGATGTTCATTGGCAAACTTCAGACGGGCATGTATATGTGCTTTCTTGAGCAGGGGGGCCTTGCGGGCGCTGCAGGATTTCAGTCCTTCACGGCGTAGTGTGTTACCAATTGTTTCCTTGGTGACTATGGTCCCAGCTGCCTTGAGATCATTGACAAGATCCTCCCGTGTAGTTC